TTCAAAGACACGCTGCAAAGCTGCACATTGGAGAAGATCTGTACACAAGAAGCCGCTAGCATTGCTCTGTTAGCATCAGAGCCGGCCGGCTACTTCCGGTACTTCCGGCTCGCGTCAGGACGTTCTGGTGTGAAGACCCCTGCGTCTGAAAACTAGAGAATGCGCGTCTGGTGAGTGGGGCTTCAGCGTTTGAGCGTTTGCGGTCTGAATGCACCATAAGATTTGTCCTGGACCGGTACTAGACTGGTTCTAGACTGGTCCTAGAATGTCCTGAACTGGTTCTAGACTGGTCCTAGACAAGTCCTGGACTGGTCCTAGATTTGTCCTGGACGGGTGCTAGACTGGTTTGAGACAGGTCCTATACTGGTGCTAGAATTATCCTAGACTGCTCCTAGACAGGTCCTTAACTGGTCCTAGACTGCTCCTAGACAGGTCCTGGACTGGTCCTAGATTTGTCCTGGACTGGTAATAAACTGGTCCTAGATTTGTCCAGGACTGGTGCTACTTACCATAGTTTTGTCTTTTTAATGTTCTGTGATTATTTATGATTTTAATGCTTTCTTGTTTTGTTCAGCACTTTGAATTGCCTTGTGTATGAATTGTGCTATATAAATAAACTTGCCTTGCCTTGCCTTGCCATGTCGAATCTATTTATATTCACAGTTTTATCCTGTGTTAAAGTTTTGTGGATTTTAATAATAGAGAAAACACACACACACACACACACACACACACACACACACACACACACACACACACACACACACACACACACACACACACACACACACACACACACACACACACACACACACAGTAATGTTGTTGTCTCCTAAATGAAAGCCTAAATGAGATTCTTACCAACAGCAAGGAGCAAATTCTCCAAATTCCCTGTGGTCTCCCCTTCCACGCTCTCCTCAATATCGCAGCCGGCAATCTTCTTGTAGGCGGCGAAGACTGCAGCAACACAAACATAACGACAACAGGTGACATAACCTCGCTGCTAAACGGCTTCTCCCTGTGGGGTCCATTCCATTCGGGTCCACATAGACACAGACAATAATGCACCACCCCCCGCCCCACATCCATCGGGCTATTTAAAGGTCCCTTTAAAGGTCCCTTTAAAGCAGAGAAAAGTCACGCTTTCTAACTTTTCTCTGCGTTACAGTTTTTCTCAGTCGCTTTGGTGCATTTCTCACATCACTCTTCACAATTTGTGCAAACTGCAAAACCTTGTGGATAACCTGCAAAAGTTTATCACTTTCTCAAAATGAAAAGTGAATTCCTCCAAAGCAGGTCTTCATGTCAATGAAACTGTCTGTGTCGTCAAAATAATAAGTCCTGACAACACTGAGTATGAACAACAGTCACATGGTTTACTTTACTCTCTCTGTTTTCACTGTAAAAAAGTCAGATCTTGGCGACACTACCTGAAAATGCTCAAGACATCACTCTACACGACCAAGTTACACATGACTGTATTTAGTGAGGTAACAGAGTACAAGACACATGTGTGTGTGTGTGTGTGTGTGTGTGTGTGTACGTGTGTGTGTGCGTGTGTGTGTGTGTGTGTACGTGTGTGTGTGTGTGTGTACGTGTGCGTGTGTGCGTGTGTGTGTGTGTGTGTACGTGTGTGTGTGTGTGCGTGTGTGTGTGTGCGTGTACGTGTGTGTGTACGTGTGCGTGTGTACGTGTGTGTGTGTGCGTGTGTGTGTGTGCGTGTGTGTGTGTGCGTGTGTGTGTGTGTGTGTGTGTGTGTATTTGTAAATACAATCAGTCACTTACGTGTATTTACGTAGAACATACAAAAAATATCATTGTGGTAGAACTGTGACAAATGTATAAAATAAAACACACACCTCCTCATGAGTGAAGCTGAAATTCACCTGAGAGAAATTGTTCAATTTAGGAAAGATTTACAGGAAAAAGATGGAATGTAGCTCGACAAATATAGTTCAACACTTTTGTATGTGAAGACCAGAGCGATGAAATGAGGAGTTAGTTTTATAGAGAAAGACTATTCAGAAGTCATAAGTATGTTTCATTCGGACAGGACAGAAGCAAATGATAATGTTCTAAAACAGCAGAGAATTTTATGAAAGTAACTGATACATGAACAAAAGCATTTGTAAAGTGTTCACAGGAGAAACTGCTGCGATGATGTCACACATGACTCAGTGTTGAGGAGGAATACTTTTGAGAACTTTAAGTCTGAGAAAAGCACTAAAGCGACTGAGAAAAACTGTAAACATCATTACAGCTATTTGCCCAAAGTCGTTTATTTTTCACAGATTCCCTCAAATTTTAGTCAGAGAGCGATCGTTCTCTTTCATCCAGAGGTGACTCATCCCGCCTCCCAGAGGTGATTGACAGGTGGGAGAAGGTTGAAGAGCTTGTTTTCACACTGATTTATTTAGGTTGGTCCACACAGAGATGGGAGCGAGGTCGATATACAACCTCGCTCCCATCTGTTTTTAGGATAGCACCTGTTGGAAACCTACACAGACACGGGGAGAACATGCAAACTACACTCAGAAAGGTTCCATTCCGAGCAGACGGCTTCAGAGCTGCAGGTGGAGTGGGTGACGTGCTCCTGTTTATTTGTATATGTCATATTTACCAATGAATCAACTCACACTCTTTGTATTAGAGCTTTGTGTTGTTGACGTTATTTCAATTGTCCATGCTCTCGGTCAGAACCATCGGTCAGAACCATCCAACCCTGGTGTGATGAGATCCCTGGTAATGTCCGTCTAATCGACTCCTTCACACCTGCGCTCTGGAAGTCTGTGCTGCACAATACAACAGCGTTGTTTCCGCACAGTAATAATGTTGTGGTTCAGCCCTGGAGAAATATACTGAGAACAGGTCTCTCAGTGGAAGCAGAGTGTTTCCAAAAGGTTCTTATTGCTTTGATCCCACATGAGCCTCACACAAGACCCGGGTCAGACTTAGAAATACAACCTTAAGTCTAGGACAGTCTCTAGGTTTTCAGGGAGGCAGCATTTGGAAGGAGTTTGTGGGGAGAAGTCAGTCATGGACGCGATAGGTTTTGGTCCTCCTTCTGTAGCTTGCGTCCTGGATCTACAGCCTCAGTCCTGGATCAACAGCCTCAGTCCATGGGTCTACAGCCTCAGTCCTGGGTCTACAGCCTCAGTCCTGGGTCTACAGCCTCAGTCCTGGGTCTACAGCCTCAGTCCTGGATCTACAGCCTCAGTCCTGGATCTACAGCCTCAGTCCTGGATCTACAGCCTCAGTCCTGGATCTACAGCCTCAGTCCTGCGTCTACAGCCTCAGTCCTGGGTCTACAGCCCGTCTGTTCGAGTGAGCGGATCCCTCTCTCAATGTGGTTCTCCCTGAGGTTTCTCACTCTCCACCCACTGGGTTTCAGAGTTTTTCCTTACCAATACAGGAAGGTTTAAGACAAGGGTCCCCAACCAAAAGCCCAGGAGCTCCCCAAAGGATAACAAATGACATAAATATGTTATAAATATTTATAAACGTATGATTCATATCCAAACAACTATTGTAAAGCAAACAAAAGCTGTAGTAAATGATATAGAATGACAATTAATAGTGACATGACCAACGAAAGTAGCTCTCCGGGTCAGTGGTGAGGATCCACGACACTCAACATTCAACAACTATAACATTCATGGACATTGGTCTCAGCCCCTTATGGACCAACGGCTCTATGTGTTTGAACGGTTTGATTCTCTGATCTGTGTTGGTGAATCGACAGCTTTGTAAAGTCCTCAGAGATAACTACTGCCACATGAGTTAGTCCCAGCTGGAGCGGTACCTTTGAGGAGATGCTCTAGGCTGCGGTTTCCGAGGATGTTGATGATTTTGTCCTCTTCGGTGCCGAACTTGCCCTCTCCGGCGGCGTACAAGTCCTGCAACGGCAAAGGGTGAGTTCAGACCTGGGAAAAGCACGGCCCGGGAGCCACAGACGGTCCCATTATCTTCTCTGTGCGGCCCCTGAACTCTTCCCAGCCGTTAACCTCAATACTCAACTGCGGCTTGTAAAGGTTTCTAATATGTGCTACTATAACCTGTGATACATTTACCTCAGTACTCACAATTTACTCTAAACATTAAGTCCACAAACACAAGTTATATTCATGTTTGTTAAATATATAAATATATGAATAAATAAATAATAACAATAACAAAATTAACCATGAGGAAACAGGTTTGGCCTCCACAAGAGTGAATAATTTATGATTAATTAGCTCGTTCATTTGTTAAGTGCTTTTTTGTCCTTTTTCTACATGGCCTAACTACTAACCGACATTTCCGAATGTGGGTTAATCTAAAGTGGGTTAGATTGTTTTCTGTTCGCTCCGAAGCCAGAGATAAGTTTACCAAAAAATGCCAAAGAATTCTAAATTTCTATTAAAGAAGCAGTATGTAAGAAATCTGGCCAAACGTGGTACTGCAGCCTCTTCCACTCTCCCTGACTCAGGTTGCCAGATATGCAGACGAATCCAGCTGGGACCATAACAGCTGAATAGACAAGAGTTTTGTCAACAACAAATCTATAACCAACACCTTTTTCACAAAGATAGAAATCCTGGTTTTATTCCTTGTTTTGTCGTTAAGGATTTAAGAATCATAACGAGACCTTTTTAGTTCTGAGGCCACATGGTACTTTACCAGTGAGATTAGCTCGACACGGGGAATTCTGGCGCCCTGATCACATTCTGATTGTTAAAACGATGGAGGGCGGGACATCGAAATGAAAACAATAACAAGATTTAGGGGTTGTAAAACTAATTTGAATATTTCTGAACTACAGTGATCAGTTAAAGAAGTATTGGAAAAGAGCATGTTTTATGAATGCCTTTTGACAGATTGAGGCCTTTTAATGATGACTTCACATGAAAATCTCACATACTGCTCCTTTAAAGCTTGATTTTTGTCTCATTTATAAATCTATCTGATTGTTTTGTTCTCTTTCTGATCCGTCTTTTCGGCGCCGTAACAATTTGTCCAAGTGCGACGTGGGTGACATTTGTTAAACGAGATTATCAGCTCTAACGATTATTGATCTGAGGTTCGGTTTCTCTGAATGTGATAAATGACAGTTTAGCTCAGACCTGTCGGACTCAAACTCACATCCCACCCGCAAGACGGTTTCAGCGGCCCCTGATATCGTTTTTACTGTCTTTTTTATTATTATTATTGACTTTTGATTTTAATGATGGTAATGGACTAAATCTTATTCAAAAAGGACTAGAACAAAAGAAATATGTGAAAATATCTTCATAATCTATAAAATGGACTACGGATGAAAACTAGCGTTGTAGCTATAATCCGGCATATTTACATTTGTTTTATACTGATGTTCATTAATGTGCATTGTCCCTATCAAACAAATTAATAAATAAAATGTATAAAATCCCAGATTTATCTCTTATTGTCTAAACTCTTCTCGTCTGGACAGTTTGACAGCCCTAGTTTAGGTCGTGTACTTACAACACAATAACATCCAACCTTGTGTGTGTAACATTGTGATTTTTGTATATACATGATTACATTTCATTTGGGTAATATTAATATTATTTTGGAGAGTATATTATTTCATGATTATTATTTTCTTAATTCATGTTATTTCATTATTTTTGGTTCAACACTGTTTGTCAGCGAGAGAGAGAGGGGAGAGAGAGCGCACCCCCATGAGCTCGAGAGCGAGAGTGGGAAATAAACAGAAGAGCTGAACTGTTACCGTCCTGCCGTTTGGTTATTTTAGCAAGAAAATCGAGATAATAGCATTGTTTTTATTATCAATTGTAACCTGCACAGCCTCAGGAACTGGTGAGCAGCAAGAATTTAGGGTTACACATTTACTAAAGCTTAACCACAGGCGAAAACTAATGAATGATACAGACTCATAAATGTCTTTGTTGTCTATCATCTATGGGCGGCACGGTGGCTGAGTGGATAGCACTCTCGCCTCTCAGCAAGAAGGTCCTGGGTTCGAATCCCGGTCGGACCAGGGCCTTTCTGAGTGGAGTTTGCATGTTCTCCCCGTGTCTGCGTAGGTTTCCTCCGGGTACTCCGGTTTCCCCTACCACTAAAAATATGTCCAATAGTTCTAGCATGCGCCTCCTGTACTGGCGACCCCGCTCCCATCTCTGTGTGGAGTGAGAGACTAATGCACAAAAAATTAACAATTGTAAACCGCTTTGAGACTCAGATCTGCAGTGAAAAGGCGGTATATAAATAAAGACTTACTTACTTACTATCATGTGGATGAATATGCGCCAATTTTCAACATTCTGAGTCATAAATCTCACTCTGCATGTAATCGTTTGCCATGTATTCATTTCACTTTTGTGTAAATAGACATTTGAAGGTGTTGTTTACTTCAGAATGGAAACAGCAGCGAGTCCTGAGTGTCTCGGGAACAGTCGTTGTTTTGTTTCTTTCTGTAAATGTTGCAGAACTTGGTCTTGGTTCTTGGTTTTACTCTGATCCAGACCAGAGCAGAGAGGGTGGGCCCAGACAAACAGATCCCCTTATTATTAAATACATTCTCACTGATTCCCTGAAGATTCACACGATTTGTTTGTTAGTTGTTTTGGAAGAATTGCTGCTGATTTTAGAGACAGACTTCTCTGACAAAGTTCAAATCCAGTTAAAAAACAGGATTATTTTTCTGCTACAATTGAAGGATTTTGTCTTTGCTCTTTTTAATGAACTGTGATTGTTTTGTTCAGCACTTGGAGGTTCCTTGTGGATGAGTTGAGAACTTTATTAATGAAAAAGAAGAAAGTTTTATTAAATCAGAAGGTACTAATAAACAAATGTGTGAAGAATCCAGTTGTGCTGATTTATCTGACATGCTGTGGAGGTAGAATTCTAGCAAAGCCTGTTTTGGCGATAATTAAGCTTTACTGTAATAAAAAAAAATTGTGTTATCAGAAAAACCTTCTCAGCCTGATTTAATAATGTAACACACTTTCTTCCTTCTCATTATTGTTGTTCTTTGTGGCATAAAAAAGTCAGGATTCTGAATCTGTGACTTACCTTTGCATCCTTTTCAATCTTCCCTTCGTCCACATCCTCCTCTCTGTTCGCCTTCACACACACACACAGACACACACACACAGAGAGACACACACACAGAGAGACACACAGACACACACACACAGAGAGACACACAGACACACACACACACGCACACACACAGGCACATACAGGCACACACACACACACAGACACACACACACACACAAGCACACACAGGCACACACACACACACACACACACAGACACACACACACACGCACACACACAGGCACACACAGGCACACACACACACACACACAGACACACACACACACACACACACACACACACACACACACACACACACACACAGACACACACACACACACACACACACACACACACACACACACACACACACACAGACACACACACACACAGACACACACACACACACGCACACACACAGGCACACACAGGCACACACAGGCACACACACACACACACAGACACACACACACACACACACACACACAGACACACACACACACACACACACACACACACACAGACAGACACACACACACACACACACACACACACACACACACACAGTTAGTGACCAGATGGAAACAGTGAACTCCGAGCCCCTAAACTCCATTACATTAGTCTCTGGCCCCAGCGCCTCATGACTGTAATGGATTCAGTGGTGTGTGTGTCTGTGTGTGAGTGTGTGTGTGTGTGTGTGTATGAGTCATGTGTGTGTGTCTGTCTGTGTCTGTCCGTGTATGTGTGTCTGTCCGTGTATGTGTGTTTGTGCGTGTGCGTGTGTGTGTGTTCTCATTACAGAGAAAAGGAAACCGTCTGGTACCTGCAGCAGAATAATCAGCAGTTTCTGGTAATGTCCTGATGTGTCGCCGCAGACGTCCTTCTCCAGTTTGTTACCGAACTCTGAGAAGAAAGAGTCACATGTTGTTTACTTCTGTTCAGACCAAAGGAGTTCATCATGGAGAGAAAACCTAACACACAGTAAAAGCTCAGGTTCTTTCAAATCATATCCATAGAATAATAAGAATAATAATAATATTTAAAGCTGCAAGCGGCATGAAACGGCCCTCGCAGTACCGCACAAAAGAGGTGGCACTGTTGCGCCATTTTCCTACAGCCCTGATGGGAACGACACTGTGTATTTTGAATGCCTATGATCAGTGATCGTGTGTCTTTATTGAATAACATGGGAACTTTCATTTCAGTAAGTCTCTGTGGAAACAACCCAGATATGCGAGTCTGCCGCGCAGTTTTAGTTTACCCAAACCCGAGAGTTGAACAAACAAATAAAATGTTGTGAAAATCAAAGGGGCGTTTACTTTGCACAATAGCGCCTCCTACAAATCCAAATTTTTAGTCTTATACCAAAGAACACTAAAATAACAAATTTTTTGTTAGAGCAAAACTTGTGGCAACATTTTGTGAGTTTTCGTGTTTGTTCAGTGGGTCAAATATGAGATCAAACAACAGAAAAACAAAATACCTGTATCCCCATGTACCTCTTTACTCAGCGCTAATGGGACAATTCAATTTTCATGTGACCTAGGCCCAGGAGTTGAACAACCGAGTCAAGTTTAGTGGAAATCAGACTTTGTAAATGTGCTCCTGTTTGCACATACAATCTGTGAGTGTGTCCATATCATGAATCTATAATAAAATCTGGATAAAGTATTACTAGCTTATAGCTGTCCCACATATGGCCACAGGGGGCGCTGTGGTACTGCAGACCAGTACCACCACTGGATTTGTTTAAAAATCCAGACTTTTAAACAAAGCTCTTAGGATTGTCAATGACTCTTCTGGCCACCCTGGGAAAGCCATGTTCCAGCTTCTTCCCTCTGGCAGAAGATATCGCTCTCTGAGATGCAGGACATCTCGTTACGCTAACAGTTTTTATCCACAAGCTGTTATCAGTGTGAACAGAGCACTTTAATGATTTGCACTTGTTTTGAACTGTTTTAGTCGATCGATTTCACAGTGACATTTGTTTACTGTTTTATTTGTTTTATTTTTGTCTTTTAATGTTGTTTTATGTCTGTATTTGTCTGTGCACACTGGAGACTTTTCGTTAATGTATTCCAATGTGGTTTTTTTACTGCAAATGGCAAATAAACTGAATCTGAATCTGAATCAGACTAAATTCACGTGGGCTACAAATAAAAATGTCCCACAGAACTCAATGTAAACTAAAACACCTCGACCTCAGTTGACAAAGAACCCACAGCTTTCATAAAGTTGGATTTTGGGGGGATTTTAGTGTTGCTTGTCGTCCTCAACTTTTTGTTCTAGTCAAATCCTTTGGTTCTCTATAAATCCACACAACAAACTCTGCTTGATCGTCTCCTGCTCTAGCTCCGCTCTGATCAGCAGCTCTGATGCACGTGCATGAGAGCCGCACACGCATATTTGGCGCAAAGCATCATTGCAGCTCATTCACTGCGCAGAACCAGGAGGACCAGACGATGCCCAAATATGGGCGAGTTCCGCTATTCTTTCAGTCCCCACTGAGCACAAGCCATTGATTTAAATAGGGCGTCATCTTGGATCAAACATCAAAAAACTAAATATGATTCTCCCCATGTGACACTTGACATAGTCTGTAGGGGGCGCTAATGGGTCAATTCTTTCCATTTCAAATGACCCAGTCCCTGAAGTTGAACAATGGATAAAAAATGTATGTAAATCAAAAATGAAAAAAAATAAGTGACATTTTGCAATTTTCTATGATGAACTATTGATGGTACATGTGTTTAGATGATGTGGAGCAATTTGTGAACCAGCCGAGGAGGAGTTGATTTCCAAAATGAACAATGGGCTTCCAGTTTGTCAGGGGGCGTGGCCATAATAACTTTTATTATAACCCTCAGAAACACATGGGTTTTACTGAATCTCTGATTCCAGTGTCTGTGTTTGGATACTCCAGTCTACATGGAATGCAGTAAGAAAACAGAAAGAAAACATTGTGCCTCTGATTTAAAAACCATTCTCATACACAGTAGCACTGTCCTCACTGTCGGACTCATGTCACTGTTTGTCAGACTCTAGAATATTCTGAGGACCATCCCTCGAGAAACTCCAGACTGTTGTGAAAATATAAAATATACAGCTGCAGTAGAAATATGGCTCCAAGTCTTTTCTAAGAAATAACACTAATTCACCCAAGTGAAGCGTCATATATATGTATATATATATATATATATATATATCTATATATTCCTCTGCTGCTGTCGCATTTTAATACTATTGTTAGATGTTTTTAGCTTTTTCTATTTATTTGCTTCATTTGTATCGATGGGTGTGTTTCTGAATATCTCCCATGAAAAATAATATATATATATACATATATACTGTATATATCTATCTATCTATCTATATATTCGTATATATATATATTCATAGTGTGTATATATATATATATATATACTTACAATATAATACTAATAATACAATACAATATTTCTACATCACTGGTGGTAGCTGCAGCTCTTCCATTTTCACCTTTCTTGTAAACTTTGATGATGTTTTTGATTTCCTCTGGAGTCCTGGAGGCTATGACTTCGATCAGCACTTCATCATTAGTCCCTGCGCCCTGAGAACAAACACAACCAGGTGTGAGTCCAGAGATCACAGAGAACACAGAGACCACAGAGACCACAGAGAACACAGAGACCACAGAGACCACAGAGACCACAGAGAACACAGAGACCACAGAGACCACAGAGAACACAGAGAACACAGAGACCACAAAGAGACCACAGAGACCACAGAGAACACAGAGACCACAGAGACCACAGAGATCACAGAGAACACAGAGACCAGAGAGACCACAGAGATCACAGAGAACACAGAGACCACAGAGAACACAGAGAACACAGAGACCACAGAGAACACAGAGAACACAGAGAACACAGAGACCACAGAGAACACAGAGAACACAGAGAACACAGAGACCACGGAGAACACAGAGACCACAGAGAACACAGAGAACACAGAGAACACAGAGACCACAGAGAACACAGAGACCACGGAGAACACAGAGACCACAGAGAACACAGAGAACACAGAGAACACAGAGAACACAGAGACCACAGAGACCACAGAGACCACAGAGACCACAGAGAACACAGAGACCACAGAGACCACAGAGACCACAGAGACCACAGAGAACACAGAGAACACAGAGACCACAGAGAACACAGAGAACACAGAGAACACAGAGACCACAGAGAACACAGAGACCACAGAGAACACAGAGAACACAGAGACCACGGAGAACACAGAGACCACAGAGAACACAGAGAACACAGAGAACACAGAGACCACAGAGAACACAGAGACCACGGAGAACACAGAGACCACAGAGAACACAGAGAACACAGAGAACACAGAGACCACAGAGAACACAGAGAACACAGAGAACACAGAGACCACAGAGACCACAGAGACCACAGAGACCACAGAGAACACAGAGACCACAGAGACCACAGAGACCACAGAGACCACAGAGACCACAGAGAACACAGAGAACACAGAGAACACAGAGATCAGCAGCGGCCGCGTCCCTCAGAAACTTTCAGATTCATGCAGCTTAATTCTGAAACAGTCTTCCTGGAAAAGTGAGACAGGCTTCTTCTCTGACACTGTTCAAATCCTGCAGGTTAAAAACATTTCTGTTTCGTAGAAGAACTCCATCTTCAGTCTCTTTAACCCTTTCATTTTCACTCCTTGAAGAAAGCAATGTAAATTTTCTTTTCTTTTGTGGCAGGGTGTGACAATAATAACACTTTTAAACCGAGGTAACAGCAGACAGTAGAAATACACGTGGGAAATGATGATGGGCCAGAGTTTACGGAGGGCTGGGACCAGGCTGTCAGGGACCAGACTGTCAGGGACCAGGCTGTCAGGGACCAGACTGTCAGGGACCAGACTGTCAGGGACCAGACTGTCAGGGACCAGACTGTCAGGGACCAGGCTGTCAGGGACCAGACTGTCAGGGACCAGGCTGTCAGGGACCAGGCTGTCAGGGACCAGGCTGTCAGGGACCAGACTGTCAGGGACCAGGCTGTCAGGGACCAGACTGTCAGGGACCAGACTGTCAGGGACCAGACTGTCAGGGACCAGACTGTCAGGGACCAGACTGTCAGGGACCAGACTGTCAGGGACCAGGCTGTCAGGGACCAGGCTGTCAGGGACCAGACTGTCAGGGACCAGGCTGTCAGGGACCAGACTGTCAGGGACCAGGCTGTCAGGGACCAGGCTGTCAGGGACCAGACTGTCAGGGACCAGGCTGTCAGGGACCAGACTGTCAGGGACCAGACTGTCAGGGACCAGACTGTCAGGGACCAGGCTGTCAGGGACCAGGCTGTCAGGGACCAGACTGTCAGGGACCAGACTGTCAGGGACCAGGCTGTCAGGGATCAGGCTGTCAGGGACCAGACTGTCAGGGACCAGACTGTCAGGGACCAGACTGTCAGGGACCAGGCTGTCAGGGACCAGACTGTCAGGGACCAGGCTGTCAGGGACCAGGCTGTCAGGGACCAGGCTGTCAGGGACCAGGCTGTCAGGGACCAGACTGTCAGGGACCAGACTGTCAGGGACCAGACTGTCAGGGACCAGACTGTCAGGGACCAGACTGTCAGGGACCAGGCTGTCAGGGACCAGACTGTCAGGGACCAGGCTGTCAGGGACCAGGCTATCAGGGACCAGACTGTCAGGGACCAGGCTGTCAGGGACCAGACTGTCAGGGACCAGGCTGTCAGGGACCAGGCTGTCAGGGACCAGACTGTCAGGGACCAGACTGTCAGGGACCAGACTGTCAGGGACCAGGCTGTCAGGGACCAGGCTGTCAGGGACCAGGCTGTCAGGGACCAGGCTGTCAGGGACCAGGCTGTCAGGGACCAGGCTGTCAGGGACCAGACTGTCAGGGACCAGACTGTCAGGGACCAGGCTGTCAGGGACCAGACTGTCAGGGACCAGACTGTCAGGGACCAGGCTGTCAGGGACCAGACTGTCAGGGACCAGACTGTCAGGGACCAGACTGTCAGGGACCAGACTGTCAGGGACCAGGCTGTCAGGGATCAGGCTGTCAGGGAGACTGCCAGGGACCAGGCTGTCAGGGACCAGGCTGTCAGGGACCAGACTGTCAGGGACCAGGCTGTCAGGGACCAGACTGTCAGGGACCAGACTGTCAGGGACCAGACTGTCAGGGACCAGGCTGTCAGGGACCAGGCTGTCAGGGACCAGGCTGTCAGGGACCAGACTGTCAGGGACCAGACTGTCAGGGACCAGACTGTCAGGGACCAGACTGTCAGGGACCAGGCTGTCAGGGACCAGACTTGGGAGCTGTCTGGGACCTGGCTCAAAACTGCAGATATTAGTTAAAACCATGCAACCTGTCTGTCTCTGTCTCATGTCCGGGATACGATCATTCACAGCAGCTGTCATCTTCAAACACTAATGAGAGTCAGGTTTATTCACCGCTTGGATTTCTGTGTATATTTTTTTATTCATAAGGAAAATGCGGTGGATAACAAAAACTTCATTATGTCTGTGATCATTTTCTATTCTAAGTTTTGAACTGTGCATCATTTCCAGAACAAAAGTGTTTTCGCCTCATCAGGAGCGGTCACAACAACGAAGTCAAAAGATACAATTAGACGGAGAATCAAATGCATGATGTCTTCTGTTCTCGCATGAATAGTCTGTACGCTCTAGTGTAATTGGAAAGAGGCCACAGTGAAAAAAAGTGATGGAAAATAGGTCAAAAAAGGCTCAAAATAATCAAATCTGTATTAATAATGTTTTTGTTTATTAAATCAAAAAATATCAAAATATTTGTTTATGAAATATTTTGGCAGTCCTGCATTTTGGGTCCTTCCTCCTTTTCTGAACGTGACAAAAGTACTGAACGTGACAAGACCAAAAAAGGTCTTGTAATGATTCTCAAATTATTAACGACAAAACAAGGAATAAAACCAGGGTTTCTATCTAAAAGGTGTTGGTTATAGATTTGTTGTCGACAAAACCCTTGTCTATTCAGCTGTTAAGGTCCCATTTTTACAGACCAAGGCCACCCAACGCTTTTTACAATTGTCAGAGTTCAGATATTGGTCCATTCTCTCCACACGGTGATGACGGAAGCGAGACGCCGAACACACTGCTCCATCAAAGCCTCCGACCAAACACCCTCCATTCACTCATTCGTTACATTCAGAAACCGGAGCACCCGGTGGAAACCTACGCTTTCACCTTCAGGGCCTTGTGCAGCAGCGTGGCGTCGTAGAGGGTCCTGGGGGTCATGAGGGCCACGATCAGGTCCTCGAACAGACCCCCCAGCTCCGACTTCAGGGCACTCACCAGCTCCTGGACACACACCAGGAGAGCCACATGGTATCAAGCCGTTAGACCTAATCATAATAATAATACTCAAAACCAGCCGCGAGATCATTTTTAGTGGCCTCTGAAACTATTTTTCAATGATCTTTATCATCATTATTAGCGTGTTATACTGTGGTGCGTTATACTTCATTTTAAAGCCTGGATCTACAGTCTCAGTCCTGGGTCTACAGCCTCAGTCCTGGGTCTACAGCCTCAGTCCTGGGTCTACAGCCTCAGTCCTGGATCTACAGCCTCAGTCCTGGGTCTACAGCCTCAGTCCTGGGTCTACAGCCTCAGTCCTGGGTCTACAGCCTCAGTCCTGGATCTACAGCCTCAGTCCTGGGTCTACAGCCTCAGTCCTGGGTCTACAGCCTCAGTCCTGGGTCTACAGCCTCAGTCCTGGGTCTACAGCCTCAGTCCTGGGTCTACAGCCTCAGTCCTGGATCTGCAGACTCAGTCCTGGATCTACAGCCTAGACTCAGACCTGGATCTACAGCCTAGACTCAGACCTGGATCTACAGCCTCAGTCCTGGATCTACAGCCTAGACTCAGACCTGGATCTACAGCCTCAGTCCTGGATCTACAGCCTAGACTCAGTCCTGGGTCTACAGCCTCAGTCCTGGATCTAAAGCCTCAGTCCTGGATCTACAGCCTCAGACCTGGATCTAAAGCCTCAGTCCTGGATCTACAGCCTCAGTCCTGGGTCTACAGCCTCAGTCCTGGGTCTACAGCCTCAGTCCTGGGTCTACAGCCTCAGTCCTGGGTCTACAGCCTCAGTCCTGGGTCTACAGCCTCAGTCCTGGGTCTACAGCCTCAGTCCTGGATCTACAGCCTCAGTCCTGGGTCTACAGCCTCAGTCCTGGGTCTACAGCCTCAGTCCTGGGTCTACAGCCTCAGTCCTGGGTCTACAGCCTCAGTCCTGGGTCTACAGCCTCAGTCCTGGATCTGCAGACTCAGTCCTGGATCTACAGCCTAGACTCAGACCTGGATCTACAGCCTAGACTCAGACCTGGATCTACAGCCTCAGTCCTGGATCTACAGCCTAGACTCAGACCTGGATCTACAGCCTCAGTCCTGGATCTACAGCCTAGACTCAGTCCTGGGTCTACAGCCTCAGTCCTGGATCTAAAGCCTCAGTCCTGGATCTACAGCCTCAGACCTGGATCTAAAGCCTCAGTCCTGGATCTACAGCCTCAGTCCTGGGTCTACTTACTCCGAGCTCCTCACCTTTTCTTTAAGGGAGCAGTGGCTCTACTCCACGCTCCTTACCCTTTCTCTAAGGGCGTGTGCATTATTTTATTTGGTAGTAATATTTTAACATCCATAATAATTGGGATTGAAAAGTAGAAAGGGTTAGAAGTTTAAAAGATAATGCTGAATGACTACTTTCCTCATATTTAATGTTTTTATTCCCTAAAATACACGTACATTTAGTGTGTTTACCTATTTTCTACCTCGAGCCAAAGTCCTAGTTTGTGACTTCCTGTTACTCTCAGGCAACAAAAACAATTCTGGTTCTGATTCACCACAAATGTTCCTCCGCAGCTGCGTATTATTCAAAGATATCCTCGTGGCTACTTTGCGATTCTCTGATCTTTCCTTTTATCCCGACGCCACCTCATCCATTTATTCTGCCGCCGACAATTACATTTGGCCCAGCGCTTTCAATAACGGCAGCAGAAAGCAAATTAACTTTCCCTCCACAGGTGGTCGTAGAGAAGCTGACGGAGCGGGCACTCGGAGGAGAGGATCCACCGCTCTCTTATCGCTTCAAGGGAAAGAGACGGCACATATTAGAGGCTTCTGATGGAAGGAGCAGAGACAATGGACGACTGAAATGTGACACGTGACATCACAGCTTTGCCCTTTACTCTGTTACAGTCAAAACAACTTGTGGTAAAAGTGTTCTATCCACTTCCAAAAATAGCTGAGAACAAAAGGCCTGACCACACATGACATTACCAGGTTCTTTTTACGTTCTTAGCCTTGTCATACCACACCTTAGGACAAATTTCATTTTTAGGTCGGGATTTGCTCAATTGAGCTCCATTAACAGGTGGGAGGGGTTAACTCATTTTGCAGATTGAAACAGTTGGATCTGAGTTTACCGTGACGTATGTAAGGAGCCCGAGTGAGTCGCTAGCATATAGAATTTAGCCTATTAGCTTAGCTTCCTTTGCCACTAATGGAGCCTGTGGGGAGTAGAGCAACAACATCTTTGCAGTAATCACATTTGCTAAACATTCCTCTTGCTCCGGTTTCAATTTCTTGATATTTGGAGCCGAACAAAAACAAATTACTTTACTATCGCATTCTCTGCCATTGTAAAACTACAACCAGTAAATTTGGCGCAAACTCTTGACGTCCCCGACACCAACCTACAACACCCGCCTCCCGCGCTCGCTGATTGGTCGGATAGGATACAACTGTCTTTCTGTCTATGTATCTATTTAACCATGTCTCTATCTATATTTAAAAAGTTGGACAGTGCACAGTGTCGCGTTGTCAAGAAAAGCCACAAGTTTTATTGACGGTAGATTAAAGTTAGGTTCCCGAGCTTTACCCGTGCGCTCACAGAAGCAGAACAGGAGCTTACACGGCCCTCTCTCAGTTCCATCAGACCTCACGTACCTTCCCGTGCGCCTTCTTGTAGGCCGCCTTTATCTGCTGCCGTTGATCATTGGTCCTCGACGTCAGCAGCATCAGGACGGCGTCTTCATCCGTTCCTGGAGTCAAACAGACATAAAGCACCAATACATTCTCTGGATTTAATGAAACGTCAGCCTCTGAAGCCGAAGACTGGGTTCTGTAATGAACTATGAACCGATCGGACGATAATCAATGAACATAAAGAGTTGGAGATCGCTCAGGGCGACGGGAAGGACATAAACAAGAGCTATGATGGTGTGGGTCTCAGCTGTAGACAGAGCCCACTGGGATCGCTGTGATTTCATTAGTCCTTTTACTTTATCTTGTACTGGGGGCGAGCCATTACATATCAATACTAAATTCATACAAAAGTAATACAGGTTTTTAATTGTATGTGTATGTATGTATGTATGTATGTTTGTGTGTATGTATGTGTGTATGTATGTATGTATGTATGTATGTATGTATGTATGTGTATGTACTGTGTGTATGTATGTATTGTGTGTGTATGCAAATATGTATGAACTGTGTGTATGCATGTATGTATATATGTATGTATGTATGTACTGTATGTACTGTGTGTGTATGTATGTACTGTATGTATGTATGTATGTATGTATGTACTGTGTGTATGTATTGTATTTTTTTATTGTTTGGGCTCATAGAGATTTTGTTTTATTTTAATTCGAGCTATTGTTCACTTATCTTGTGCTGAGTGCTCCTCATTCCCACTGTTCTATAGCTTATGGCACAACACTGACATTTCCCTGGATAAAGGTTTTCTTCATGTTAATACAGTGGGTCAAAAAAGTTTTAAGTTAGCCACCAATTGTGCATGTTAGAGACAGTATGAGAAAAAATATTGAGAAAATCACATCAGATTTCCTGTAACTCCACTCCACTCGTTCCCTGTATTAATGTCTCCTGTTTGAACTCTTTATCAGTCTGAAAGACACCTGTCCAAAACCTCAAACAGTCACACTCCAAACTCCACTATGGCCAAGACCAGAGACCTGTCAAAGGACACAAGAAACAACATTGTAGACCTGCACCAGGCTGGGAAGGCTGAATCTGCAATAGGTAAGCAGCTTGGTGGAAAGAAATCAACTGCTGGAGCAAAAAGGATCACAAAAAAGGAAAATCCCTGAACCACTCGGGGGGACCGAGTGAATGACCTGCAGAGAGCTGAATGTATCACTTTTGAGTCATTATATTTCATTTTTAACTATAAATGTTGTCATGGATACAGTCCAGTTAATGGTATATCCTACACAGGGGTGCACATCACTTTTTCAGTGAGGTTCTCAGATGAGTACCAGGAGATGGTGTTTGGTACTCACTCCATTTGTCACGTGGTTCTTTTTAATGCTAAAGTTTAGATCAGCTCAGATAATCCACTCAATCCAAGTCAAATAATGACTCTTATTTAAGGGCTAATAAGGGCTCTTTCTTAAAAATGCAAAAAAACAAACAAATCAAAACCATGTTTTGTTAGATTTTATCACAACCTTTTACTTTTGGGCACAACCAACATTATTATGCATTATTAATGCAAGGGAAACTGTAGGTACCACAGCTTTAATTTAGAGACACGGGGAGGACATGGACACTCCTTTAAGGCTCCACAGTCCAGCTCTGTTTCTTGCAGGAACGCAAGATGTATATAGAGATATCTCACGTGACGTCACGATGCCTCGAACTCGCGGGGCATCCGCCATACTGGAGGACAAGCAAACGCTGTATGATAGTGGCGTGCACCCGGGGCCGCATAAACATGTTCAAAAATTTTGCCGTTTTTGGCTGCAGCAAAAGGAGAGACAGGGAAAATAAGTTGTGTTACCGACTGCCAGCCGTCCTTACTTCACACGGCTCAAAAACAGAAGAAATCTCAAAGAAACGAGAGAGAAATGGCACAACCATACGCAACAACAAAAAACTAATAGCCCCCAGAGCGCCCGAATATGCTCGGATCATTTCATTTCTGCTAAGTAAAATCAATTTGATGGCGGATTTAGTGTTATTCCGAAACAAACAGAAGTTTAAGGATAAAACATATCTGTCTGACTGCAACGTGGGGTTGCTCCATAGACTGTAGCTTAGCTTGTAGCATAGCTGTTATATATTTGGTCTCACACAGGACCTCACCCGGTTCACAGGGTATCTGACTTACCGAAGGCCAGCAGACATGTGAACGACTGAGCCGTGCTCGAGGGCGCCCCGTACTAGTATTTATTAATAAAATATACGGCTCCTCACAGTAGACGCAGAAAGCTCCATTGATTTGAATGTAATCTCATTATTTCCACTGCAGTGTAGCCACACATAGATCCATGGTGTAACAATAAACACATTAAATGTTAATCGGAGAATACATTATACATATACATTCTTAATACACGTGCACAGAGGTTTTCTGAATTTTCTGTTCACGTTTTCATGAAAAAACACTGTTTTAATGCGACAATATGCGACCGCGGTAAACCTGGATGTAACGATAAACATTAGTAATACATTTTAGGATGCATTTTCAGAGGATCTGATTCATGAATTTAGGTTGAGTATATATTTGGGTCACTAACTGCTGAAGTTTCAAATTCTCTGTTCAGTTTTCATGTAGTTCGAGAGAGTTCTAGTTTTGAACGTCCAGTTATAGATAGCTAGCAGGGCTGTTACTCGCCGAGGTTGTCCTCCAGTATGGCTGCCGTGGCTGCTAGTCACGTGACCGTAGGATCCCTCTATATTTATTTTGCGTTACACAAAGACAAACACTTGCAACAAGCAGATAATGGTCCACGCTGGGTACATTATGCCCATGTTCGGCTACGTGCTCGCTGCATTGTTGTCAAGGAGCCGCTGTCATTACAAAGCGGCCGGAGTGGCTCTGGAGTCAGAACGTCGCTGCCACACAGGATTTTCAACCTCGTTTGAGTACGTACAGCAAACAGCAGCAAGTGCCCCGGGATCACACACACCCTCTCTGGCATTGCACCACGCCCCCCAAGGGATGAGCGCCCCACTATTTGAGAGGCACTGGTCTATGTGAGGCGCGCAAAGGCGCTTACAAACTCAAGTGATAGTGCGCTATTATTTGTCGCGCATGCGTACCAGCGTACCACTTGTGTGCACCCCTGATTACACATGTGTGTCTCCTCGATTGGCTGTAGTTATTATTTACACTACAATTGTTTTACAAGTACTAGTGGCCAATACCTGCAGGTAAAAGACAGATCCTGTCAGACCTCTGAAGCTAAGCTGGGCAGGGCCTGGTCAGTACTGTGAAGAGAGACCTCTGGGAACACCAGGTGCCACAGTGGCGTCTGCGGCTATAAAGTGTCAAACTGTGGTTGTGTCCTTAGGCAGGACACTTCACCCACATTAGAATGAGTCTGGTGTGTGTGTGACTGGTTGTTGGTGGTGGGAGGTGCCGATAGTACTGGTTGCCTCGGGTCTGTCAGTGTGCCCCAGGGCAGCTGTGGCTACACTTGCAGCTTATCATCACTGTGTTTGGAGTGAGAGAATATTGACACGTGAAGCATCTTTGAGCATCCAGAAAAGCTTTGTAAAAACCGATGCATTATTATTATTATTACTAAATGAGTAGCCATTTCATAAAAGTCCAATTGAGAAAGGTTTGAGACCCCTGTTCCCTTTAGCAGGCTTCGCTAGTGTCACCTGCCAGTACTCGAATAACCCCAAGCAGTCATTGAATCTTATCTGTAAATAATGGAATACAGCAGAATCTGAAATCTAAAATGTTTTCCCAGGTTCACAAGGTTTTTCTTGGAACCACATGTCAGCTCCATGTTTACTTCTGGTTCAGTCCATCTCCAGGAACTTTTCATGTTAATGTGGAAGTGTCGGGTTAGGGTCAGGGTTAGGAGGATGTTGTTCCTGCTGGAGGTGTTGGTTTACCCTCAGTGCAATCAGGTCAGAGCAGCATTATGTTGATGAAGACTCCGCTCTCGTGTCACATGACGTCAACAGGCCCAGTTCTCTCTGGAACCTTTTTAACTGATTTGCCAAAGGACAGAATAAAAGCTATAAGGATAAACAATCATTTAGAAGATGGTAGTTAGAAACTTCATACATAATATTAGGTCTGTTTTTCATTTGTTTTGGAGAAAGTAAAATGGTTCTTTATTTATAGACAGTATTCTCAAAGTGGTAAAAGTCTGCTGAAGCAAATAAATAATGCAGAATACCAACCGTAAAGCCATTAAACTGTTTTGTTTTGGCTCAAGGCAAAGCTCTCACAAAGTTCTGAACACAAAGCAGAAGTTAAAGTTGTTTGGAGAAAGAAAGTGGGAAGATTTTGGACCAGTTTCTATGTTCATTCGAGAGGATAATACAGTGTTTGTGAAGGTTCTGTTTTAATTAGGTTCTGAGGATTCCCCACTGATTTCCCAGACATCTTTAAAAAACTCTTTCTAAATTATTGTTTGTAAAGTTGTGTGTTGTGCAGTGTGCGCTGGTGGACGCAACACAAGAGCTGCGATTACTGAAAAATATTAAAAGTTGTGTTCACAGACACAGACAGAGATAATGGACCAATGGCTGTGTGTTTTCTATCGTTGCATTTTCTGTATTTGAACGGTTTGATTCTCTGATCGGTGTTGGCGAATCAACAGTTTTGTAACAAATGTTATCATCATCATGTAGCATCATGACTGCATATTTATGAAACAAACAAAAAGTCCACTTTTAATTCCATTCCCGGCTCCAAAAGGTCCATGAGCACGATCACTGACATGCTGCAATCTCAACCCCAGCCTGTACCCGGAGAGAGAATTACCCAATGGTTTTGTATGGCGCCTTCTTTCCTCTGGAAAATGCATTTTCAGGGTGGTCCAAAAGTTGCTCTTGGCCCAACGCTACATTCCACATACTGTGAAAGCTGAGGGGAGGATTTTTTTTTTTGGACCAGTCTAGTTTAACCGCTGTGGACTTTTGAATGCACTTGTCAAATAAATGGGGCTAGTGCCGGCTAACACAAATGCGCAAATGTGTTTTTTCACATTTTCCTGCACCCGCGGCCATTTTGAAAAAGCCCATTAAAGGAAAAAAGTGGTGACACATTAGTTTCAGCGGTGGAGATAGTCATGACTACGTCTGATAATATTTACAGTCTATGGTTTTAACACGTATATTACATTCCGTATAAATACATGACAGAGATGTTCACCTTAGATACAGCCTAAGAGGAAACAAAAAAATACATATACCACCAGTTAGAGTTTACTGATGTGAAAACGTTTGTGTGTCTCAGTGTGATGAGTTTCTCTCTGGAACAATTTGGCGAATTAAAAGAAAAACATTTTCAAACCAAATTAAACTCAAATTCTGATAAAGCAAATGGCGGAGAACAGAGCAGGTGATGGGAGGGAGGGGTAGGGTCAGAGAGAGAGAGTGTATTTGTGTGTGTCTGTCTTTGTGTGTGTGTGGGTATGTCTGCGTCTGTCTGTGTGTGCCTGTCTCTTTGTGTGTGTGTGTGTGTGTGTGTGTGTTTGTGTGTGTGTCTGTCTGTATGTGTGTCTCATGGGGTCTTATATATTACTGTATGTCCCGCACAATTGGGGCGACAGTGGCTCAGTTGGTAGAGCATTGGCCTTTGAGCCTGAAGGTCATGGGTTCAAGCCCACCACAAGACCTAGTTCACGACTTCCACTGATGTCTCCTGTCGTTGTGTCCTTGGGCAAGACATTTATCCCCACTTTGCCTGAAGCCCCCGCTAAAAGATCTCGGCTCCTGTGGACTCACCACCTGCAGGAGGATCAGTGAGGGGCTGGTACTGGGTGCAGCCGTGACTGCCACCCCCCGACCCAGAAAGGGATTAAGGGGAACTGGATGGATGGATGGATGGATGTACCGCACAGTAACATATGTGTAGTCTGTTGATTAGTTGCATTGTGTGTTATTGTGTTGCGTCTGCTTTATCCAACCCCTCTTCACACCTGTGTCAACGTGGAGTTGTGTCCTGCATCTTTGAAATAAATCCTGTCTTTCTAAAATAGTTGTAACCAGAGAACTTCCACACCCGCAGCTCTCACCGATTCCTTTCATGGCCTTGTGGAGGATCTCGGCGTCGTGTTTGGCGTTGAAGTTGACGTAGGGTTTGACGCTGCCTCTGTACGCCTGCGGGACACAGCACCGATAGTTCAGTTGTACATTATTGCACTGTCCATATCATTCTACAACATTTATGGACATTGGTCAACTCCCTATCGACCAATTTCTGGACTGTAAGCCTCTACTTTTTTCTAGTTTTTTTGATCGCCTTATACAGCGATGTGGCTAATATGTGTATTTTATTGTGGTAGAGTCTGAGCAGAGTTTATGGAGTAATTATTTTGACTCTATCAAGTTTTAGTTGCCTCAGAACACTTTTTTATTGTTAGAGAAGACCGTATATAGAAGCTGTCATGTATACTGTCTTGGAAGCTGATTACAGTTTGTATGTACCTTAGACAAGATAGACTTTATATATATATATATGTCACATATTGACAGACTTCAATATGTGGATCTCCCCGAGGTTTCTCACTTTTTTCCCACTGGATTTTTCTTATGAGTTTTTTTCTGTTGGACAGTTAGTGTCTAACGGTGGCTGAGTGGATAGCACTCTTGCCTCTCAGCAAGAAGGTCCTGGGTTCGAATCCCAGTCGGACCAGGGCCTTTCTGAGTGAGAACACATGTTCTCCTTGTGTCTGTGTAGGTTTCCTCCGGATACTCCGGTTTCCCCTACCACTAAACATATGTACAATAGTTCTGGCATGCGCCTCGTGTACTGGCGACCCCGCTCTCATCTCTGTGTGGAGAGAGTGGACAAATGCCCAAAATTAACAATTGTAAACCGCTTTGAGACTCAGATTTGCAGTGAAAAGGCGGTATATAAATAAAAAAAGAAGAAAGATTAACAAAAAGGATGCGGTGATGATCCAGGACACTTAAACATTCTACAACATGGATGACGTTATGAACATGTGTTCCATATTCTTTTTATGTCTTAACTGTTGATTCTCTGATCTGTTTTGGTGATTCAATGGTTTTGTTAAGTCCTCTGAGATGACTGCTGTTGTGATTTAGGGCTATACAAGAATAAATTGTTTTGTATTGTATTGATCTTATACTGGAGAAATGTACATGTCAGATTTGACATAGATAGAATCACTCAGATTGTGCAAAAGACAGAAGTGTGCAAACATGTTAAAGGTATGAAATAAAAAATATATAGAATAAATATGTAGAAATGTATACAATGCTGAGGGCTCAATCTTATAATAGCGGCAGTAAAGGCTGAGGTAGGTGGTGTCCTGAAGAGAAGGTGAAGGCCCTCACACGAGCGCCTCACACTTATTTCCACACAGATAATTGTCTCCGGCTCTGGGACTGTGTGTAATTATTGCAGCTTCTAATATCCTGAAAAGGTGTTAAGTGTTATCTTGGCTCCGCTAATGCACGCCTGCTTTTTAAGGAAATGCCATTACAGCTTTTATGGTGTCACCCGTGTCTGGCAGCAGTATTTTCTCATTAAACTCCCTTGAAACAGGCTTACGTATCTACTTTTCTCTCATCAGACAGTCTGAGGACCACATCAAATCAATGATATCAGATGAAGTGCCGCTGTCTCTCTCTCGCCGCCGTCACCGACCGAACACATGCGGAGCTAATGTTTTCCTAATGAGTGAAAGCATTTGTGAGAGACTGGCCCCTCTCAGCAGCAGGCGCGACGCTGGAGAACATGGTGCGATACTTTTGTGTGTTTTTATGTAAATGAACGCATTGAGCAGTTGATGAGTGAGATCAGGGAGAAAACGTCCTGTGGCGGCTGTGGCTCGGAGATGCACTGACCTTCTGCACAGTCCAATACACAAACACGGGTCCACTGCTGCTTTGACACAGAGTGATGCACGGATCTGTCACGGTTTAGGTCTAGCTCCTGTTGTACCTGTTGTAGTTTGTAACGTGTTATCGCTGTGTTTTCCAAAGTTTCCCAGAGAGAGAGACCAGAGAAAGACCAGAGAGAGAGACCAGAGAGAGACCAGAGAGAGACCAGAGAGAGACCAGAGAGAGACCAGAGAGAGACCAGAGAGAGACCAGAGAGAGAGACCAGAGAGAGAGACCAGAGAGAGACCAGAGAGAGACCAGAGAGAGACCAGAGAGAGACCAGAGAGAGACCAGAGAGAGAGAGACCAGAGAGAGAGACCAGAGAGAGAGACCAGAGAGAGAGACCAGAGAGAGATCAGTGAGAGACCAGAGAGAGACCAGAGAGAGACCAGAGAGAGACAAGAGAGACCCAAGAGAGAGACCAGAGAGAGAGCAGAGAGAGACCAGAGAGAGACCAGAGAGAGACCAGAGAGAGAGAGACCATGAGACACATCAGGGCGGAGCAGACAAATCAAGACAGGGGAACCAAAAATGATGATTTAATGAAGATAAAACAAACTCGAAAAACAGAGAAGACAGAGAAAGACCAGAGACAGAGAGCAGAGAGAGGCCAGAAAGAGGCCAGAGAGAGACCAGAGAGAGAGAGACCAGAGAGAGAGAGAGACCAGAGAGAGAGAGACCAGAGAGAGAGACCAGAGAGAGAACAGAGAGAGAACAGAGAGACACAGGTGAAAGACATCAGGGCGGAGCAGACAAATCAAGACAGGAAGTCAAACTAAAACCAAACTAATTTCAAGATAAAGCCAAAGTAAAAAAATAAACAATCCACACCATGGCAGTAGAAGATAAGACATTTCTTTATTCGTCCCACAGTGGGGTAATTGCAGTTACTACATTAAAGCCTAGTATTTAGATTACAGTTACTTTCTGAAAATCACGGGACACATACTTTCTCACATTGTTTTTAATGTTATTATTATATAGGTTATTTCCTAAAGTGAATATTGTATTTTTTCTGTTTGTTAAACGCAGCTGTTGAAGCACTTTGACCTGTTTTCCTAAAATAAACAACAAATGATCAAATAATGACAGGTTTTATTTATTTAAAAATTCATTGTTGTCGTTTTAAATATTTTAAAATGTGCGTTTTGTAAATAAGCATTTATTTACAATAAAAACAGTATCAATAAATAAAGTATCCATAAAAATATTTTAAGTATTCGGAATATAAGAATTACTTTTTCCAAACTTATGGAATCCTATACAAAATACATTTCTGGTCATGTATTCAGTATTCACCAAAAGGGCGACAGAGGCTCAGTTGGAAGAGCATTGGCCTTCAAGCCTGAAGGTTGTGGGTTCGAGCCCACACCCACACAAGACACTTAACCCCACTTTGCCTGAAGCCCCAGTTGAAAAAGAAGGCTGTGTCACTACCCCCCAACGCAAATGGATTAAGTGGAAGAAAATGGATGGATGTTCAGTATTCTGGAACAGAATACATTTTCAACAATATTGCAAGCATCGTTACTCAGCACTACAGGTGCAGGGAGGAGGTCAGGAAAGAGAGGCTAAACTATTATTGAAGAAAACTTACCATTTTTCCTTAACGAGTGTCTGAAAATACACAAATATAATCAGACTTGCTGTAGGTGACTCAATAACAGTTAGTGCTATGTCCTCACAGATGACTCAATAAAGGTTAGTGCTATGTCCTCACAGATGACTCAATAAAGGTTAGTGCTATGTCCTCACGGATGACTCAATAACAGTTAGTGCTACGTACTCACAGGCGGTGGTGTCTGTCGCAGGTCTCTGAGTGACGCCTGTCCAGTGTCTGAAGTGTAGCCAGGTCTGTGTGGGGGCGTGGCCTCTGCACCAGATGGACTTCCCTGGTGCTCTCCTGGTGTCGTCTTACAGGTGTCAGTCACAGGCATCAGTCACAGGCGTCAACCACCGGCGCTTTGTTGCACCTGCGGAGGGTTTAAAAACGCTTCTCGACTTCAAACACTTAATGGCTTTTCCAGTGTATGGTTTCCAACAGGTGTAAATCCCTTCATCGCCTCCTGAATAAACCATGTCAAACCAGGTACAGCCGCGTTATTTATTCATTGTTATCGCAATTGCAATTTGCTGAGAAGCCGAAACAGCGGCACTTAAGAATTTAAAGTGCCGACGTGTAGATCCCTCTGAGCACGCAGCAGACTCGCTCTCTCACTCGCTCCAGGTGTTATGAATAACTCGTGTATGAAATGCTCTATATAAATTAAAATTAAGAGATCCTTTATTGTCCTACAGTGGGGAGATTTCAGACCAGAAAGAAGCCGATAAAAGTAAATTATGAAACCCAAATGAAACTAAAATGCAGTTCCTTCAGAGCGGAGTGGATGTTTTTGTTCCGTAAATTGATGAATAGACAAACAGAATCTGGATGCTTTTTGTTCATGCATAACTTTCCATCTCAGACAAGAGAGAGACAAGAGAGAGACCAGAGAGAGACCAGAGAGAGACCAGAGAGACCAGAGAGAGAGACCAGAGAGAGACCAGAGAGAGAGACCAGAGAGAGACCAGAGAGAGACCAGAGAGACCAGAGAGAGACCAGAGAGAGAGACCAGAGAGAGACAAGAGAGAGACCAGAGAGAGTCCAGAGAGAGACAAGAGAGAGAGACCAGAGACCAGAGAGAGACCAGAGAGAGACCAGAGAGAGACAAGAGAGAGAGACCAGAGAGAGACCAGACAGAGAGAGACCAGAGAGAGACCAGGGAGAGACCAGAGAGAGTCCAGAGAGAGTCCAGAGAGACCAGAGAGAGTCCAGAGAGAGAGACCAGAGAGAGAGACCAGAGAGAGACCAGAGAGAGACCAGAGAGAGTCCAGAGAGAGACCAGAGAGAGAGACCAGAGAGAGACCAGAGAGAGTCCAGAGAGAGTCCAGAGAGAGTCCAAAGAGAGACCAGAGAGAGACCAGAGAGTCCAGAGAGAGAGACCAGAGAGAGACCAGAGAGAGAGACCAGAGAGAGACCAGCGAGAGAGTCCAGAGAGAGACCAGAGAGAGACCAGGGAGACTGGTAGGGATAGTGTAGGAATAGACTAAGTTTATTATTCACATGAAGCAAAATAAAAGTTTTATTTAAAAAAAAATTACGCACAAAGCTTGAACTTCACTCTCGCAAACACGACCAGTGCCTTCTTCACCTTCACAGTTATTTAAGATATGTTTCTGAATGATCTGTTGTGCCCAAGAGTAAAAATCAGCAGATCTCAACTTCAGTGTGGGAAAGAAATGGTGAAAAAAGGCTGCGTCATTAGTGGGAAGTCTGCGGGAAACATGTCTCTCTGAATGCTCTCCTGCGCCTCACATTAAGAAAAACACCAACGGCATTTTCTCAGTGAAGGAACAGATCTGAGTCGTTTTTTTGCAGACGTCAAAGAAACAAAAGCCTCGTGTGAACTTTCGGCTCCTCTGCTGTAAAGACTGTTTGTCTCATTGTCTCCTTTAACAGAAGACTGAAGACTTAACACATAATAATAACTGTCATGTGGCGTGAGATGCAGTAGGACTCAAATGTAGGAATGCAAAACTAATGATTTAATAAAATAAAGTCCAAAGTGAAAACAAATGTCAAAAATCCAAAGGTAATAAAACAAATCCAAAACAGAACCAGGAACCAAGACGTGAACATTCAAGGCAATACAATGAACCCGCAACAAGAAGAGAGGAGCACAGGTACATATAGACACAGACACAGGTGAAAGACATCAGGGCGGGGCAGACAATCAACAGGGAACAGGACAGGAAGTCAAACTGAAATGAAACCTCAGAGAACAAATGTCAAAATAAAACCAAATACAGAAATAAAATCCACACCATGACAAATAACAACTGTTCGAACATCCTCGCTCAACATCAGAGAGCAGCAAAGTGCTCGAAAAAAACCAATACAGGAGCTAAACCAGGACTAAACCAGGACTAAACCAGGACTAAACCAGGATTAAACCAGGACTAAACCAGGACTAAACCAGGACTAAACCAGGATTAAACCAGGACTAAACCAGGACTAAACCAGGACTAAACCAGGACTAAACCAGGATTAAACCAGGATTAAACCAGGACTAAACCAGGATTAAACCAGGGCTAAACCAGGTCTGAGGACGGGGGTCAGTGCTTGTAAACATGTCTTCACCCTGACTTTCTTCTGTGACTGTAAAAGTGCGACTACAGAAGTACCGGGGTCAGCATCAAAGCTCCACCCACTTCTGAGTTTTTCCCCAACGCAGGACGTCAGAGACACACATGTTTGGAATGTTATGAATGTGATTGAAAACGCATAGAGATAGAGAGATAGAGAGATGAGGGATAGAGAGATTGGGATATAGATAAGAGATAGAGAGATGAGAGATAGGGAGATAGGGAGATGAGAGATAGAGAGAATGAGAGATGAGAGATGAGAGATAGAAAGAAGAGATAGAGAGATGAGAGATAGAGAAATGAGAGATAGGGAGATGAGAGATAGGGAGATAGAGAGATAGAGAGCTGAGAAATTGAGAGATAGAGAGATGAGAGATAGAGAAATGAGAGATAGGGAGATGAGAGATAGGGAGATAGAGAGATAGAGAGCTGAGAAATTGAGAGATAGAGAGATGAGAGATGAGAGATAGAGAGAGACGAGAGATAGAGAGATGAGAGATAGAGCTGAGAGATTGAGAGATAGAGAGATGAGAGATAGAGAAATGAGAGATAGAGAGAGACGAGAGATAGAGAGATGAGAGATAGAGAGATAGAGAGATGAGAGATAGAGAAATGAGAGATGAGAAATAGAGAGATGAGAGATAGAGAGAGAGATGAGAGATAGAGAGATCTGAGAGATGAGAGATAGAGAGATGAGAGATAGAAAGATAGACGGATGGGAGATAGAGAGAGGAAAGATAGAGAGATAGAGAGATAGAGGGATGAGAGATAGAGAGAGGAAAGATAGAGAGATGAGAGATAGAGAAATAGAGAGATGAGAGATAGAGATATGAGAGATAAAGAGATAGAGAGTTAGAGAGATAAAGAGATAGAGAGATAGAGAGATAGAGAGATAGAGAAATAGAGAGATGAGAGATAGAGAGATGAGAGATAAAGAGATAGAGAGTTAGAGAGATAAAGAGATAGAGAGATAGAGAGCAGTGAAACCCAGGACTTCCTTTTCTGACGATCACTGAATATTTTAAAAGCTTTTCCAAATTAAAGTTAAATGAAGACCTGTAGCCAGGGCTCTTACTGTACGGCACCAGCGACACCAGCGACACCAGCGACACCAGCGACACCATGTGTACACTGACTTTAATTAAGCTGAGCACTCGTGGAGAGATCTCAGGTTTCAGGTTTTCACTCCGAACATCAAAACACTGTTGGAACAATGTGATTCAGATTCAGATTCAGAAAACTTTATTGATCCCTTAAGGGCAATTGATTTGCTGCAACCTCCGACAGATGTTGTACAAACACATCACAACACTCACTGTGTGTCACTTCCAACAGTACAGACAATAGCAAATAATTAAAAGAAAACGACACATTTCACAAAGGTCGGTGTCACTTAATAAACACACTCCCTTCAGAATTCAACAGTTTAGTGACAGAGGGGACAAAAGAGTTGGCGAAACGATTTGTTTTCCGAGAGGGTACATAAAAACGACGTCCAGAAGGCATGAGCGAAAACTCAGAGGACAGAGCATGGAGAGGCTGACCCAAGATACATTTAGCTTTCTTTAGCGCCTGCTCCTCCCAAAGAGACTGTAGGTCTCTTTGTTTAACACCAATAATTTTAGAGCAGATTTTGATAATGTTTTGCAGTTTGTTTTTATCTTTCACAGACAAACCCTTGAACCAGCAAACAAATGAAAATGTTAATAGGCTCTCTATAAAACAGCAGTAAAAGTTGCAGAGAATCCTTTTATTTACATTAAAAGAGTTCAGCTTCCTTAGAAGATAGATTCTCTGCTGACCGCGTTTAAAAACGGAATCTGTATTTGCGTCAAACCGCAACTTGTTGTCCATCCAAGAACCAAGATATTTGTACTTCTCCACCACTTCCACCCCTTCACCATGGATGACACTGCTGCCCAGAGAGGGCGCTGTGGAGCGTCTAAAGTAAATAATCATGTCCTTGGTTTTTGAGACGTTTAGATCCAAGTAGTTGCTGTCGCACCATTGGACAAACTCTGTCAATGCAGGGCCGTGGTTCATTTCAGATCCTGAGAGTTCCATGTGATGCGTGGATCACACAGAGACGGTCGTTGGACATGATGTAAACAACACACCTGTCTCACATTTTCAGAAAGACTGTTCCATGTTTTAGCTGCATGAATCTCACATGTTTAGTCCTGACTCTGGGACCAGCAAGCAATGGTATGGTATGGTATGGTATGGTATATGGTATGGCATGGTATGGTATGGTATGGTTTTTAATTTTACAGGGACAGTATACAATAAACATAAGCCAAAAGGACAGATGCATTGTACCAGGTTGTAGCAGGAGGCCAGTCCCTGTGCTCCTCAGAGTCCCAGCAGGAGGCCAGTCCCAGGACTCTGTGCCCAATACTGAACATTCTGAGATCATTGAACACAGGTCCACAGGTCCACAGGTCCACAGGTCCACAGGTACACAGGTCCACAGGTTCACAGGTACACAGGTCCACAGGTACACAGGTCCACAGGTCCACAGGTCCACAGGTTCACAGGTACACAGGTCCACAGGTACACAGGTCCACAGGTACACAGGTCCACAGGTACACAGGTCCACAGGTACACAGGTACACAGGTACACAGGTCCACAGGTCCACAGGTCCACAGGTCCACAGGTACACAGGCACACAGGTCCACAGGTTCACAGGTACACAGGTACACAGGTACACAGGTCCACAGGTCCACAGGTTCACAGGTACACAGGTCCACAGGTACACAGGTCCACAGGTACACAGATACACAGGTTCACAGGTACACAGGTTCACAGGTACACAGATACACAGGTTCACAGGTTCACAGGTACACAGATACACAGGTACACAGGTTCACAGGTTCACAGGTACACAGATACACAGGTACACAGGTACACAGGTACACAGGTTCACAGGTACACAGGTACACAGGCACACAGGCCCACAGGTCCACAGGTTCACAGGTACACAGGTTCACAGGTACACAGGTCCACAGGTTCACAGGTACACAGGACCACAGGTACACAGGTCCACAGGTCCACAGGTCCACAGGTCCACAGGTCCACAGGTCCACAGGTCCACAGGTTCACAGGTACACAGGTCCACAGGTTCACAGGTACACAGGTCCACAGGTCCACAGGTCCACAGGTCCACAGGTACACAGGCACACAGGTCCACAGGTTCACAGGTACACAGGTACACAGGTCCACAGGTCCACAGGTTCACAGGTACACAGGTCCACAGGTACACAGGTCCACAGGTACACAGATACACAGGTTCACAGGTACACAGGTTCACAGGTACACAGATACACAGGTTCACAGGTACACAGATACACAGGTACACAGGTACACAGGTTCACAGGTACACAGATACACAGGTACACAGGTACACAGGTACACCACAGGTACACAGATACACAGGTTCACAGGTCCACAGGTACACAGGTCCACAGGTACACAGATACACAGGTTCACAGGTCCACAGGTACACAGGTCCACAGGTCCACAGGTACACAGGTCCACAGGTTCACAGGTCCACAGGTCCACAGGTACACAGGTCCACAAGTACACAGATACACAGGTTCACAGGTCCACAGGTTCACAGGTACACAGGTCCACAGGTTCACAGGTCCACAGGTTCACAGGTCCACAGGTACACAGGTACACAGGTCCACAGGTTCACAGGTACACAGGTTCACAGGTCCACAGGTCCACAGGTACACAGATACACAGGTTCACAGGTCCACAGGTTCACAGGTACACAGGTTCACAGGTCCACAGGTACACAGGTACACAGGTACACAGGTTCACAGGTCCACAGGTACACAGGTCCACAGGTACACAGGTACACAGGGTCACAGGTACAGGTCCTGTGTGAACAGAGCTCATGACGTCTATCATTATAAAGATGTATTTCTTTCTCCCAGATTGAATCGTCTGATCAAATGTGATTGTTATGGATTTTCTGGACGTCCGGCTCAGGTTCACCAGCCGACCCATAATGCACCAGGAGCAAGTGAGCGAGATCACCACTGATGAACGATGGAAGCAGCATCATGCTGCTTCCCTTCTGCAGGGACAGGGATGAGTGGAAGAACACTGGGGCCGAGCTTTATCTTCCTGCAGAACCTTAAACCCTAAAGCCAGAGCTTAGAACGGAAATGTTAAAAACCATCTGAAGAGAGAATGGCCCAGAACCAGACTGAAGACTGAGAACTAAATGGCCCAGTCCCGGACCACAGTCCTGGACCACAGTCCGGACCACAGTCCCAGACCACAGTCCCAGACCACAGTCCCAGACCACAGTCCCAGACCACAGTCCCAGACCACAGTCCCGGACCACAGTCCCGGACCACAGTCCCAGACCACAGTCCGGACCACAGTCCCGGACCACAGTCCCGGACCACAGTCCCGGACCACAGTCCCGGACCACAGTCCCGGACCACAGTCCCGGACCACAGTCCCGGACCACAGTCCCGGACCACAGTCCTAGACCACAGTCCCAGACCACAGTCCCAAACCACAGTCCTGGACCACAGTCCCAGACCACAGTCCCGGACCACAGTCCTGGACCACAGTCCCGGACCACAGTCCCAGACCACAGTCCCGGACCACAGTCCCAGACCACAGTCCCAGACCACAGTCCCGGACCACAGTCCCAGACCACAGTCCCAGACCACAGTCCCGGACCACAGTCCCGGACCACAGTCCCGGACCACAGTCCCGGACCACAGTCCCGGACCACAGTCCCGGACCACAGTCCCAGACCACAGTCCTAGACCACAGTCCCAGACCACAGTCCCAAACCACAGTCCTAGACCACAGTCCTAGACCACAGTCCCAGACACAGACACAGATCCAGACCATAGACCCCAGAGGTAAAGCTGCTCCTGAGTCTGTTCAGTCCTGTCCTGTCCCTCTGCTGGACAAGAACGTGACTGCGCCCTCAGTCAGTCCACTTGAATCAAATCAGACCAGTGACAAAACCAGGACTAGTTCATTTGCTTAACCAGGAAGTGATTCAAGATGTCACCTACATGTGAAAACCAGATCCTATCAGAGTCTGAAGCAGAGCAGGGCCTGGTCAGTCCTGGATATTCTCATCCATTTGTCTCCAGTAGGTTTCACTGTAACTGCCTCCTGCTGGGACTGAGGAGCACAGGGACCGGTCTCCTGCTGGGACTCGGAGGAGCACAGGGACTGGCCTCCTGCTGGGACTCGGAGGAGCACAGGGACTGGCCTCCTGCTGGGACTAAGGAGCACAGGGCCTGGCCTCCTGCTGGGACTAAGGAGCACAGGGACTGGCCTCCTGCTGGGACTAAGGAGCACAGGGCCTGGCCTCCTGCTGGGACTAAGGAGCACAGGGCCTGGCCTCCTGCTGGGACTAAGGAGCACAGGGCCTGGCCTCCTGCTGGGACTAAGGAGCACAGGGCCTGGCCTCCTGCTGGGACTAAGGAGCACAGGGACTGGCCTCCTGCTGGGACTAAGGAGCACAGGGCCTGGCCTCCTGCTGGGACTAAGGAGCACAGGGACTGGGCTCTCGCTGGTCCCAGTCAGGACTAAACATGAGGAGGCAACAATGGTACGAGGGGAAGTCATGTGGATGTTGGTGCATCAATGTGTGCGTGTGCGTGTGAGTGTGCGTGTGTGTGTGCGTGTGTGTCAGTGTGTCAGTGCGTGTTATGAATGTGTTTTAGATAAAGGCCTGGAACCTATTCTTATATTATTCATCTTTATGCTTTCAGAAACTAAAGGAGCCCCAACATTTTATAAGAGATAGATTCCTACACTATAAACTCAACAATAATTAAATAAAATGGGTCACTTTAGTTTAGTCCTCACTAAGTACGTGCTGATTAGGGAATGGTTTATGGTGAAATACCTCTTTATTGATAACGACTAGGCACGTATTAGTCCTTAATCTCACTCACTTCAGAACTTCAAAACACTGCTCAAAACACGTAACTGTTTAATTTTAGCTTTTAATTTTTTTTTCTTCGTCTTTGAGGGCCCAAAAAAGCGCGTTAAAAGTAAAATGTAGTATCATTAACCGATGTGGACAAAGTAAAACAGTATTAGTTTCTCCTCTGAATCCGGGTTTCTGTAGATTCATGTGCGCGGCTTTGGCACCGAAAGGATTCAATAATGAAACCATAGACTAAAACAACCTCTTAAAGGACTCCAGTCTGGTCCTTCAGAGCCTCTGATGTGCGGCCATTCGTTTTCATCACGTCCCCCTCGGCTCCAGAACCACCTCTGAGTGATGTCATGACAGCGAACAGATGGACCAGAGGACAAGATATTAGTCCAATTTATTTAAAGTGTGAAATCTTAATGTGAAACTGGAAGCAGCGTTTCAGACTCATGCAGATATAATCCAGTTTATTAACTTTACTCTTAAATATTATGGGGGTAGAATTACATTTCAACGTTTTCTTCCTGGCAACGATTTGGGTTTATTTTCCCTCTTATGCAGTTTAGCAATACTTTATTTTTGTTGGAAACTAAGGGACAAGGTGTCTTGTGCCCAATGTGAAATGCCTGAAATAAATATGGCAATTTTTAGGTTTGTAATTTTCTCCCCCGTTGGGATTTGTATTTTACTGTAGATAGGTGATTTCTTGCTGTGATACGGAATGTGAGTTGCTTTGGCGTGTGTAGGAAAGGCGCTCTATACAAAGTTAGTCCCTGTCAAACGCAGATGAGATCCTTTCATAAACAGCTTTTTACAGTGGCTTCAGCCAAAACAGGTGCACAATGCCACTGAGCGCTCCTTTAACCAGCAACATGGAGCAAAATAGACGGGAATCTTTAGACAGATGTGTTCATTCTAACGCCAAAGTATAATTCACACAAGTAAAATACCAGAATTTTAAAAACAGCTTTATTATTTTGCAGTGAGAAACAGACGTGCCATTACAAAAACAAGCCTCTCACACGAGTTTACAGTCCTGCTCAGGCTGAAACACTAAAGTCGGTTCTCACTGGACGCGCTGGAGCCTGTGGTCAGAGGGCGGCTGTCTGAAGGAGCGCGTCGGCTGCAGAGAGGACTTGGACACGGAGTTCCTCAGCTGCTTCATGAGCATCCACAGCAGCAGCAGCATGAGGCTCAGCAGTCCGAACAGGATGCCCAGGTAGAGGCTGATGTTCCAGCCCCAGCCCAGAGCCAGGGGCAGAGTGGTGGACGCAACAAGGAACCTCCGAGGCGCAGGCATGGGTCATGGAGCCGCGGTCCTTATGCTCTCCTGGTCACAGACACCTCCATACGAGAGCGCGGGGAAGAGACTGACGAGCTCTGACTGAGGAAAATGAAGTATTCCAGAAAGTGACAAAAATCCTAGACACATTGAAATCCAGTGGTTTCTTCAGGAGGCAGTGAACCCTGTTGGAAACGTGGGCAACAGTGGAACTGAGATTACAGCTGGAGTCATGTCCCACCTCCTCCTGAGAGCCTGCCTCCCAGACTGAGAGGAGGGGCACAAGGATAGTAACCAAGGAAATTATACATTGGAACTAGTGAATGTACAACCAAACAGTTCTTTAAAACGCAGCTAAAGATTCACGTCTCATTACCTTCTAATCTACTGCCCTCTAGTGTTCAATACAGACACATGTAGGTCTTATGTGATTTATTTACAAGAGCCAGTTTGTACAGTGCAGTTAGTGTCTATGGAGACATGGATGACGACAGTGAAGTTTCGAAGCAGCGGGAAAAACTGATTGCTCCTCTGCAGCAAACATTGTTACGTCGACTGCGTTATTGTAAAGACAGGATTTAGTATAGATATAAAAATATTTAAAAACTCTAACATTATGCCCGACTCCAAAAAGAGCAGGTCAGTCTCAAAAAACAAACAGTCATTAAAAAATATTGAGGAAATATGTACAAGGAGCAGAGGGTGTTCACTTCAAGTTTAGCCGCTCTGGAGCCGTGAGCAGCGACACCTCGTAGAACCTGCAACAGAACGATACCGTCAGAGCCCGGACGTGGAACAGACAGAACCGGTGCTGTAGATTACGCTACGCACTTGTGAGTCTTGTACTTCTCCCGGATGGACTGCTGAGCGTGTTGAGGCGCCGCCACGTAGACTCGGTGCAGATCCTCCACACACGGCAGCAGCTCCTCCAGACTGTAGCCGCTCAGTTCTGTCAGAGACTTTGGCTGTGGAGGAGACAGACTTTAAAAAAAAGGAGGGTTTCCTCAAGTTTAAGGAACGAACCGCCCGCTCCTTTAAACTTAGACACAAATCACCAGAATGATTTAGATTGAGGATTATGTCTTGAGCCACCTGGATGTGGAAAACAGTCCCATGTACCTTTAAATATGTAATATTTCCAGGTCAAGTAATCATTAAATGACGCTAATCTATCAAAAGGCATTAATAAAACATGCTCTTTTAGAGCAGGTCTTTCAACTGACGAGTTCAGAAGTAGTCAAATATTAAGAAACAAAGGTCTTGTGATTTCAAATCATTTATGACAAAAAGGACTTTGAAAAATTAAACATTTGTTGTTGACACCATTTCCTATTCAGCCATTACGTTCACAGTGGGATTAGTCTGCATATCTGGCAACCCGAGTCAGAGAGTAGACTACAGAATACTTACTGATGCAGGCCCACTTGACCAAATTTTTACATTTACTTTAAGAACTGGTCCCTACCACATCTGAACGTCCTGAAAACAGGTCATGGAGCAGAGCGCTACACGTACACTGCGAGGCAAAGACCAATGTCCTTCAAGACATTAATGAATATACGCAAGGTCTTACTTTTTATTAAATACTCTGGACTCACAGTAACACTCCCAGAGGCACTCTGCATTGTGTGTGCAGTTATCTGTCAGAAATTAGTCCATAAAGTTAGCGCAGAGTTTAAATAGCTGTAGTGCAGGGGTTTATCGTTTATAGACTGAACGTACCAGTATTAAAGCAAACTTGTAAACACTTAGGTCTTCACTGGAACAAAAACATCCTAATCTCAGTCAATAAATCATGGTGATGAGAGATCCTTAAAATGCAGCCTTGATGTGACTTATAAAGAGGAAAATCTCGTAATTCTCAAAGTAGAGTATTTCACATTCCAGAGGAGCTTACCCAGGAGCCGCCGGTCACCGTGTGGTTGGCGAGGATGTAGGCCGCAGCAGCAGTTTGTGAAGGCAGGTACTTCAGACACGGCTCGGAGTCTATTAAGCTGAGCTCACTCAGGTACTGTGGGAAGAGAGCACCACGTTAGCTACAAACATTCAGGAAGTGACAGTCTGTCACCAACACTGGAAAAGATTAGTCAGATTATTTAAACTCTGAATTAGCTGATGTGCAGTTTATAAATATTTTAGGGTCTGGGAACAAATGTACTAGTTTCTTATTGCTAAAAAAGTCCTAATTACTTTACGGGCGGCACGGTGGCTGAGTGGATAGCACTCTCGCCTCTCAGCAAGGAGGTCCTGGGTTCAAATCCCGGTTGGACCAGGGCCTTTCTGAGTGGAGTTTGCATGTTCTCCCCGTGTCTGCGTAAGTTTCCTCCGGGTGCTCCGGTTTCTCCTACCACTAAAAATATGTACAATAGGTCTGGCATGTGCCTCCTGTACTGGCACCCCCACTCCCAAAAATAAGAATTGTAAACCGCTTTGAGACTCCGATGTGCAGTGAAAAGGCGGTATATAAATAAAGATTACTACTACTACTACTACTATTTATTGAATGGGTTGGGGATATTCTTTTGTTACAATTAAGAATTAGTCTAGTAAAGTTTCAATTACCAACTTAAAACTTTAACTTCTAGCAGGGATGCACAGGTTGCACTCTGCGAGTATCTCAAATGTCCAATAAGATCGTTAAATTATTCTGGCTGCCCCCTACTGTAAAACATTGGCACCATCTATTTCATCTACGGAGGAAAGTGCACGGTCCCTCTTCCAACGCGCCGACCAGCCGCAAATGTTTTTGCCAATACCGATGCATCCTAGACCACCACATGACTCCTGGTGCACCCACCATGGCCAGGCTCTCCACCTGCTTGCTGACCGTCTGGTTGAGGATGTATTGTGTGAGGAACTGGTTGATGGTTGGAGCCGCCAGGTCGAAGGACAGAACCTTCAGAACCAGATGCTCCATTCGCAGCACCTGGTTCCTGGTGTAAGTGTCGTCTGTGATGTAGACAAACTCTGCCACCTCTGGAGGGTAGATCTCCTCAAATTTACTGCAGAGACAAGACATTTGTACAGTTATACTCTGTAAGGCCCAGAACCTGTGTGTATGCTATGGTCCAGTCCAAGTTTGTTGTTTTGGAGTCTGGGAAAGTGTAGACATACCAGAACATTTAAAGTTTATAAAACCAAAGTTAAATTTCAAAATGAGAAATACCAGCTACAGTAGCCAGTACATAGTAAGTACTGCATGTGAAAGCCAGATCTGGTCTCTGAAGCTAAGCAGGGCCTGGTTAGTACAGTGATGGGAGACCTCTGGGAACATGAGGTGGGACAGCTGTGAAGTGTTAAAACTCGTGTCTTGCCTAAGGACACTTCAACCATTCATCCACATTTCCTAGAATGAGTCTGGAGAGGGAATGACGGCACATACTGGTTGCCTTGCTTTCTGGCAGTTGTGGCTACAGTAGCAGTTTATCACTGTATGAGTGAAAGAAATGACTGATTTGAAGCATCCATTTAAAAAAAAAAAAAACCTATACTGGTCAGACACTTACGAGGCGAGCAACATGGCCGCTGTTCCCACCAGCTGCAGCTTCCCGCGCAGCACAGACATGGACGACAGGAAGCGGTCGATGTAGTTCACAGCCAGGTAAAGAGTTTCGTTCTGAAGTTTGTATTCTTCCCCAACCTCAACCAGCCAGTCCACCAGGATGGACCTCATGCTGTTTGTTATGTCCGGCTGCTTCTTCATGTAGCCAGCCTTCGGCCGCGTTTTGATCTAAAATAAAAGTTGTTTAGCACCAAGTAACAGATGTCAGAAGACTGATTCACACTTGCCTCCATTTCCCTCAGATACGTGTGGATCTCAGCAGCGTACTCTGGGACCTCATTTACATTCGCAGTCTTCTCCTCACCCTCGAGAACAGACATGTCCATGGGAGAGTCTGAGCAGAAGGTACACAGAGTTATGAGATTAAGATTAATTTAATATAGAGCAAGGTTTAATATGGAGCAAGGTTTAATATGGAGAGCAGCGTTTACCAAGGAGGCTGATGTCCATCGCATCGAGGGGAGCCAGGGGTCGTCGGAGCTGTGCTGCTGCATTGATGACAGGAGAGTCCTCTGCGGAGGACTTGATCCGGTTCTGGTTCTCTTTGAGAGGCTCAGCTGGCACTGGCTTCTTTGTACAAGCACCGTCAGGTTCATCCACATGGATCTGGAAGGCAGGCTGTTTCTTCTCAAAGCAACTTTTACTGAAGTCGTCATTCTTGCTAAACTCCTACAAATGTTTAAAAATGAAAATAATTAATGTCACTTGTTTGTGTGAAATTCCTAAACAATGATGCCAAAGAAAAGTATAGCCCCCATCACAGCTACAAACTATGTACATACTTTGGTACTATCAAGATAGCAGCACTGTTATGCCATTGAGAGTTTAAGCAGATATGTAGAGCAAATGTTACAACCTGATCCTAAAGGCTTCAGGCCATAGAATGAAATTAATCAAAAACCATTAATCTAAAAGTGGCTGCACTGACCGAGAATACTATAATAGATCCCTGTGACGTATGAAAAATGGCGGACTTTAATGCAACATTTTTTATAATCAAACAAAACTGATGGATAAAAGTGTACAGTTGTAATCATGCAACCCTTGATTTATGCCAGAGTTTATCATTGAAAATGAATCATAATGTTCTACCACCTAAAAAGCACACTTAGCACGAAGCTAATGAAGCTATGGAGCCCACACAGACCTGCTTTATGCCGCGCTGGGTCAGAGTCTTGCTCCTCTGGTTGCTCTGCAGTGATCCGAGCACGGTCCTGGAGCTGGCTTTGAGCGGGACGTTCTCCTGGTCCTCGGTGGGAGCAGCTTTGCCTCTGAGCCGTGGAAGCATGTTCTCCTGGTTGTTAAAGTCAGTAACCGCGCTAGTTTGCCCCCTGTTCACTCCAGACATTGTTGCTGCTGTTGCTGATGCTAAAAAGCTACTAAAAACGTGTGCAGGCGACACGATGCAAGGGTTTTTTTTTAAATCCACTTCCTCTGCTTTTGGAAACTTTAGTTGAATTAAAACTAAACAGTTGAGATGGCAACAGAATACAGGAACTTCTGTGGGAAAACAGAGCCAGAAGGAGAAGTGTACATATTAGCTTGGATAAAGGCTAATCCGATGCTAACCGTATTATAATAATAATAAAAATAATAATAATAGAATAAGCCGAATGTTGTTCAGACCTGAGGCCGGGTCTGGGGCAGTGGCATCAGTCCTGGATCCGACTTGGGGCAGTGTGAACTCGGATCCCCGCACACAGACCTCTCGCTGGATGCTCTGGAGTCGCTTTCTCTCAGTTCAAGTAGCCCGCGACGATTGAAAGCACCAATCACAGACAAGCTAATGCTAACGCGTCACAGCTACGGAGGCTGCGCGCGGACATGTCTCAGCTGATTGCAAATTTCAAACCGGTTTGTGGATGCATCCGAATTCGTCGCTGAAACCCGCGGATCTTTTCTTGTTCTTTTCAACGAGCGCGGTGTCGTTACGTCTCACAGCCAAAGTGGGAGTAAAACCTCGTTAATATGTGTTAAATACAAGCTGAACAAACATGGAGCTGCTGTGATCCAGGAAAGCACTGTTTTTAAATGCAAGGAAGGATAATGAAGGAGGGTTACTGCTTGAGTTGGGGAGAATACTTTGTGCATGGATTTTTCTTTACATAAAAACATACATTTTCCAAACATAATTGTTATTGTTAAATTGCTCAAGATCAAATACATTTACACAATCAATAAAAGTGGCGTTTTCATTGTTGTTTTCTGCATGACTCCTTTATAATCAAAAGTATTCTTTTGATTATAAAGGAAGTACTCCTGGTATTTGTATTCATGACGCTCCAACACTACATTGAAATGCAGAGATAGGGAGTAACTGAATTAATTGCACATATTTGCAATGTTAGTTAGAAATGTTTATAATTGTTTATAATTGATGTACTTATGTGTTTATATGGTGTTTCTGCTGCTAGACTCCTGAATTTCTCCTACGGTGATCCATCCATCCATCTCTTTATATAATACTAACCACAATCATCAGATAAATATTTTATTACAATACAATACAATACTTATTATTCAAGTGCTGCGTTTATATCTACATTTAGTATGATTTAACAATAGGAGCCTGATGTATCTTGAGCCCATATAGACTGTGAAGCTCCAGACTTTAGAAACTGCTGCTTTATGTTTGTTTAGACTTCAACTGACGCAAACAAACATTGGGATCATTTTATCCACTCAAGAAGACGATAAACAATGAATTAGTGAAAATTCCTCAGTTTTATGCCATATCAAAGACAAAAACAACATCTCTGTGAGTTTTACTGTTAGTTTGACTCCACTCACTTCACCTGCATAATTTCTTATATGTGCAATAATTAATCTGAATAATGTCAGAATGTGTCTCTATGACCCAGAGCCTCACGCTGCAACATGTACAAACGTAAACATTCTATAAACTTCTGCTCTTGAATATTCAGGATTTAGACGTGCTTCTTTATTATGCTAAAGCTATAGTTTTATTTTAGTAGAGTTATTGCTCATGTATCGTGTGCTCCTCATTCCTACTGCTCTGTACCAGCTGATGCAACACTGACATTTCCCCACCGTGGGACCAATAATCTTACATGAGTAGAAACACTAAAGTTTTAATATTTCCTGGATCAAACCCTCTCACACAAGCTCCATCTTCCCCGTTTTACTTAGTCGCAGAATTAGCCACATTTATTTATTTATTGTTTTATTTAAATCCCCTTGTAAGCGTGTCCGAGCTGACACTGTATCCAGATGTATTACAGGACACATTTCAGTTGTCCTATTATTCTAAATGTTAAATAGTAGAGACGAGACTTCAGGTCACATGTTTGACTCTGAGGCGTGGAGCAGCGGTATCAACACTTAATCATGATGTGGCCTCTGTTCCCCTCGCCCCGCTCTCTAACCGAGAGGCTCCCACTTTATTAGTGATCTTTAACCTGATCAGCATCGTTTGGGTTTGAATAGTTGAGTGAATATTGTGTTAGATGTACTCAAACTTCCCATCAGGGCCCTCCGACATGTGAGGAATCAGCCCCTGCAGCTAAACTACATTTGAAGCAGTAGTGATGTAATTGTAATGTATTGATTGGATTTTAAGTCGCACCAGCCGAAAATGCATAATAAAGAAGAAAAAAAACAAAACAATATATATATATTTTTTAAGTAGTATATAAGTTGCACTAGAGTAAAAGCTGCATATTGTGGGTTTTGATGCCCTGGGCTATCAGTTGGTATTTTACAGTAAATAAAATATAAAATGTAATATTTTCACAAATAAGTCGCACTCCTGACCAAAGTATAACGAAACTGGGACTTATGATCTGAAAAATACGGTAGTAGTTTATTTCTTTGGCCAATGGATCTTAGCCCACATGTTTTTCAAAAATCTGGGTCCTGGGTTCAAATCCTGGTCGGAACAGGGTCTTTCTCAGTGGAGTTTGCATGTTCTCCCCGTGCCTGTGTAGGTTTCTTCCGGGTACTCTGGTTGCCCCTACTACTAGCTCCGGTACTCCTGACCAAACTGAGCATCAACATCTGGAGATGGGTTCCCGGGCGCTGTTACTACGGCGACCACTGCTCCTGACAGAAGCCTTAGCGGCATCAGAATGGGTCCAATGCAGAGGATTGAATTGTAATACGGGGATCAATAAAGTCCACATTTACCTTTACCTTTAAAATCTTACACGTTTTACAATATGAAAAAAGTAAACTAGAACATGTAGATAAAGAATTTGTCAAAACAAGCTAAATCCATCGTAATATTTTTCATTTAAATAATTTATAGTGTCGTTTGACCTTAACTCCAGTCATTCGTTGAGTTTAGAAAGAAATAATTTACGATACAAAAACCTCTTTATTTGATCCATCCCCTCAGAGGGTCATGCTCCCCACTTTGAGACCCACTGCGTCATGAAACAAACTAAAGGCAAATAAAAATAAGTAACAAACAAACACATGTACGTTCTATACAAAGAAAGTTATCTATTTCAATTATACATCATTAAAAAAGTCCAAAAGAGTATTTAAATCGTAGTGATCCAGAATCTCCAACAGTGAGGACACTTTAGTTTTGACGTTCTGTCCTTTGAACTTGAACTTGTCGATGTAGAGGTCCGTGAGCATTCCTGCCACACAACAACAGGAGTTTTTAATCAATCCAGTGAAAGTATTTATTCAGTGTTTATTTGTTTGAGCTGATTTGTGTCCGTTGTCCCACAGTCTCCCTCACAATCACACACTCATTCACCCTGAACTATTGTATATTTTTAGTGGTAAGGGAAACGGGAGCACCTGGAGGAAACCTATGCAGCCACGGGGAGAGCATGCAAACATGTTTTATCTTGTGCTGTGTGCTCCTCATTCCTACTGTTTTGTAAGGTCTCTCTCTCTCACTCTGGCCTCTCTCTCTCTGGCCTCTCTCTCTCTGGCCTCTCTCTCTCTCTGGCCTTTCTCTCTCTGGCCTCTCTCTCTCTCTGGCCTTTCTCTCTCTCTGGCCTTTCTCTCTCTGGCCTCTCTCTCTCTGGCCTCTCTCTCTCTGGCCTCTCTCTCTCTGGCCTCTCTCTCTCTGGCCTCTCTCTCACCCTGGTGTCTCTCTCTCACCCTGGTGTCTCTCTCTCTGGCCTCTCTCTCTGGCCCCTCTCTCTGGCCTCTCTCTCTCTGGCCCCTGTCTCTGGCCCCTCTCTCTGGCCTCTCTCTCTCTGGCCCCTGTCTCTGGCCCCTCTCTCTGGCCCCTCTCTCTCTGGCCCCTGTCTCTGGCCCCTCTCTCTCTCTGGCCTCTCTCTCTGGCCCCTCTCTCTCTGGCCTCTCTCTCTCTGGTCTCTCTCTCTCTGGTCTCTCTCTCTCTGGCCCCTGTCTCTGGCCCCTCTCTCTGGCACCTCTCTCTCTGCCCCCTGTCTCTGGCCCCTCTCTCTCTCTGGCCTCTCTCTCTGGCCTCTCTCTCTCTGGCCTCTCTCTCTCTGGTCTCTCTCTCTCTGGTCTCTCTCTCTCTGGTCTCTCTCTCTCTGGCCTCTCTCTCTGGCCTCTCTCTCGTGTCTCTCTCTCACCCTGGTGTCTCTCTCACCCTGGTGTCTCTCTCTCTCTCTGGCCTCTCTCTCTCTGGCCTCTCTCTCTCTGGCCTCTCTCTCTCTGGCCTCTCTCTCTCTGGCCTCTCTCTCTCTGGCCTCTCTCTCTCTGGCCTCTCTCTCCGGCCTCTCTCTCCGGCCTCTCTCTCCGGCCTCTCTCTCTGGTATAATCTGTTTTAGAATGAGGAAATAGTTGGACAGATTTCATGACCTAGTTTCATTCCTGGAGGTTTGAAAGTCAGGTCCCTCAGCTTTAAGTACCATAGAGTCTCTCCAGGTGCGCCGGCTGCTTCTTGTACTCCTCCAGCAGACTCGCAGACTGGTCCAGAATGCTGCGGTACTCTGGGATGAGGAAGTCTGCGTTCCCCTCGTGCACCTGCAGCTCCTACAGAGAAACAGATTCAGTTTATTTACCATTTGCAGTAAAACCACGTTGGAATAACTGTGCAAGAGTCCCCAGTGTCACCAGACAAGTACAGACGTAAAACAATCTAAAAAATAAAACAAAATTACAGAAACAATCATCACTGTGAAACTAATCAACAAAAACAGTTTCAATAAAAAATTATTAAAGCTCTTTTTTTCAGACTGATAACAGCTGAAAGAAGCTGTTAGCATGTTAGCATATCCAGATGTCCTGCAGCCAACAATATCTTCTGCCAGAGAGAAGAAGCTGGAACATGGCTAATCGATCTCTGGCCCCTCTCTCTCTCAGGTCTCTCTCCCTCTGGTCTCGCTCCCTCTGGTCTCGCTCCCTCTGGTCTCGCTCCCTCTGGTCTCGCTCCCTCTGGTCTCGCTCCGTCTGGTCTCGCTCCGTCTGGTCTCGCTCCGTCTGGTCTCTCTCTCTGGTCTCTCTCTCTGGTCTCTCTCTCTGGTCTCTCTCTCTGGTCTCTCTCTCTGGTCTCTCTCTCTGGTCTCTCTCTCTGGTCTCTCTCTCTGGTCTCTCTCTCTGGTCTCTCTCTCTGGTCTCTCTCTCTGGTCTCTCTCTCTCTCTCTGGTCTCTCCCTCTGGTCTCTCCCTCAGGTCTCTCTCCCTCTGGTCTCTCTCCCTCTGGTCTCTCTCCCTCTGGTCTCGCTCCCTCTGGTCTCGCTCCCTCTGGTCTCGCTCCCTCTGGTCTCGCTCCCTCTGGTCTCGCTCCCTCTGGTCTCGCTCCCTCTGGTCTCGCTCCCTCTGGTCTCGCTCCCTCTGGTCTCGCTCCCTCTGGTCTCGCTCCCTCTGGTCTCGCTCCCTCTGGTCTCGCTCCCTCTGGTCTCGCTCCCTCTGGTCTTTCTCTCTGGTCTCTCTCTCTGGTCTCTCTCTCTGGTCTCTCTCTCTGGTCTCTCTCTCTCTGGTCTCTCTCTCTGGTCTCTCTCTCTGGTCTCTCTCTCTGGTCTCTCTCTCTCTGGTCTCTCTCTGGTCTCTCTCTCTGGTCTCTCTCTCTGGTCTCTCTCTCTGGTCTCTCTCTCTGGTCTCTCTCTCTGGTCTCTCTCTCTCTCTGGTCTCTCTCTCTGGTCTCTCTCTCTGGTCTCTCTCTCTCTCTCTGGTCTCTCCCTCTGGTCTCTCCTCAGGTCTCTCCCTCTGGTCTCTCTCCCTCTGGTCTCTCTCCCTCTGGTCTCTCTCCCTCTGGTCTCGCTCCCTCTGGTCTCGCTCCCTCTGGTCTCGCTCCCTCTGGTCTCGCTCCCTCTGGTCTCGCTCCCTCTGGTCTCGCTCCTCTGGTCTTTCTCTCTGGTCCTCTCTCCTCTGGTCTCTCTCTCTGGTCTCTCTCTCTGGGTCTCGCTCTCTCTCTCTGGTCTCTCTCTCTGGTCTCTCTCTCTGGTCTCTCTCTCTGGTCTCTCTCTCTGGTCTCTCTCTCTGGTCTCTCTCTCTGGTCTCTCTCTCTGGTCTCTCTCTCTGGTCTCTCTCTCTGGTCTCTCTGGTCTCTCCCTGGTCTCTCTGGTCTCCTCTGGTCTCTCTCTCGGTCTCTCTATCCTCTGGTCTCTCCCTCTGGTCTCTCTCTCTGGTCTCTCTCTCTGGTCTCTCTCTCTGGTCTCTCTCTCTGGTCTCTCTCTCTGGTCTCTCCCTCTGGTCTCTCTCTCTGGTCTCTCTCTCTGTCTCTCTGGTCTCTCTCTCTGGTCTCTCCCTCTGGTCTCGCTCCCTCTGGTCTCGCTCCCTCTGGTCTCGCTCCCTCTGGTCTCTCTCTCTGGTCTCTCTCTCTGGTCTCTCCTCTGGTCTCTCTCTCCCTCTGGTCTCTCCTCTCTGGTCTCTCTCTCTCTGGTCTCTCTCTCTCTGGTCTCTCTCTCTGGTCTCTCTCTCTGGTCTCTCTCTCTGGTCTCTCTCTCTGGTCTCTCTCTCTGGTCTCTCTCTCTGGTCTCTCTCTCTGGTCTCTCTCTCTGGTCTCTCTCTCTCTGGTCTCTCTCTCTCTGGTCTCTCTCTCTGGTCTCTCTCTCTGGTCTCTCTCTCTGGTCTCTCTCTCTGGTCTCTCTCTCTGGTCTCTCCTCTGGTCTCTCTCTCTGGTTCTCTCTCTCTCTGGTCTCTCTCTCTGGTCTCTCTCTCTGGTCTCTCTCTCTCTGGTCTCTCTCCCTCTGGTCTCTCCCTCTGGTCTCTCTCCTTGGTCTCGCTCCCTCTGGTCTCGTCCTGTTCGCCCTCTGGTCTCGCTCCCTCTGGTCTCGCTCCCTCTGGTCTCGCTCCCTCTGGTCTCGCTCCCTCTGGTCTCGCTCCCTCTGGTCTCGCTCCCTCTGGTCTCGCTCCCTCTGGTCTCGCTCCCTCTGGTCTTTCTCTCTGGTCTCTCTCTCTGGTCTCTCTCTCTGGTCTCTCTCTCTGGTCTCTCTCTCTGGTCTCTCTCTCTGGTCTCTCTCTCTGGTCTCTCTCTCTGGTCTCTCTCTCTCTGGTCTCTCCCTCTGGTCTCTCTCTCTGGTCTCTCTCTCTGGTCTCTCTCTCTGGTCTCTCTCTCTGGTCTCTCTCTGGTCTCTCTCTCTGGTCTCTCCCTCTGGTCTCTCCCTCTGGTCTCTCTCTCTGGTCTCTCTCTCTGGTCTCTCTCTCTGGTCTCTCTCTCTGGTCTCTCTCTCTGGTCTCTCTCTCTGGTCTCTCTCTCTGGTCTCTCTCTCTGGTCTCTCTCTCTGGTCTCTCTCTCTGGTCTCTCTCTCTCTGGTCTCTCTCTCTGGTCTCTCCCTCTGGTCTCTCCCTCTGGTCTCTCCCTCTGGTCTCTCTCTCTGGTCTCTCTCTCTGGTCTCTCTCTCTGGTCTCTCTGGTCTCTCTCTCTGGTCTCTCTCTCTGGTCTCTCTCTCTGGTCTCTCTCTCTGGTCTCTCTCTCTCTGGTCTCTCTCTCTGGTCTCTCTCTCTGGTCTCTCTCTCTGGTCTCTCTCTCTCTGGTCTCTCTCTCTGGTCTCTCTCTCTCTCTCTCTGGTCTCTCTCTCTCTGGTCTCTCTCTCTCTGGTCTCTCTCTCTCTCTCTGGTCTCTCTCTCTCTGGTCTCTCTCTCTGGTCTCTCCCTCTGGTCTCTCCCTCTGGTCTCTCTCTCTGGTCTCTCTCTCTGGTCTCTCTGGTCTCTCTCTCTGGTCTCTCTCTCTCTGGTCTCTCTCTCTGGTCTCTCTCTCTGGTCTCTCTCTCTCTGGTCTCTCTCTCTGGTCTCTCTCTCTCTCTGGTCTCTCTCTCTCTGGTCTCTCTCTCTCTGGTCTCTCTCTCTCTGGTCTCTCTCTCTCTGGTCTCTCTCTCTCTGGTCTCTCTCTCTCTGGTCTCTCTCTCTGGTCTCTCTCTCTGGTCTCTCTCTCTCTGGTCTCTCTCTCTCTGGTCTCTCTCTCTGGTCTCTCCCTCTGGTCTCTCTCTCTGGTCTCTCTCTCTGGTCTCTCCCTCTGGTCTCTCCCTCTGGTCTCTCCCTCTGGTCTCTCCCTCTGGTCTCTCCCTCTGGTCTCTCCCTCTGGTCTCTCTCTCTGGTCTCTCTCTCTGGTCTCTCTCTCTGGTCTCTCTCTCTGGTCTCTCTCTCTGGTCTCTCTCTCTGGTCTCTCTCTCTGGTCTCTCTCTCTGGTCTCTCTCTCTGGTCTCTCCCTCTGGTCTCTCTCTCTGGTCTCTCCCTCTGGTCTCTCCCTCTGGTCTCTCCCTCTGGTCTCTCCCTCTGGTCTCTCTCTCTGGTCTCTCCCTCTGGTCTCTCTCTCTGGTCTCTCTCTCTGGTCTCTCTCTCTGGTCTCTCTCTCTGGTCTCTCTCTCTGGTCTCTCTCTCTGGTCTCTCCCTCTGGTCTCTCCCTCTGGTCTCTCCCTCTGGTCTCTCCCTCTGGTCTCTCTCTCTGGTCTCTCTCTGGTCTCTCTCTCTGGTCTCTCTCTCTGGTCTCTCTCTCTGGTCTCTCTCTCTCTGGTCTCTCCCTCTGGTCTCTCCCTCTGGTCTCTCTCTCTGGTCTCTCTCTCTGGTCTCTCTCTCTGGTCTCTCTCTCTGGTCTCTCTCTCTGGTCTCTCTCTCTGGTCTCTCTCTCTGGTCTCTCTCTCTGGTCTCTCTCTCTGGTCTCTCTCTCTGGTCTCTCTCTCTGGTCTCTCTCTCTGGTCTCTCTCTCTGGTCTCTCTCTCTGGTCTCGTACCTTCAGTGCGTCGATAAGCTGCACCTTTCTGGCCAGAGTCAGCTGATATTCCAGTTTGGGGTGAATCATCTGCAGCGTGTGGCTGACGGACTCATCGTTTATATCTGAAAAGAGTCAAAATAACAGACGTTTAGAACTGAAAGATTATTACATCACACAAAGACAAAGTGAACAGAGGAAAACCAACTGAAGAAAATCTAAATTTAAAAGAATACGTTGAAATTGCCGGATTTACACTGAAAAACTTGATGATAAAAGGTGATAAATGCTTGACTCTCAAAGACGCTTCACATGTCATTTCTCGTTCACTCCAAACACGGCCAAAATACTACAACTGTAGCCACAGCTGCCCTGAGGCACACTGACAGTAGTGGAAGCCAGTCTGTGCCATTGGCCCCTCCTACCACCACCAACCATTCACACACACACCAGACTCATTTTAATGTGGGTGAAGTTGTCTTGCCTAAGGACACAACGACAGCTGTGGCACCTGGTGTTCCCAGAGGTCTCCCATCACAGTACTAACCAGTCTCTGCCCTAACAGTTAGAGTAACAGAGTTATTATCTGATTATTGTATTATCTATTGTCTTAAACCAGATCCTGTTTGATGTGTGCTCAACCCGAGTTTCTCCTTTTATTCTTCTGTAACTACAACATAGACGTTTCCACTGAGGACCAACACATCTTTATCTTAGTGTTTGTGTGTCTCACCGTAGGAGATGTTGAGGTTGATCTTCCTCTTGGTGGCCTCTTTGGAGAGAACGTCGCTGAGGATGGAGATGGTGGAGATGTTGTCTGACTTGAAGTGTCCCTCTGCTTTGCTGTAAGTAAGTCATCTTTATTTATATAGCGCATTTCAGAAAGTCCCACGAAACAATTTAAAATACAGATATATTTTTCCCTTGACCACCACTGTCTCGTTACATTCATTACTATCGTACGGTTGCTACGTACGGCAAAGTGCTCTCGCAGCACTTTAGGTCTAACACTAGCAACTTTTAGGATGTATTTATTTGTTTGTGTGGATGTGTTTTTCTCTCTCTCTCTCATATATATATATATAAAGTACATATCTATATGCATGTATCTGTCTAGTAAATAGTTAGCACTTAATTAGCTGTTAATTATTGAGGGCTAAACTACACTTTTAGCCCTACAATTTATTTGATCTAAATTTGACGCAAAAGTTGTTGATTATTGAAACAAAATGTCCTTAAATCCTTTCATGGTGACTAAAAGAAGTTATAGGAGGTGGATACAGATGATCGCTAAACTGCTGTCCTCATGTTGGGAGTTAAACCTCGTAAAGTTTGTATTATTTGAACATATTCTGAATAGTGCTGGGAAAAGGAAATTTTATATTCAAACATAATACAAAATAATAATAACGGACATTAGATATCTCTTATTATTCAAATATTAAACTGGTATGAAAACATTGATTTATCGCTTCAATCACAGACAGTCATGCTTAGATAAATGTTTTAGCACTGGTCAGAATATTGTTTGTATCGTACACACCAGTTATTACACGCTGCATCTGCACATGCACTGCCCTCTGGTGGATAAAACAATAGCTGCTATAACTTTTTTATCCAGGGAGATAATAAAAGCCTTTATTGGGCAAAATAAATATTTGGATATATTTGAAATTTAATATTAATAAAACAAAGAAATTCAAATATGTCTTTTGAGCTCAAGTTCCCAACCTAATTCTGAATCCAGTGTGTATAATAGTGTGAATTCCGAATCCAGTTTATATCATTCTGAATCCAAGTGTGGATCGTTGGAGTGTATTGTGTGTATCCTGCAGGGGTTGTGTTACCAGTATGTGGCCTCGAGCTGCGTGCCGAGGAACGTGTTCTGGAAGTAGAAGCTGATGGTGTCTCCCGCTGGTGTCTTCTCTGGCACCTCTGGTAAACAGAACACCACCCAGGAGTGGATCTCGGCCAGACTGAACTGTCCGACCAGACTCAGCCGGTTCAGGGGCCTAAAACACACCAGCATAGTGCATCAAGATTATACAGACGCTCAAAGACGCTTCACATAATTATTCTTTCACTCCAAACACAGTGGTGATAAACTACTGCGGTAGCCACAGCTGCCCTGGGGCAGTCACAGAAGCGAGGTAACCAGTCTGTGCCATCGGCCCCTCCCACCCCCCGCATTCACACACACCTTATTGCTGCATTTCTTGTTTTGATTCTCTGTTCTGTGTTTGCAAAGTCTTCTGAGATAACTACTGTTAGGGCCCTACAAAAATATATTGTATTGGAGTCTCCCATCACAGTACTAACCAGGCCCTGCCCTGCTTACAGGTCTGACAGGATCTGGCTTTGACATGCAGGTAATATCACAGTATATAAGTTTGTTTATTCAGGCTGGATTCTGAGGCTCATGAAGGAGTCTGTCACCGGTCCTGGTCGATGCTGTGGATCCTCTGGTGCAGAGACAGAGGCTTGATGCGGTACTGTCGGACCTGGCAGGTCTTGGGCTGCAGCCGAGGGGTGACGTACGCCTGGAGGGTGCCGTACTGCCCCTCGATGGACCGCACCTGTCCCAAGATATGACAAGATACTTCTTTGTTGTGTGCCATAGGAGAAATGTTACACAGACACCACATACATATCCATTCACCACAGCAGACATTAAACAGACCAAAAGAAAAAAAACAACAAACTCAAAAAACCTTTATCCACAAAAAAGGCTTTGACCTACAGTGTAGAAAACCACTGAAATGTTCCTGCAGAGGAACAAATAAAGAATCTCTTGATCTGATTGGTCAAAGCTTTACCTTCAGTTCAAGTCTAGTGGTGTTGGCTTGGCATCGGTATGTGGCCAGGAGGAAGTTCCCGTTGTGCTGCTGATAGAATGCACAGCAGTATTATATACATGAATATATACGTGTATCACTGTCCATTTCTGTATCTATCTATGTTTTCATCTATCTAACTTTATAACTGACCTCTGAGTCGCATTCGCTGAAACTGACCACAGCAAAATTCTTGTCCACGTCCAGGAGGTCGATGGGAACGTCACTCTGGAAAGACACCAGTTTTATTTCACAACTCTGTGTGAGGGTACAGGGGTGTGAGGAGGTGCTGCACCTGCAGGAGGAGGTTGTCGATGGCGGTCTGCACCTCCAGACTGAGGCTGTAGCTGGCGTCCTCTTGGCTCAGGCTGAACTTGTCGTTGATGCTGAAGACGGGGACAGCAGAGACCGCGGTCTGGGACTGAGCCGTCTGATGGTACTGCTCCCTGCCCTGCAGCACCTGCACCTGCAGAGACTCCAACTCTGCCCTGAGCCCCGGAGACACAGAGAGAGAGAAATATAATAATGTGTGAATGCAAAGTCCACAGCATGTTGTCTTCATCTTATTACAAAACATGTGATCTTTTAACTCTGGGTTAAAGACCACAGAGAAGGCCCTGTCCCCTGGGTCTAGACCACAGAGAAGGCCCTGTCCCCTGGGTCTAAGACCACAGAGAAGGCCCTGTCCCCTGGGTCTAAGACCACAGAGAAGGCCCTGTCCCCTGGGTCTAAGACCACAGAGAAGGCCCTGTCCCCTGGGTCTAGACCACAGAGAAGGCCCTGTCCCCTGGGTCTAAGACCACAGAGAACAGTGTACCTATCTTGAAATAATATACGTATAGTCTATTGAAATCTGTGAAACTAATACATAATTGAATGGAAAAGTAGATTTTAGTGTCCTAGTAGTAGACCTTATGCTCATAACTTACCGCAGAGCGTCCACTTTGGTTTGCATTTCTTTGCTCATCTTCACTTCATCACCTGGACCCACTTCTGCTCTCTGGGGTTCAGTGGTCAGCCCCGTCACCCATCCTGGACCGAAACATTCTCAAACTGTCTCTCTACACAGATAATAAGACAAAAGTGGATGTGAGCGGTCAAACCTGTGTAAGTCGCCGTGACCACATCGTCGTAGCCTTCTTTTCCAATACAGCCGCCTTGGATGGAGGTCACGCTCTCAGAAAGCACCTGAAACATGTGTTCACTGTCACTTTACTCACCAGTGCAATAAAGAATAATGTCAGAACGTGCAATATAGAACCACATGAGTCTGTGTCCAAGAGCCTCGTGCTGCTAACATGCTAACATACAACCATCTATGTCTGCACTCGAATATACAGGATTCGTACTAGCTTCTACATGCTAAAACTAGAGATCTTATACTCGCTTTTTTATAATGCTTAAGTTAGAGATTTTACACTTGCTTCTTTTTTATTATTATTCCTACTGTTCTGTAACTGGTGATACAACACTGACATTTCAATGGCTCAGTAAAACCTACATGCTCATAGCGTATTGTGGGGTCTCCACTGCTGTCAAAGCCATAGACCTCCACTGCTCCGTCGTCTCTGCCCACCAGGACGTCCATCACCCCGTCCCCCATGATGTCCAGAGTGTCCAGGCAGAGGATTCCTTCAACAGAAGATAGTTTAATATTAAATCAAACCTATAGCAAAACATAGAGCAGATATACACAGTACCTCCTTTCTTTTTGTCGTTGTCGATCTCCCATTTGCTTGAAGAAGTCTGGTCACCGATCTGGAGTAATCCAATCTTACCGTCAGAGGTTCCATAAAGAATTTCGTCCCCTACACAGTAACATGTATAAATAAAAACAGCCAGTTTAAAAGCAGGTGACAGATGATTTGTATCTGTGTTTTGCTACAGTCTATAACAAGGCTCTAAAACATATGAGTAAGAGGACCACTACAGTTTCCTGATTCAGGTTCTGTGTTTGAACATAAAGTATGATGTCATATTTACGTCTATATTTAAGCATTCACATAAGATTAATTTGGCTGAAATTCAGCTAAGTATCTACAGTATCTATCCATCTATACTTTCTCACCAGCTTCATTAGCACCATACAGGCCAACAATATTCTGTGCCATGATTAAAAACAAAAGTTATTTTAGTAAAACTACAGATCTAAAGATCACTGTAAAGGACTAGATTCCAGATGTTTTAAGATTTACAAAGAGAAGTGTAGTGTGCTTATATTGAGCTGATTAGTCTGAGTCTGGGATCAAACGCAGATGAATTCATGACTCAGCAATTTGCTAAAAAATATATTCAAAAAGGCTCAAACAAATGAATTAAAAACACTGCATCAAAACCGTTCTCCATCTGTCAATTCTGCATTAAAGCAATAAACAAACTACTATAAATCTTGTGTTCAATTGTTTAATGGTTAATGGCTTCATAAGATTTTTTTAACTTCAGTCTGAACCCTTCGGTCATGAGAACCGCTTGTTTTTGGGACTTGCTTGTTGGACTATTTATGACGGAATAAGCCAAAAAAAAAGATAAAAACCATTTTCCTCCCTTGTTCGGCCTATTAGCGCTTGCCTCCATCTATTAAGCAAAATAAAAGTGTTTGGAAAGAGGTGCTATATTCCCACAAAATGTACACTTCAGAGAATCTGAAACATGTGTTGATACAGACGCAGACGTGCCTCCATCTTTGTTATACAGCTCCAGAACAGACGGAGGTCCAGGAACTTCGATCCCGTACGCCAGCTCCGACCCCTAGCACACACCACTGTTATGTTAGTATGACCAGTGTGGGAGCAGCTGAGAACCAGAGGAACTGTGGATCACGCGTGTAACTCTCTGACCTGCAGAACTCTGAGAACTCGATCCTGACACGCCAGCACGGGGAGAGGCCTGGGCAGGTTTTCATATGACAGAAATGTGATGTCATTGATCTTATCTCCTGACAGGAAGTAGTCCTGATCCTTGCAGTCCAGGTAATGGTTGTAGATGTAGCTCGCGCACACAAAGAGGTCGGAGCCAGACACGTGCCTGAAGAGAACCAAAAGGGTTATAAAGCCTTCGATAGAACTCTATAATAATAACAATGATAGATAGATACTTTATTGATTCAGGTGTCCAGTAGCTCCAGTAGTTAATACAAAATAAAATCAATCATTCTAAAAAGCTAACAATTGTAAAAATAAGCAACAGGTCTTCAGCTCACAGCAGCAGAGATGATCCATAATTTTTACTCAGTGACGCGCCTCCCAATCAAAACACATGGGAAACATGTTTTTGCCTGTGGGGGCGGGGGGCGGCTCCAAAAGGTCCACGAGCACATGCGCTGAACTGCTTGTAATCTCACTCCGGGTCGGTGGGGGTGTACCCGGAAGGAGAATTACCCAATGCTAATGTATGGCGTCTTCTTTCTTCTCAAAAACGTCTTTACAGGATGGTCCAAATGTTGCTCTTGGCCCAAAGATCCAGATGCTGTCAATGCTGAGGAGAGGTTTTTTATTTTTTTTAACCAGTTTAGTTTAGCTGCTGTGGACTTTTGAATCCACTCGTTAAATGAATGGGGATAGTGCAGCTGACAGATGTGCAAATGCGTTTTTTCACATTTTCCTGCCCCACGGCTATTTTGAAAAAGCCCACAGAAGGCGAAAGTGATGGCACACTAGTTTAAACGGTGGAGATAGGCGTGACTATGTCTGTTAATATTTACAGTCCATGTTTTTGCTAGCGGTCCTTGGCCCTAGATCAGCTCCACACACACAGCACCTGTATCTAAACATTTGCAGGAGGACTGACAGGTTTGAGATTCTGGACATTGTTTTTTTTCTTTCATATAGTCTTGCGTCTGACCACAGCAGCCACAGAGACCATGAGGACAAACACATAAATGTGAGTTATGTTGCTCTACAGCAGTTCTCTGGCTCATCCTATAATCTACAGTTCTCCAGATGACACAGGGATGCAGACGAGTGACATACTGTATATACTTTTGGTGATACAGCTCATATACAGGTCCGGCTTAGAGTCCAGAAAGTACGGTAACACTAATAATATATATTTACAGTGACACAGTATTTGTATAGTATAGGAGCATAGTCTAATGTACTCAGGGCAAGAGAAGAACTTACATTGCGTTTATGTTTTCTGTGAGGTTGGCGTCAAAGGTCAGAAACTGTTTTCCCTTTTTGGAGAAGCCTCGGACCTGAGACCCGGAGCACACGAAGATCTTCTCCTGCGGCGTTCCCAGAGCTCCACCCAGATCCAGCCTGGAGATTTTTGGTCCTGGGAGAGTTTTGAACACAGGCTGGAGCACAGAACAAGGAGACAGCAGAGTTATCTACAGAGACAAAGAACCAGCGTTTACATCGTGTGGATGTTCCAAGACCCACCACCGCCTCTCCTTTCTTCATCCCAAAACATGTCAGCACGCCGTCATGGTCGCCGATAGCAACCTGTAAAGAGACATTTTAGATTACATTTTAAATTGACTACATGTCTTAACATACATAGAATGACTCTGAAAATTTAAATCACATTCAATTAACTGAATTTCAGCAAAAGACACACATCACATTAGATTCTCATTCTCAAATGTGTATTGAAATTTTAAATGTACCGATTTAGATACATTTTATAGACATCAACAAACCTGAACTTGATTATTTGGTCTGGACCAGTTGTAAACCTGTACCCACCCAAGTCACCCTCCTCACCCTGAATCAACTCACCCGGAGTCTCCCGCCTCCTCTCCTCGCCCTCAGTCTCCTCGCCCCGAGTCTCCTCGCCCCGAGTCTCCTCGCCCCGAGTCTCCTCGCCCCGAGTCTCCTCGCCCCGAGTCTCCTCGCCCTTAGTCTCCTCGCCCTGAGTCTCCTCGCCCCGAGTCTCCTCGCCCTTAGTCTCCTCGCCCTGAGTCTCCTCGCCCTGAGTCTCCTCGCCCTGAGTCTCCTCGCCCTGAGTCTCCTCGCCCTTAGTCTCCTCGCCCTGAGTCTCCTCGCCCTGAGTCTCCTCGCCCTGAGTCTCCTCGCCCCGAGTCTCCTCGCCCTCAGTCTCCTCGCCCCGAGTCTCCTCCGCCCCGAGTCTCCCTCGCCCGAGTCTCCTCGCCCGAGTCTCCTCGCCCCGAGTCTCCTCGCCCCGAGTCTCCTCGCCCTGAGTCTCCTCGCCCTGAGTCTCCTCGCCCTGAGTCTCCTCGCCCTGAGTCTCCTCGCCCTGAGTCTCCTCGCCCTGAGTCTCCTCGCCCCGAGTCTCCTCGCCCTGAGTCTCCTCGCCCGAGTCTCCTCGCCCGAGTCTCCTCGCCCTGAGTCTCCTCGCCCTGAGTCTCCTCGCCCTGAGTCTCCTCGCCCCGAGTCTCCTCGCCCCGAGTCTCCTCGCCCGAGTCTCCTCGCCCTGAGTCTCCTCGCCCTGAGTCTCCTCGCCCTGAGTCTCCTCGCCCTGAGTCTCCTCGCCCCGAGTCTCCTCGCCCGGAGTCTCCTCGCCCGTAGTCTCCTCGCCCCGAGTCTCCTCGCCCTGAGTCTCCTCGCCCTTAGTCTCCTCGCCCTGAGTCTCCTCGCCCTGAGTCTCCTCGCCCTGAGTCTCTCCCCTGAGTCTCCTCGCCCGAGTCTCCTCGCCCGAGTCTCCTCGCCCGAGTCTCCTCGCCCTGAGTCTCCTCGCCCTGAGTCTCCTCGCCCTGAGTCTCCTCGCCCTGAGTCTCCTCGCCCTGAGTCTCCTCGCCCTGAGTCTCCTCGCCCTGAGTCTCCTCGCCCTGAGTCTCCTCGCCCCGAGTCTCCTCGCCCTTAGTCTCCTCGCCCTTAGTCTCCTCGCCCTGAGTCTCCTCGCCCCGAGTCGCCTCGCCCTTAGTCTCCTCGCCCTTAGTCTCCTCGCCCTGAGTCTCCTCGCCCCGAGTCTCCTCGCCCTGAGTCTCCTCGCCCTGAGTCTCCTCGCCCCGAGTCTCCCGCCTCCTCTCCTCGCCCTGAGTCTCCTCGCCCTTAGTCTCCTCGCCCTGAGTCTCCTCGCCCCGAGTCTCCTCGCCCTGAGTCTCCTCGCCCTGAGTCTCCTCGCCCTGAGTCTCCTCGCCCCGAGTCTCCTCGCCCTTAGTCTCCTCGCCCTTAGTCTCCTCGCCCTGAGTCTCCTCGCCCTGAGTCTCCTCGCCCTGAGTCTCCTCGCCCTGAGTCTCCTCGCCCTGAGTCTCCTCGCCCTGAGTCTCCTCGCCCTGAGTCTCCTCGCCCTGAGTCTCCTCGCCCTGAGTCTCCTCGCCCTGAGTCTCCTCGCCCCGAGTCTCCTCGCCCTTAGTCTCCTCGCCCTTAGTCTCCTCGCCCTGAGTCTCCCGCCTCCTCTCCTCGCCCTGAGTCTCCTCGCCCCGAGTCTCCTCGCCCTCAGTCTCCTTGCCCTCAGTCTCCTCGCCCCGAGTCTCCTCGCCCCGAGTCTCCTCGCCCTCAGTCTCCTTGCCCTCAGTCTCCTCGCCCTGAGTCTCCTCGCCCTCAGTCTCCTCCCTCCTCTCCTGCTCTATCTGCATGATCCATTGGATCCTGGTCTATATTTTACAAACTTAGTCCTGGACTAGTCTACAGCCTGTCAGTAAATCTCACCGATAGTAATGTGGTATTACTGAAATGTAATAAGTATTTTTAATTCCCCTTTTGTTCTGGTTTTGTGCACCTGTTTAGGTAATGCAAACAGAAAATGTAAGTGGCTCAAAGTGGACAATAAATAAATGAATTTATTCTGTGTTCTCTTCAAGACAAATAATAAATGATACAGTGGAGCATTACCTTCTGAGTGGCTTTCTTCCCTGCTGATGGAAGCAGCCTCATAGTTTTCTGGGATGTTACTCCAACCTGCCACATGCACATGTAAGATTATCGAGTCAAAATAACAACAATAACGTAATGTAACAACGTGTTCTCACTTGTGTGTAGTCCACACGGTTTAGGTGAAGCTCCATGTTCCTGTCCACAGATGTGTGTGAATATTTACGGCGTTAAATGGATTGTAAATCACAATACGACAGAAAGTGGGATTAAGGAACAGATTAGCCTCAGGAGCTAACGTTAGCTCGCGGCTAACGCTACATTTGACTTCACACCGCGCGCTCCGGGACCGTAAAGGAGCTAAGAGCTAGCATTACATTTAACAAACAAGAAGATGAAGTCGACGTGAGAAATAGCCAGATCCATGGAATCCGAAGAGAGTCGTTGTCAATAGCAACAAGTTCCCTACAACAATCTGGAAGCCCATTGGTTTAGATTTGGAGAAACAAAAAACAAAGCAGCACGCTGATTGGCTACTGTGGAGCACGTGTGACCAATTCAGAATGAGCAATACACGGTTTATGTAAATCACCGAGGATATCTTATCAGCCAGGATCATGGAGCTATTATAATATCACCCTAGATGTATTTTGGCCAGATCCATGATTACACAGCAGGAATCGTCAACCTTTTTAGCTGAGAAAGCCAAACATGTCTCATACTAAAACGCATTTCTGTGGAAGTCATTTCTTTTCACTGGGAAAATGTGAGATTTTTTAGTAAGTAGTCTTTATTTATATAGCGCATTTCACAGACCAAGATCACACAAAGCGGTTTAGAATTTGAAGAACCAATATATTTGATCAATTCTGTCCACACACAGTGATGACAGAAGCGAGACGAACACACTGGCATCAAAACTCCTGATCAGCACAATCTATTCATTCTACATTCATTCCAGCACCAACATCTGGAGGTGGGTCCCGGGCGCTGTACTACGGCGACCACTGCCCCTGACAGATGCCCTGGTGGCATCAAGATGGGTCAAATGCAAAGGATGAATTGCCCTACAGGGATAAACAAATGTGTACCTCAACATCTGACCAAATACTCCTTATATTTCCCAGTGAATTGAGCCAGAACCATCTTAAAACATATATGTTTTTACACAAAACACATGTACAAAGTGTGTCCGTGTTGAGTGAAATTGAGACTGCACTTAAGAATTTCATATTTTATTAGTTCAATCAGGATTAAAGTTTTACTTTTATCATAAAACTGGAATTTATGTTAGGCAAATAATTAACATGGTAAAATTTGAGCATGCAGAATGCCAGGAAACAGCAGAAAGGGGCACTTTGCCTGAGTCTGGGGGAGAAGTCTGTAAAATTATATTATTCAATAAAATACAGCAGATCTGGTTCTAAATGTAACAAATATTACATAAGACATGATGGCATCGACAAAAATAATCAAAGTAGGCAATGTGGAAAATCAGAAATAAAAAACTTGACGAGAGGGAACTGCACATAAACGTCACTCTGCATCAATTCAAGCATTTTGTGATTACAAGAACATATGTATAAATGTTAAGTTATTATAAGTAAGTTATCTTCTAATGATAAGACACTATGAATAAATAATAACATGGAAAACTGAACATACAAAACTCTTCATCTTCAGAGAACAGAAGGATGTTCAGAGCTGGGACCAGGTCAAACAACGACATAAGGATTCAGTGCATTTCGGTCTGGACCCGGTCTGGACCCAGGTCTGGACCCGGTGTGGTCTGAACAGCTGAGAGAAAAACAGTTCCTTCTGGACCTCTGACTGCCTCCTGTAGAGTCCTGTGGGAGCAGAGCCGGAGCAGAGCCGGAGCTGGGGCGACTCCCGTGGGGGCCCTAGACTCCCGTGGGGGCCAGGCGGCTGATGAAGGCGATGCTGCTGTGGCACATGCGTCTGAAGAGGACGGGGCACGCGGGCTTCATGGCAAAGTGCTCGAGGAGGATCCGCAGCTCCGTGAACAAAGTGCTGAAACAGAAAACAGACTCAGCATCTCACTGTCACTGGTCTGTCTGGACTAACACAGACTCTTGCTTAAATCATTACACTAACACACCTTAGGAACCTGTTTAGGTCATACACACTGGGATCAGCTGATTATTATAATATGCCACAGTATTTTCCCATTGCTGCCTTCTCGTACGGTACAGCAAAATCACGCACAACGCTGAGACTCGTGCTACTCACACCAACGAACGAGAACAGAATCACACTAATCAAACATTACAGATTATATATGTGCTGAACCCTTTTGTTTTATTACAGGTCCATAAATCTGATTTTCAGGTCAATGTTCCTCGGCTGTGAAACATCTATAACATGGAGACCACAGTGGAGGCAAAACTCTCTTTGGTCCTAAAACTCAATTTTTCTCATCAGTGGTTGTTTGGTGCTTTACAATTTACAAATGCTAACTTTTTGAAAAATGCTAATGAAGCATTCAGCATTTGACTTTGGACTAGAGCAGACATAAAGTGCTGCTGTGACCTAAAGTGCTGTTGCATTTTAGAATTACTATTGTTTGCATTTCTCCTGGGGTCATCAATAAAGTATCTATCTAAAGGGGTAAACAGTTGCAGCCCTGTATCGTGCGTTAAATAATTTAAACGTTTTTTGATCAGACGGTTTAATGAAAACAGGTCTCAACAGTCTCCAATGCAGAAGTGAACCTGTGGAAGCAAATGTTTTGATTGTAAAAGAACTCACCGACAGTAAGGGTTTCTTCTGGAGGTGTAGCGGAGTGTGAGGAATCTATAGTAAATAAAAGGCAACAGCAAACTCCCCTGGCCACTGCGAGAGAAAACAGCAGAAAACAGCAGCGTTCAGAGGAAGCAGACAGAGGGGGCCACATCTCCAGATTTACTAAAGAGACATTTCAAAACTCAATATTGAGAGCTATATCGTTCTAGAGTTAAATATATCTAGACGCATCTGTTGCTCCTCCTCGGCCTCACAGACAGGACTCTCACCTGAAGAGCATGAAGACCGTGGCGGGCATCAGGAAGATCTCGTTGCAGGCGATGAACTTCAGGATGTTCTGTTGATTCGCCGACAGTTTATCAAGAAGATTTCTGACGAACATGAGGCTGTTTGCTCCCATCGACTACAAAACAACAGCAACAATTACAGCAACCGTGGGACGACTGGGAGCTCACAGGTTCTGTATTTTATAATAATAACAATGTAATAACAATAATATCTATATAATAATAATCTCTATGAAATTAACATAATCTATATAATAATAACCTATGAAAATAAGGATTTCAAAACATTTCTTTTTAAGTTCTTTACGTAATCGACACCTGAGCCCCACTCTACCTACAGACACATAGTATTATCTAATATTTAAGTTTTGTAAAACCATCTTTATAGTGTCAGACTTACATCCAGAACTTTCTTGGTGTATGTTGTAGCATGAAGCAATGAAAACAGGAAAACTGGAAATATACTCACTGATCGCACGGTTAAAGAAAAAACAGGAAGCAGAAACATTTACACATAATGGACACTGCTCCATATTACATCTGTGTAAGTTATGTTTACTATATGTGTGAATGTTTGAGGCTTAATTCTGTTACATTTGTCTGTGGGATGCACCGATTGTGAGAATTTGGACCGATACCGATGTTTAACATAACGACATGGCCGATGTTTTTTATTTTTGTTATTTATATTTATATATTCATTGGGAGCTTCGGTTTTCAGTTTTTCTTCGGTCTCATGTTTCTCAAATTTTCAATGAGATTCTTTGTAGTAAATGATTTTCTAGCAGCTCTTGAAAACTCACTGAACACGTTTTGCAAACTGCATCAAGCTGATCATTTTCTGATGCTGTAAAATATTCGCCATACGACCGCCGCCATCTTTGTTTCTTCTACTTGTCCCTTTGTTCCGCCTACCATCGGCCAATTTTACTTTTACAATACAATACAATACAATTTTATTCTTGTATTGTCTTATCTTTTATTTGCAGATGACCAATGGTAGTTAACAAGACCGATACAGAGATTCAGCCATTGCATCTCTAACTATCTGGACTCTTGTATTGAGATCATCAGATAGAATGAAAACAACCACGTGAGCAGTGTGTCCAGTGGAGAAGGATACTGGTGATGGGGTAAGAGTTGACCAGGATGAGGGAGTAGAGGAGGTAGTGGCAGCTGTCCTCCTGCAGCGCCTGGGCCAGGAACGCCCGGCTCACCTGGAAGCGCGGCAGCCTCTGGTGCAGCCGCAGGGCGCTGGTCAGGGCGTTAGCTAACAACGCTCTCTGGTAGAAGTTAGCAGCTGCGTAAGGCCTGGACACAGAGGAACATTCACACATCCTCAACACTGTCTCAGGAGAAAGAGTTACCCCAGCTTTAACAACACTTACCCCAATATCGGGAGAATAAACATGACTGAGCAGTAGACGGTGAAGAGTCTGGACAACCACATCGCTGTCTCCAACTTGTTACTTAACAGAAATTGCTGTGGGAAAGAGAAGAGACTGGTGAGTGAGAGAATCGTCCTGAACGTTGGTAAACATGAAGGAAGCATATGATTTCACTTCTGATGCAGCTGTCGGTGCAAAAACAACTTAATTTAATCTGGTGATAGACTCCGGAGCTGATCAAGAGTCAGATGACAAACAGCACATGGAATCCTACACATGCCGACTTTCACATGTTGCCAATGAGCCCGAAACATTCTCCAGGACATTTACCAGCACAGGGTCAGTGGATGGGACCCTACACACTACCACTTGGGTAACCAGGGACGATGAGGAAGCTATAATAAACTCTTTCATGTATGTCTCATTGTTGTCGTTAGTTGAAGGGACAATGCACAAAATCCCAACAACGCACATTTTGGGATCCTTTACCAGTTGTCAAGCTAAAACTTCAAACTTGCTCTGACCTGAACACTTAAATTGCAATTTCAATAAACGCTCATAACTTTGCAGCTGACACGTTTGGACAAGTATCTCTGAGTGAGACCCACATCAGTTTGATCGCATGAATGAAGATGTTGCATTGTTCAGATTCAGTTTATTTGCAGTAAAACCACAGTGCGCAGCAGACCAGTCCACCAATAAAACAAGTTAAAAGTACAGGTATAATAACAAATACAATAGTTTTTCAGGAACATAGTCACAGAACGACACGAAATCAGCCGCTACACAAACGTTTCCGCTCCAAAAGACCCGTGTGATGTGTGGGGGACGCCCTTCTATCCCCAATGTCAATAAGAAAAAAACGTTAATGGGACTCACCACAGGTCCGAGTGAAGGGGGAGGGGGCGCTTGCTGGTTTGTGTCCGCCATCTTTGTTTTTTTAGGTGAACCTGCAAAGAAAACACAAAAAAGTATTAATCCTTCTCAGGGTCGGGGGTGGTAATCAGAGCTGCACCAGCCCCTCTCAGGTAGCAGGTCCACGGAAGAGGGCTGCTCTGTCAACAAAGACACGCTCTTTCAGGAACAAATCAATATCAGAGAATCACAAATTTTAAAATAATTCTAATACATATGATATAAAATAAGCAGATATTATGGCCAATGTCTACACGACACTTTAGGAACATACAGTCATGCAACTGTGAACAAAACATAGATCAATTATTATTTGTAATCACTTAGTTCTAAATCGATTCTGTTCAGTATCGCAATATTTTGCATTGCATTGAATGGTATGAAAGACATGAATCGCAATACACCACAGAATCGAATCACAATTCTCTCTGTATTGCAATATGTCAAGAATCACAATAATATTGAATTGTGGCCCAATTGTGGTCACATTTTTCCCAGTCCCATCCATGATACAAAGAGATCAATCAGTCAGAAAACCAGAGAAAATAGTGTCATATATTACATGCATGTTACTACACCAAGCCATGCACGTTTTATACACATGACATCAGTGTGAAATAGTCAGTCAGGGGCCTAACAATTTCACAATAACCACGTACTGACCATGGAGGCGGTGAGGGCTTTGTTTCAGATCATACATAAGGTCATGTTGAGGAGCAGAAATATCGATCATATCAAAGACGATTCTCGGGACACTGACATATTTTATGAGAGTAATATTTCAGAAAAGTGTGTATAAATTCAACAGAGAACAGAGGCAGGACACTAGCCTCGTCCTGCAGAATGAATGAACAGTTTATTATAAAAACAAACAGCTAAAACACAGCGACGTGAAGCAAAACAAGCCACGGCAGATTACATACGAGGTGACCCGTCCAAACACCCGGAACCACCGCGGACATGTGGTTCTAGAATGTTCTGTTACCATCGTTACTGTTAGCTTTAGCATGTGGTGCTAGCTTAGCATCCACCAGGTTTAGCTGCTACTGAGAGAGCCTCGGACAACAGCGAGGGCCGTGTTAAAGACATGTTTTCATGAGGAGCCGGGGGTAGAGACAAGAATCCAAGCCACATACCGCAGTGATCCGCCTGGGGTCCGCACGGGGATGATACAGAGGTACGGGAGGTACGGGAGGTACGGGAGGTACGGGACACTCAGCAGCTCACACGGAGGAAGTGATCAGCTGACCACAGGGAAGTCACGCGAGACTCCGCGAGACTGGGGAGCAGCGTGTCAGTAAATCCCTCTCGTGGCATGGTGGGTCATTATTACATGTGTGGGTTATTATTATTGTAATGACTGTTTGTCAAAAAATAGACTATCAAACAAAATGTATCCAAACTTAAGAACATACAAACTCAAATAATCACTAAAATGCACCATGGGTAAGTGGTGCATTGGACAAATGTCCAATCTAAAAATATAATGTTCACAAAAGGTTTATTCATCGAGTTGCAGGCAAACAACACAAAAATGCTGCATCCCCCAGAACTGGTAAAAAACCATGGGCCCACCCAGGTGCATGAAAGCCCGCCCTGTACTGCCCCCTTTTATCCCTATATATACCTATAGGTGCCACTAAACTAAAAATAAACCAAACTGAAGTAAACCCAAAATAATCAACAACAATTTCTAAATTACCAAAAAAATACAAAAACTACTTCAGCAAAAAATAACTAAATATTAAAAAATATACAAAACCCCCAAATAAATTTAATTAATAGCCTATAAGCAAATAGCTCCTACAATTATAAACATTATATCTGATCTATAATAATAATGGATCACGGTGGTGATAAATTACTATATTACAGTTAACACAAAAGACAATTGTTATATATTTACACAATGGACCTTTTATAAAATCAGTTGTATCATTATGTCCAAGCTACATTTATTAGTTTATCTCAGTTTTGTGACAGAAGAAGAATCAGAATCCGAATCTTGTTACTTTTTATTGCCATAACAGGAACAGGTCACAAACTAGGAATTTGCTTTGGCTCAAGAAGCAAACAAGTAAATTAATGTCCTTTCCTGTAACATAAATACAACTGTGAATACTCTTAAGTGCTAACATCATTCATTCTATAGATGACGTATACCATAGTGTGGTCTGAAAAGGTGCCAGCAGAGAGCGCACGACACCCGCCATTAGACCTGTGACTGTGGATAATTCTTTTAGCTTTAAGTGCGCCTTATTTGGTCCAAACATGTTTTAAAATGTTTCATCTTGAGCCTTTTCCTGCACGTATGCGCACAATATTGGCAGCGCTGATGTGTTTTTCGCAGATTCTATTTGAAAATATAGGCAGAGTAAGCACTGGAGAATCTAATTATTTCTTTGCAAAACCTAATTAGGCATTAAAAAAGGTTAACGCCAGCGCCTGAAACGTTTTTGTTTAATAATCCCATTACTGACGGCTCATCATGTATAAAATGGTGCAGGAGGACACTAAGTTTCCACTTGTTAAAGGGAATCTCAGAGAAATAGTCGCAGCTTTTTGAAAAGAAGTGGAACGGGAGAATATAGGGTCGAAATGAGTCTGAAGGAGCCGCCTGCGCAGAGTAAGTGCCTTCTCTATCTACAAACTGCTGATCTGTACAATATTATCTGTGGCTTATGGACTATATGCTGGTGTGGAACAGGTTTGTGTCTCGTAGATAAAGTGTCTGGGAGGTTTAGGCGTCTGCGGCAGCTCCGACGCGCGGCGCGGAAGTCACCAAAGCCCGAGTGCGTTGTGCAGATTTGTGGATGTGTTTGTCTGAGGAATGAAAAGCAGACTGCAGCTTTTGTGCATGGAATAATACACTAGAGATCTCAGGTTTACTTAATTCAGAATTAGAATTATCCATGTTGCCATTGTGAGAAACGGAGAGGCACAAACTGTAGGACATTGCTTTAGTTCTCGGTGCAAACAAGTTGGAAGGAAAAATAGAATGAGGCATAAAAATAGAAATGAAATGAAAATCTACACAACATTTCTTCAAATTATTACAATATACATGTGCACTGCAGACACAGACGTCATCGGGGAAAAAAACAAATAGATAAATAGATAGATATTGGTCCCGTATATAGAGAAATTAAGCAGCAGAAACACATCCATCCAACAACAACAACAATAATAATAATAATAATAATAATAATAATAATAATAATAATACATACATACATAATTTTCGTGATTAAAAGCATGAGAATATTGCGTTTTTTTATTTACTATATTATGATTGTTATAATTTTTGCTATTATTATCATCGGACATTTATATGCATATGTCCTCATGCCTATTCCCGTTACAGGCCATCAGTTTTACGCGTGTCATGCAAATAGTGTCAAAAAATAAGGTTCTGCTTTTGTGTGTTTTGTCAGGAAGTGCAATATTATTTGTTGCTATGTTATGTATATTGTATTGTATGTTGTCTCAAAAAATTAGACCAAATGTTTTAAATGCAAACAATCCTTCACGTCTGCTCCGTTTGTGAATCACTGCAGTAACATTATTTTGTGTCAACGGTTAATTACATAATAATAATAATAATAATACTACTACTACTACTAATAATAATAATAATAATAATAATAATAATAATAATAATAATAATAATAATAATAATATTCAGAGTAAAGTTGTTTTAACCCAGAGAATATTTTCTTCAGCGTTAATTTGAGTGCTCAATGAATATCTATTATCTACAGACACACAGAGACAAACTCCACGTGTGCCTCTCAGTATATATTCATTTTTACACAATAATGAAAAGAACGAACAATAAAAATGTGACCAAAGAGCAGATTTACACTAATTTTAATTTGACCAAATATGAAATCGGCTCGTCACATTCACACATTTATACTTTAGGCCTATGCCATGTTAATAATGGATTACAGAAAAAAAAAGAAAAAAAAAACATTTATGGACATTGGTCCCTTAATGGGGTTTTATGTCTTTGCATTTCCTGTGTTTGGACTGTTTGATTCTCTGATCTGTTGTTGGTGAATTGACATCTTTGTAAAGTCCTCTGGGATTACTATTGTTCTGATTTAGGGCGATACACACATTAAGTAAATTTCAACATTGTCCCCGTGCGCTTATTTATTGCGCCTTTTACGTCAACATTGCACCAAAAGACACCAGCACAAAAGGAGCCAAAGCGGAGGAATGCGGCTGTGACGGCTCTGACCTGCGGCTCTGAGCGCTCTGCTCCAGGCGGTAACAGGTGGAGAGTCATGCAGGACAAGTGTGGGAGGTATACGGGGGACAGAGAGGAACGAGAAGGAGGACCAAAGGGACTGGGAGGGAGGACCAGGATGGAGGACTGAGAGGACTGGGAGGGAGGACAGGGAGAGAGGACTGCGGGAGGACTGGGAAGGCAGACAGGGAGGACCGGGAGGGCTGGGAGGATCGAAAAGACCGGAAGGGAGGACCGAGAGGGAGAACATGGGAGGGTGGACTTGGACGGAGGACCTATAGAACCAAGACATGGAGAACCGAGAGGGAGGACATGGAGAACCGAGAGGGAGGACCGGGAGAAGAGAGGGAGGGTCGGAAGGACACGCCACATTTACCCACAATCCTCCTGGACACAAAGGAGCCGCTCGTCCTCAGGCCCCGCGCGTCTTTCATGTCTTTGTTTCTGGTTCAGAGGCAACAATGTTTCTGCTGCAGAATAATGGAACAATGGGCTCAAATGAAACAAGGCGTTTCTCTTCGATACTTGCAGCTAATGATGGATGCGATTATAATTGTCCAGCCTCGTTATAAGCTCCATGGTAAAAAAGCCTATTGACCTATAAACAACAATAATTTAAAATATACTCAAGTAAAACAAAAATAATACTTTTGCACACACAACAGAACAAATAATACACGTTATGGCCATGTTTGTTCTGTCCTTGTTCTGTTTTATTTTTATTGTGATATATTGTAGAAAGAGTTCGGGGGTTTTGCTTCAGCCCACTCCTTTTGAGCAGAATTAATGTTGTTCAAATAAACAAATAAATAAATAAATACATAAAATAAATGCCCGCACGTGAAAATACATTTTCTTTCTGCTCAAATTACATACTCATGAAAATAAGTGACGCGCCTTGAGAAAACATTTATTATTGCAGAATATATCGTGTATAAGAAGCGGGGATGAATTGTATTCCTTTCCATGACTTGAAATGTTTTGTATAATATTCAGTAATTTTGGAAAAAGTAGTACCTGTATTCTGAATAGAATACGTACACATTTACATTTTAAAATGTCTATAACCACAACTTCAATAGTAAAAAAAACGAACAAAAAAACATGTAATTGTTGGATAATTGGTTTATTAAAACAATGTGCTTCAACAGCTGCATGTAACAACCAGAAAACAGAATCTCACTAAGAATACACAACGTTTTCTTTTCTCTTTTTAACTATAACATTTGAGGAAATATTCTGTGATTTTTAGTACTGTACTCTAAATACAGGAATTTAAAGTATACTGTAAGGGAATACAGTTACTAAAAGTATTGTGAATATAACGGGACATGTACTCCGTTACTTCGCAACACTAGCTCCAGGATCTAGACTTGGGGTGAATTGCTGACTTGGATCTTTCGGCTCCTGTTTGTTCGTCTCGTGAATGGGAGGTTCTCTGATGGCAGTGATGGCTTTAGGATTGTCCCACAAATGGCCTGGGCGGTGAGGGGCGGTATGGGGCGGTGAGCAGGCCACAGTAAGCGGGCGTTGGGGGCGGCGAGAACGCGGTCAGGGCGCGGTGAGCGAGCTGTGAGCAAGCAGTAGCGGGCGGTAGGCGGGCGGTGAGGGAGCGGTAAGCGGGCGGAAAGCGGGCGGTGAGGGGGCCACGGTGACACGGGTTATTGAGTCACTGGTCCCGCCTCACCGGGGCCTTCAATGGGAATGAATCAAAGCTGGAACAGATCAAGCGGCTTCACGGTTCTTTGTGTCGCGCTCAAAGAGAGAATCAGCGCGAGATTCTAAATAAATAGTTTAGTTTAATGCAGCGAATAGTTTTAGCGTGTTGTAACTCGGAATACTTTCATGTCCATTTGCATAATGGATAATATTTACAGTCTATGTACATCATATAATCATTATGAGATTTTTTCCCCCATCGTTTTTATTTATTTATTGATTGATTGATTTGATGTGTACACAATCAACATGTGAAACAATACAGCATCAGCATTTTTTGAAATAGAAATTCAAGTATCAAGCCACTTCCATAAGTTATTGATTATATATTCACCATATTGTGCCATTTGAAGCCTACATTAATTTGTCACATACGCCTTTATATCAACTACGATAAAAAGTCGATAAGGAAATATGTATAATAAATCATAGTAAATAAAACAGCACAGTGTATGTACAGGACACATTACAGAAGTATCACGTGACTCCTATTTTTTCTGATCATATTTGGTTCCACTCGACATCAGTGTAAAATGTCTTTGGTCTGAAAAAATTCTACTCAATATTGTGTAAAAATAGGACACTCTTTACACTGACTTTTAACTCACTGAGCAACTTTCCTCTAATGTTGAAAATGGGTTAAAACTACTCCACTATAAATATAACTATAAACACCCCATTTTTACCGTGTATTATTATATTTGAGGGCGACAGTAGCTCAGTTGGTAGAGCATTGGCCTTAAGGCCAGAAGGTCGTGGGTTCAATTCCCACCTCTGCACCTTCTCCATCGACTCCCACTGATGACTGCTGTCGTTGTGTCCTTGGGCAAGACACTTAACCCCACTTTGCCCAAAGCCCCCACTGAAAGATCAAGGCTATGCTCACACTCAGAGCAGCCGTCCTCCTGTGGACTCACCACCTGCAGAGGGTCAGTGAGGGGCTGGTGCTATGAGACTTGGGTGGCATCTCTGACTGCCACCCCCCTGACCCAGAAATGGATCAAAGGGTAGAAAATGGATGGATGGATGGATATTATATTTGACTGCTCTAATTTTCTTTTCTCCGTCATTGTTGCTTCTCTATCCACCTCATGCATTTAAACACCAGCTTCCAAACTCCCATGGAGCCAGAGCCTCACATCCACACAACACGTCTCCCAGTCAGTTTTACAAATTGCTTTTATTCAGCTGCAGCACCTGCCACTCAACCACCCTCAAATATGACACATCGCACCGAGGACAGAGCCGTCGGGTAATAGAGACGCGCTTGTGTCTGGACTCTCTGGACCCCGCTCCTCGCTGAGAACTCTCCGTGACCTCCGCCCTGGGCCCTCACAGTCTCAGCAGTCGCCAACAACTCTTGAATTCCATAATTCTTCTGGCCCCGAGAAAAAAAAGCCACGTTTAGAGACAGAAATCCTTCCTTTTTGACAATTTAATAGCGCAAACTAATCATCTGTTTGACATGGGCAATTCATCTCCGCGCACGCAGACAATAACGCGCTCTTTTCCGTAGGTTGAGCCTGATCCTGCCCTCAGACAAGTCGCTATTTTCAGATGGAGAGCACAATAAAAGCATTGTGACGGCTTAATGGCTATGTTTGTGAAGCCACCCAACAACCTAAACACAGCCCAAGACTTGAGCAGACAGCGCGGCGGACCGTGGAGACGCATGTTTGGATCCACAAGCAATCACAAATAAAACCAAAAAGAAAACGCACGTATCTATAAAATGTTGTCTCAAAAAATGGCCTCAAGTTATGAATTCGTCTCTGAATCAATTTAGCGGTGCAGGCACTTTACCCAACATCCTCAAGCGGGAGCAACAGGGAAATGGATCCGGGGAGACCTCACCTCTGCGCGCGCCTCAATAACAGAGACATCAGCTCCTCTCTGCCACTGTGTAATTTTTAATATATATGCAATACATGTTCAATTTGTTTCCAGAAATGACGGGGAATAATAACGTCAGGACGTAAAGCCATCCATTGAGCACAAACAAAGCAGAACGAACCCAGTGATTAATACGTCATTGAATTGTGTTGGATAAAGCAATAATGTCCGCGCGCGCACCTCACACCGAACCAATACTTTTTTATTCTGCTTTTCTTCATTTGCACATTATTTGTTTACTGTAACCTTAACGTTGGGGTCTCGAACTTATAGGTATCTGTCTCACATTAAAAAAAATCTGTTCGGTGCAGCAACAAATAATCTTTTTCACGTAATTATTTATGATTTTTAGATCTTTTTGGGTCTATCTGTTTGGTTTGTGTTGCCTTATGCACCGTGCAATACAATATTAAACTTGCCTTTTACACTAGTCCTGAAAAGTGTAAGTTGGTGAACGAACCACTACACTCTCTTCATCTGCTGAGAAAACTTAAATTCCTCTTTTGTATATTTGTAAGAAAAATCCCTGAGTCACTTTTTGACTCGGGGCTGTTGGGAGCTGATGGGCTGAGTGAGTCATGGTCTTTAAAGATGTGACAGAGGCTAAAGTGATGTGTGAAAAAGCGAGAACCCAGACGTTTTTGAAACTTGAATTATATGAATGTATGAAGTTAATGTTTGAAGTTAAAGCTTTGTTCCAAAGTGAAACGCGCTGGGATCAGAAGTGCATTTGGAGCCATTATCGAACCACTCAATTCTCAAATATGAAGAAACTACACAAAAAGAGAATATGACAGATAGAGTTGTGTCCTGTTTGTGGGAGATCCAGAGCAGCCTGTTGTGTGAGCACCAGAGTTGACTCTACACATTACCACAGACGTCCAGATCCGCGCCTAAAGGCTGATGATAAATAATGCGTGATGCGTTTGTCGCCACAGTTCTCCAGAGCGCGGCCGTCATGGCGGTCCGCACACTGCACCATTCTCCTCTCTCCATTCTAGTGCCAGAGCATTGTGTTAAATGTTAACAACTTGTCCCGATCCATTTCATCGGCAACAACAAATGTGTGTTGACTCGAACACTCGCCTCCTTTGTGCCCATTGTGCGCCTGCCCTCACTTGAAGATTTATGTATTTTTGATATTAAATTCCTTCTGTCATCAAGACTGCGCTGTTGTTGACTTTTCTTGACCCGTCGACCTCTTTCCCTAAACTTTCCCATATAAAGCGGCGCCTCCCTCTGCTCCGCGGCCTGCACCTCCCTCTGCTCCTCGCCCCGTGGCCTCATGGGGCATGTGCTGTTTGCACTGTGCTTGAACTTCAGTGCGCTGCCCTGTCCCTGTGCTGCAGGCCTCTTTGAACTGTCCCTGTGCTCCTTTGAACCCACTGGAGCCTTCTCCACAAAGTCACCCACTGTTCGTGAGACAGAAACCAGAAAACCTTTTGGCACCAGCTCTGCTGACCATGTGCATTCATGGTTTTATAAGATTCAAACATAATGCTCTGAGGAGACAGAAGCACATACAACTTTATATAAAACCAAAATAATGATATATTTATGCAGTGAACTTATACTGAACTATAGTTATAGTCTTTGCACACTGTTCATGAACAGAACAGGACCAGGGCCTGATAGCAGTAAAAGGAAGAAACAGTTTATTCATACGTTTTCTTCCACTTCATCCGTTGCTGGGTTGTGGAGGCAGCACAGATGCATACTTTCTCTTGAATGCTCGTCCTGATGTGTTTGTCGGGCCAGAGGCCATATGATCCGAGGTCTTCCCTCTCGGAAACAGATCCTCAAGCCACCTCAGCTGGCTACACTCAACTTGGAGGAACAGAGGATCTATTCCGAGCTCTTCCTGTGCTGCAAACGTAACTTATGTGAAGGAGTTCTCAGGTGTAACAGTGAGGACTGCAACATCTGCACTGTACCTGAGCCAGGACCAGTCAGGTTAGGAGAGTATGTTTTAATGACTGTGAAGAATAATACTGTGGATCTACTTAAGTTAAAGCGTCTAAATGTATAATGTGTCGATAGCATCAGATTATAGTTTCAGAGGTGGCATCACGGAGGCGCAGGTCAGAAATGCACGACCCGCCACTGACTTGTGTCGTTACAATAAGTGACAGTTATAAACCAGCACAGCACATTCCAATGAGGAAGTCTGTCTCAGTCCTACACCGATGACTGATGCCTCTGCCACATCTGCCCGCTCCACACGGCTCTGACCGCACAGTGCCATAATTAGTTAAACAAACGCAGTTACTAATGATCTCACAGTCCTGCCGAGCTTTGGCCGTTTTGTTCTGCGCCTCTGCTTGTCCGGCAGGAACCTTGGCCTCTGTGACCCAGGCTCTCTCTGCTGCGGTGGGGAAGCCAGGCCCAGGTCACAGGGCAGTGTCCGAGAGCCACCAGCTGCTGGAGCTGACACTGACCACAAAGAGCCCTGTGGACTCCCATGTGGGGCCTGTCACTGCACTGACACTATGTGCAGAGTTTATTTACTCACAGGCATCTACATGAAGGCCTCCACAGGTCCTCGCAGGCTGAACACACCTCAAGGGCAGTTTGAAGTTAACCATTAATGAGCTAAGTGCTGTCGTGGTCCAAGGAATGATTAACGATGTCTCATCGTTTTGATCTGAATGCGCTGAAACTGCAGCACGTCCCAAGGAGATCGGAGTTTGTTTCGCTGTTCAAATCCATAAATGGGAAAAGCAAAACAAATTTGAAACTCTAACCAGAACCAAGCGGACAGCTTCAAGCACGACATTTAGTACAAGTTTGGTTGTGATGGTGTTGTACTTCGACAGTGTTGGGTCATTTCTATCATCGTGAAGGCCGTGTTTACATCGTAGACTGTAGATATGAACAGATGAAGTGAAGCTTATCCCCACTGTTAAGCGTTACGTGTCATCACTTTTCCCTCCTGTCGAGTTTATTCAAAATGGCCACGGGCAGCCCCTCCCACATGAAAATGTTATTCATTTAACAAGTACATTCAAAAGTCTACAGCGGATAAACTAAAAATACTCCATCTGGAATGTAGCGTTGAGCCAAGAGCGACTTTTGGACAAGGCTCTGAAGACGTTTTTGAGAGGAAACAATTCACTAGATAATTCTGTTTCCGGGTACACCCCCTACGGCAAGAGGCCAGAGTACAATGTCAGTGGGCTCACGGACCCCTTTTAGCTGGGACCTGCCCACATGGCTTACCTGTGTTATACTGTGGCAATGGTAAAGAGTGACAGTTATAAACCAGCTGAGCGCATTTCAATGTTTAAAAAAATTGACTTGAGGCTAAGAATGAGGACCCTTTCCACATGGCTCTGACCACACCATAAATAACTTTGGCCGTTTTGTTCTGCGGCTCTGATTGTCCAGCAGGAAACATGGCCTCTATTGGAGAAAGGATAATTTTTATTTATTTTTTGATGCACTGTATTAACACTGTCATGCTAATCCAGGATTCAGGGCCTCACACAAAACCCAGCAGCCACTGCACAAACACCAGGAAAGGCTTTGATAGTAGCTTGTCACATGGTACACTGCAGAACTCTCCATGGCCTGGAGTCAGAAGCCTCACTGCTGCAGGCGCTGAAGCTCCTCCAGCGCCTGGTCAGCAAGATCAGGACTTATGACCGATCCTCCACCTCCACCTGGTGTCTGTTTGAGGACGTGTCCCATGATGCCAAGAGGGCGACAATCCTGCCCCAGGGCATCCAGCTGAGAGAGGTCCTGCAATATAAGTTGGATTAGATTTCACTGTTTATGACTGTAGGGAAATGTCTCTTTTCTCTCTCTCATGGTCACCTGTCTCCTGGTACAGTGTATAATGATAGTCTTTTGACAATGACAGAGTTTTTTAACTGATTTCTGACTTTGATAGTTCTGAACGTCTTGTAGGCGCTCTTCTGTTCCATGTGCGATGCAACATAGACATTCCCCATGATTAAAGGTTTTCAGATTCCTTCCTATTTTATTACACAAATAAACTCATGTCCAAAGCTTTGTCCAAGTAAAAAGACGATTCTAGAGATTTTGAAGTGATTTTTTTCAAGTGATTTTTTTGAAGTAGACTCATATGAAATTCAAGCAAATGTAAAACCTACAGTTTTGTTACAGATTTTAAAACATAATTATTAATTAAAAAAAAACAAAACAATGATTTCCTTTAATTCAATTGACATATTTTTGAATTACATAGATTCACTGTATACTTTAGTAACTTTTTTGTTGGCTATTTCTGTTGGAACAAACAACACATATTTATGAAAACAAAAAATAAAAATTTTGTGAATATGGAAAGTGGAAAATCCCTCAAACTTGTTCCAGCAGCGCCACATGCAGGATCAAACTTCACACGTTTCCGGGGCCTAGAAACACGCTCCGGACGGCCGCATCTCTCCCGGGGGCCACAGTTTGGACATGCCTGGTTCTCATCATTTGTTGCAATTGTTTTGATTTGAGATAACAAACCAGCGCTGCATGCTTCGGTATTGTGGACAGAGGCTCGGCCCGTGTCCCCCACAGTGTCTCTGCTCCCGCTGTAATCCGGACAATGTTTGACCACTTAGGCAGCAGTGGTGCTCTCTCGGAGGTCCGCGACACAAATGGATACTAATTGCGGAGACTGTACACTGGAGGCTTGGTCTGGCGCCCGCGGCCTCTCCATGAGCCGCTTGTCACTGTCTAATTGACAAGGCCGTGTCTGTCCCGGGAGCAGCTGGTCCCCAATGATCCGGGACCAGCCACCGCCTAGAGGAGTTTGGAGAGGACGCAGTTAAGGCTGGATTTATTGGATCTCCCTTTGGGTATGTGGTATTAAGTATTGGCTTGATTCCTCAGGCGCAAACAGGAGTCACACAGGCCGAATTAATAACGCGCGGTGCCAATTAGGGCCAGACAAGTGACATTCCCACTGTCTTATGAATCACGGCAAACGAGACAAGCGTGGGTAAACGGCGGCTCTGTAAAACACACAGGTTTTGGAGGCGATCTGAGGGTGAGAGCAGGGAGCAGCCATTGAGAAACATAACACGGTGAAATAATCCCTTCATTATTGTGGGCTGCTTCCATCACGCTCTGCCTTTACGCACTGAATGCAAGAGCAGGACAAGCCAAGCGCGCATTGTCTGCGAGAGCGAGAGCAAAGGATCTGCTGCACTTTCCCACTGCCTGTAAAGAAACGCTGCTTTTTCTGCGCCTTTTGAACTGAAATCGTGACTTTTTCCCCTGGTGTTCTCCGGACGCGCTCCTTTCTTCGTGGGGAACAATGACAACACTGGAGCACCCCGCCGGTACGCCACAGTTGGGGATCCCCTGGGTTGTTTTGGACATCTTTGGATTTCATCAATCAAAATGACTGCGGTTTTCCATAAAAATGCTGAATTTGGTCGTGGAACCGAACAGCCAAGGTATAGCAAATAAGAAGCTGTCCTCCTCGATGATAAATGGCATCCTTTGATTGAGCAAATAGAAAATACGTGCCACGGGAGTGAGAACCAAAGTCTGATCGAATGAATTGCTACTGCACTTGTAGAGCAATAAGAACCCTACTTTTAAATACGTTTCAGACCAAACACTCAACATGTGATGAAATACACTCATAGTTCTTCTCTCTATAACAGCTTCTCAAGATCAAGATGAATTTATTATGTCCAGTAGGAAATTTGTCTTGGACTCACAGGCTGCTACATTGAAAAACACACACAAAACAGACATAAAACACAGTAACACAGACATAAACTATCACCTCTCTGCTCGACGGCCTGCATTCAGTAAGTCAGATACGGGTATAGGAACGAGTTCTTGTACCGAGTTCACTATAGTTTCCACATATTAGCCACATATGTCATGGATCCGTTATTTCAGACAGAAACGTGAAAAAGAGAGGGCCTTACCCACTCAGCCAATCTGCTCTCAGCCCAAAAAGTCCAATAATGTCTCTCTTACACGTCTGCTGTTATTGAAATCTTATAGTATAGAGATCTGAATGAACACCGAATAGCTGTTGGAGTAAGTAATTAACTCATCTTGATCCAAATATACAGCCCATATCATCTGTTGTTCTCCGCACATTTAAAGTGGCAGACATTAGTTCAATCCAGGTAAGACTGAAGTTGTTGTTGTAATATCAGGGTTGTATCAAAGTCAGGAAGCAGAGGGAGAAGGCCTGAGTGACGGATCACACTCAGAACTTGGGCTGAGCGGAGGTAGCACTGTACGTGTGTTTGATTCCGATTCCGATTCAGACTACTTCATTGATCCCAAAAGGCAAAAACACAGAGAGAGTCAGGCCTCACAGTTCACACAGCAGCAGGTTACACACTATAAGCTAAAAACGATTAACACAATGAACAACACAATTCCCAAAAGTCAAACACCTCTACCAGAGTTCAACAGTTTTATGGAAGAGGGCACAAAAGAATTGGAAAAAACGGTTTATTTTCCGGGCGGGAGCATAAAAACGTTGCTCTGAAGGCATCATTACAAAGTCAGCGATCAGAGGATGTTTGGGCTGAGCCAGAATACATTTTGTTTTATTCAGCACCTGTTCCTCCCACAGAGAGTGAAGGTTTCTGAGTTTTCCTCTAGTGGTTTTGGCGCAAGTTCTCACAACACTCTGTAACTTCTTTTTGTCCTTCAGCGTCAGGCTTTGGAACCGACAGATAAAATAAAAGTTCTGTTTACATTAAAAGAGTTCAAAGAGTTTGTTTACTCTCTTTAGTCTATTTAATGTCTGGTGTTTTCCTCATTCAGGGCAGAGGGTTTCAGAGCGCTGCCAGGTGGTAGTTGAGACGTGGCTCTGTTTTTCATTGTATATGTGCACAATAATCATGAATAAACTCACACTGCTTTTTATGCTCTCGGCCTGGGCAGAAATTCCACTTTTTTGACAAAGACATGTGGATGTGTCTTCTTCTTCCCACTCCTTTTTGAGCCAAACTATTTTTTCCCCCGTATACATATATATATGTTGTACAGATGCTCCCTGTACTTTTTTGTTTTTGGTTTTGTTCTTCATTTGCTGCCATATGTAAGTGAGTACAGTGCTTTCTGTATTGTGTAGAACGTTATAATTTTGTATGGCTCAAAAGAAAGTATTCAATCAATCAATCAGAACGTATATCACTGTGGGTTTTTTTCTGTAAATGGCAAATAAAAGAATCTAGATCTGGATTGGTTCACCACATTTTACAACAGGAGTCTTTCTGTTGGCCTTTCGCTCCACTTCCCACGAGCAGCAGCAGCAGCAGCAGCAGCAGCAGCAGTAACTGTATTACACTACGTCCTATTTATTGGAATAGATTATGTAAGGCACATTACAGCCTCCTCAGCAGCGCACACTCCTGCCCCGTGATAAGGAGGCGATGCACTCTGAGTGACAGCTCGATGCTGCGGTGAACTTGTGATTTGGTAACACTGGCCTTTACCGCGTTACAGCAGCAAACAAGATAAGAGCCTGGAAGATCAGCGTTTGGAGCAGGCGCAGAGAGGGCGGACTCCACACGCCACACTCTGTCATTTACTCTCCCTGAACAAGCCAAGGAATCAAAATAAACTAATAATACGGTTGTATTCTGAGGCTTCCAAGACAAATGTGTGTAACTGAGTATGTTTACAAAGCACTATCAGTCTCTGAGCATGTAACCACGGAAACAGAGTACTACAGAGACAAGGCCAGTAGATACGTTTAAGAGCACAAAGACAGAAAGTTGCGCTTGCGTTAGACATGTATGTATTTAGTCACAAAAGGCCAGAAATACAAAAACTAGTGATATAACTGCTTCAGGTTGGATGGTTTTAGGTGCACCAGCTTTAACTTTCTTTTCTGATGTGAAAAGTATCCGATTTGAAGGCGTCGTTGTAAAAGTCACCGACGCTAAAGACGATTCTCCACTATTGACACGTCTTCTTACCGTCAGTCAGAGGTCAGAGGTGGATAATGATGATGGAGGAAAAGGCAAGCTCAAGGATGGGATAGAAAAATATCATCTTTACAACATTTTAGATTAATCAAGAACAATATTGTTTCTCTTGATCTCAAAAGCAAAGCTGCAGTTTTCTTCTTGATGTTTTCTACAGGATTAGAGCAGAGTAGAAAATGAAACTACAACACATAATAAATACAATAAGAGTGAGAAGATAATGGATGAAACAAAGTCCAACAATGTCACAGAACTTTTTTATTACATTATCAAAAAACCTCATTCTAATGTTGAAAGACAGCAAAAGGTGAAAACGTCTGTAAAGCCAAAAGTGTCTGAAAATGAACTATTATATCTAAAAACACTACAAACATGGAGGAAAATAAGTCTCTTGTCTCTGTCTAACATTAACTATAGTCTGTACATAAACTGAAGCAAACACTGAGGTGTCGTGTAGAAGCGATTGTGATAAAGCCATTTTCATTTGAACTTTCTGTTGAAAATACAATGAACAGAATCGACTTTTCACCACTGCAGATTAGAAGAGAGGCTTTGGCCTATTTAACACATTGTACAGTCGTCAGATACTGAGTTGTGGTCTTTAAAACAAATCCAAAAGAATTCAATTCAATTTATTTGTGCATCGCCCTACAGCAGTAGCTATCTCGGAGGACTTTACAAAACTGTTGAATTTACCAAAACAGATCAGAACACTAATTCGGGACATGCGGTGATACAATATTTCCTCATGGCTCCGTGCGGCTGATTCTCATACTAATCAAATATCATCTCGGAGCCCAAGATAATTCATTCCCGGTCCGGATCTGGCCCCCGGGCCTTGACTTTGACACCCATAGAGACATAGAGCCATTGATGCATGAGGCCGTTGTACATAAATGTTGATAAAGTCCACGAAGCACAGACCCTGATGTTTGCATTGACAGCGTCGCAAGCCACTGTCGCTGTAGAATCACACACAAACATACATTTGACCGTTTTAACGTCATATTTACGACAGGCCTCATCCCCGACACACGCAGCTGAAGTGGAGAGTCGTATTGAGGCATTGTTTAATTTCAGGGGCGTTTCCTGAGGTGAGCTCTGCATCGGCTGCTAATAGACATCTAATTGATGGTCCGAGCGCCGTTTCCATGCTCTCTCCCTTTATTGCGCCCGGCCGTCTGCTGTAAAATAGGCCTGTAATTAGATTGGGCCTATTCCTCCCGGAGCAGGCTGAGAGCTCTGGGCGGTGTGTGCAAAGAGGCAAGGGGGGAAGGAGGGGAGGGGAGGGGGGAGAAATCGTTATTAAAAAAGTTAGAACCGGAGTAGAAATTCGACATAGTGTTGAGGTTTGATGAAAAAGCACTGGGTTTTTATCAGCTCCTGCCTAACACTTTAATGGGTTTCTGTGGCGACTGATGTGTGTGGTTATGTGTGAGAAGAATATAGATGGAACTGGGAAATCTCACAGGAGCAGAAAATATAAGAACAAATACATTTATAATTAAGTTGAAATATGCTCTGCCACATTGGGAGCATATACCACACACTGTTTTAGGGCTTTTTTTTTTAGAATAGTGTCGCTTTCGGAATTGTTTGCTATTTTTACACAGATTTCTACTGATGTATTTTGAAGTAAGCCTTGCGTGGGAGTCGTAGTAGTGGTAGAAGCAGTTGTAGTGGTAGTAAAAAAGTATTTGGTTCTTGTATACTAGAAGAATCAAATACTATTGTCTGGTAGAAGAACCAATACTTTTAATTCTGCTAAGAAGACAAGATAATTGTAGTTTTAGTAGTAGCAGTAGTAGTAGTAGTTTTAGTAGTATTTCTAGCCATATTTCTAAATGTGATGCTGGTTTTACATCAATAAAAATATAACAACTACTGCAAAAATAGATTGGAGGAAGTCAGCCTGCCATTCTGCACCGATGGCGTCTCTGACCACTACGTCAACCACTGATACAGTGCAGTAACTGTGCCATGAAGTAAAGACATTTGAGGCACAATAATACAATAGTACAATATAACAATATCCCAATTTCTTGATTATCTTGAATTATCTTGTGTTGCTTGAAACACAAAAACTCTCTTTACACACACAATACACAGAAACACAACAATCACAAACACACAGAGAAATTGGTCCATAAGGGCCAGGATTCTATTGTCCATAAATAATGAAAAATGTCCTTAAATATCCTGGATCATCACCACTGTCCTCAGACCCTCCTGCATCAAAGAAACAACTCTAAAACCCAGTGGGACAAAAGTTAGAAACCTCAGGGAGGCCCACACTGTGGGAGGTCCAGGACTGAGGCTGTAGCTCCAGGACTGAGGCTGTAGCTCCAGGACTAAGGCTGTAGATCCAGGACTGAGGCTGTGGATCCAGGACTGAGGCTGTAGATCCAGGACTGAGGCTGTGGATCCAGGACGGAGGCTGTATATCCAGGACAGGTGTGGAGGGGAGTACAGTCCACAGGTGCAGATAGAAGAGGCCGGTGATCTGTTGAGTTGAGCTCCCTCAGCTGTTAAGGATGTAATGCAAACCAGTGCATGCGCGTTTCACGGCAGCCGAAGCAATCCAAGATGGCGGACATGAAGTCTGTGAGTTTTGTAAAAAAATAAGAAAGAATTAATACACAAAGGTCACTTTTAATGCAATTTGAGGCGAGATGTTGATGGTTCCATGTTGTTGTACATGGGTTTTAGGAGTCAACGTTTTGTGTAAAGTTTGGTTTAAGCAGTCAACTGCTGTTGTGTGATAGCAGAACCTTTCCTGTCGAGTTGAGCTACGTCATTTTACTGATGTAGGCCGATGACGCGTCCTGTGGCTAACTCGAAAGCTAAAAGCTTCCAACAGAGTTTGGTTATTATCTCCATTATTAACCCAACAGGCCAATCGGGTTGTCGACTGGTCTGTTAGCTGTCAAATTAGCCACAGGACGCGGCATCAGCCTACGTCAGTAAAATGACGTAGGCGCAGGTTTGCATTACGTCATAAACAGCTGAGGTAGCTCAACTCTACAAGCGGGAAACTCAACAGAACTCCGGGTTCAGGGGTCCTATCATTACTCTCATGAAACAGACAGCGGGTGAATAGCAATGAACAGACTACAGAGAAAATCATAATGATGACAGATAAAGTAGAAGAGGATAGTGCTGTTTTACTTAGCCTGAGTCTCACCCTCTTTAGCCTGGCCTTGAACATAGAGACTGTGTCTGCATCCTGGACGTGCATGAGGTGCTGATTCCACAGAACAGGAGGTTGGTAGTTTAGCTCTCTACCTCTGAGTGTGCCTTTTAACACTCCAGAAGTCTCCTGTTGTTGTGAGCACAGGGACTGATTTTAACACGGGTCAAACAAGAAAAAGGTCCAGTCCCTCCGAGTCCAGTTGTCCCTTCAAGTGGACATTTTGTGTGTAAGAAATAATATAATGCGAGTCACCACAACATGTTGTTTGTCCCAACAGAGAGAGTCTAGTAAAAGTAAAATGCAGTGAAAACATTTGACCAAACATACTTCATCTGACGACATCTTATTCCATCTTATGTGAGCCACGGTCTGACACACTGAGAGCTGATTGTCTGATTAAGGGTGGTCCTCTTTCCACACATTTCTGTTCTGATAAAGAAGATCTAAAGATGTGAAAACCAGTGATGTTTGATGTTGCTGACCAGTTTAATGTGTTTGTTACAGTTATATTTTAGTTTAAAGCATCAATATTGTGTTTTATAACCACTAAATACATCTCTAAGCTGGGACTGGCCTCCTGCTGGGACTCTGAGGAGCACAGGGACTGGCCTCCTGCTGGGACTCTGTGGAGCACAGGGACTGGCCTCCTGCTGGGACTCTGAGGAGCACAGGGACTGGCCTCCTGCTGCTTCCAGAGTCAGGACTAAACATGGGGAGGCAGTGTTTCAGATTTATGCCGCTAAAATCTGGAACAAATCTGGAACAGATTGGAAATGTGAGACAGGCTTCTTCTCTGACAATGTTCAAATCCAGGTTAAAAACTGTTCTTTTTAGCCCTCCATAACTGAAGAATTGTAGCTTTACTCTTTTTAAAATACATTGTTTCTATCTTGTTATGTTCAGCACTTTGAGTTAAGCCTTGTGTATAAACTGTGCTATACAATTAAACTTGCCTTACTCAATATCCCTGGACTGAGAACGATGGACCAGGACTCCTCACGGTTATTGCTCCCTAAACGTCCGTCCTGTTTGTTATCACAGGGACTTTTAACAAGGTTAGCGCCGCTTTCATGACTCCCAATTCATGTCCCAATAATCGGCTGATAGCGCCCAGTGGCCACCTGTCAATCACAGAGACGCTGGTGGCACATCAAGCCTGACTCTCTGCTTGTTCTTCTCCCACAGAGCGCGCTTCCTGGATGCGCTGTGATTGGCCGAGGCTCCGCGGCGCTCATGGCAGATCCGGAGACTCTGGATGATTGATGAAGACGAGGGCAAGGCCGAGCACCAGTCGCATAAAGCCCCATAGACATCGCAATAAAGAGACTGGAGGAGACTGGAGAGAGGAGAGCTGGGCCTGCTCAATGGGACACACACACACACACACACACAGAGACACACACAGACACACACACACACAGGGAAACACACACACACACACACACACACACACACAGAGACACACACGGAGAGACACACACACAGAGAAACACAAACTCACAGAGAGACACACACGGAGAGAAACACAAACTCACAGAGAGACACACACGGAGAGAAACACAAACTCACAGAGAGACACACGCACACGCACACACAGAAAGAGACACGCACACATGCACACAGAAAGAGAGAGACACACGCACACACACACACACAGGCGCACACAAGGAGAGACACACACACACAGAGACACACACACAGAAAGAAAGACACACACGGAGAAACACACACACAGGGAAACACACACACAGACACACACACAGAGACACAAACACAGAGAAACACACACTCACAGGAGCACGCACACGGAGAGAGAGAGAGAGACACACACACACACACAAAGAAAGATAGATGCATACACACACCCACACACACACAGACACACACACAAACACACAGAAAGAGAGAGACACACACAGGGAGACATACCTGCACACACACACACACACACACGTACAGAAAGAGAGAGAGACACACACACACACACACAGAAAGAGAGATACATACACAAACAGAGACACACACACAAACACACACAAAGAGAGACACACATACAGAAAGAGAGATACACACACACATACATTTTCTAAGGAACAATTATCACAAATGTTCCAACAATAACATTCACTCAGATGAAATAATGACCGCCGTCTCTCTACACTGTGGAGTTCCCCAGGGGTCAATTCTTGGCCCATTCTTTTTTCTCAATTTACCTCAATTTTTAGTAAACACGGGCTCTCATTTCACTTTTATGCAGTCAGATCTATTCCCTAGACAGTAGTTATCTCTGAGGACTTTACAAAGCTGTCGATTCACCAACACAGATCAGAGAATCAAACAGATCAAACACAAGAAATGCAATGATAACAAACACATACAGACACTGGACCATAAAGAGCAGAGACCATAAATGTTTTTCTCCTCACAGTGTTTTCTGTTCGAGTGCTTCATAAATAACCACAACAGGAACTGACCCTTGACCTCTCAGTGGTGGTCCTCCTCTCTCCTGGTGAAGACAACCATGCAGGACCGGCTTCCAGTGCTCTGCTGGTACCTCCTGTGCTGGTGCCTCCTCTGCTGGTACCTCTTCTGCTGGTGCATCCTCTGCTGGTGCCTCCTCTGCTGGTACCTCCTCTGCTGGTGCCTCCTCTGCTGGTGCCTCCTCTGCTGGTGCCTCCTCTGCTGGGGCCTCTTCTGCTGGTGCCTCCTCTGCTGGTACCTCCTCTGCTGGTGCATCCTCTGCTGGTGCCTCCTCTGCTGGTTCCTCCTCTGCTGGTGCCTCCTCTGCTGGTGCCTCCTCTGCTGGGGCCTCTTCTGCTGGTACTTCCTCTGCTGGTACTTCCTCTGCTGGTACTTCCTCTGCTGGCACCTCCTCTGCTGGTACCTCCTCTGCTGGTGCATCCTCTGCTGGTGCCTCCTCTGCTAGTGCCTCCTCTGCTGGTTCCTCCTCTGCTGGTGCCTCCTCTGCTGGTGCCTCCTCTGCTGGGGCCTCTTCTGCTGGTACTTCCTCTGCTGGTACTTCCTCTGCTGGTACTTCCTCTGCTGGCACCTCCTCTGCTGGTACCTCCTCTGCTGGTGCATCCTCTGCTGGTGCCTCCTCTGCTAGTGCCTCCTCTGCTGGTTCCTCCTCTGCTGGTGCCTCCTCTGCTGGTGCCTCCTCTGCTGGGGCCTCTTCTGCTGGTACTTCCTCTGCTGGTACTTCCTCTGCTGGTACTTCCTCTGCTGGCACCTCCTCTGCTGGTACCTCCTCTGCTGGTGCATCCTCTGCTGGTGCCTCCTCTGCTAGTGCCTCCTCTGCTGGTTCCTCCTCTGCTGGTGCCTCCTCTGCTGGTGCCTCCTCTGCTGGGGCCTCTTCTGCTGGTACTTCCTCTGCTGGTACTTCCTCTGCTGGTACTTCCTCTGCTGGCACCTCCTCTGCTGGTACCTCCTCTGCTGGTGCATCCTCTGCTGGTGCCTCCTCTGCTAGTGCCTCCTCTGCTGGTACTTCCTCTGCTGGTACCTCCTCTGCTGGTGCCTCCTCTGCTAGTGCCTCCTCTGCTGGTACTTCCTCTGCTGGTACTTCCTCTGCTGGTACTTCCTCTGCTGGCACCTCCTCTGCTGGTACCTCCTCTGCTGGTGCATCCTCTGCTGGTGCCTCCTCTGCTAGTGCCTCCTCTGCTGGTACTTCCTCTGCTGGCACCTCCTCTGCTGGTGGCTCCTCTGCTGGTGGCTCCTCTGCTGGTGCCTCCTCTTTGTGTGTCTCTGTCTCTGTTTGTGTCTGTGTGTCTTTGTGTGTGTGCCTGTCACTGTGTGTCTTGTCTCTCTCTGTGTGTGTGTGTGTGTATGTGTGTATGTCTTTGACTCTCTGTGTGTGTGTCTCTCGGTGTGTCTCCATGTATGTGTGTCTCTCTGTGTGTGTGTGTCTCTGTGTGTCTGTCTCTGTGTGTGTGTCTCTCTCTGTGTGTCTGTCTCTCTGTGTGTGTCTGTGTCTGTCTCTTCTGGAAAGGAAAGTTCACCATTTTGGAAATATAGATTGTATAAATGCAAACAATTAAATAAAGAATAATTTTGTTTGTGATTGATTTTGTGTTTTGTGCTTTTGAAAGATGGAGTTCATCAGGATGAAATGTGAAGGGTAAAAAATTAGAAATTGTGTTAACTTTATTGATCCTGTAGGAGAAATGCAGGTGTCCAGCAGAGGAAACACATAAAAACATGATTCTAAAAGTTATTACCACTTTTTACGCTGAAAAAGTAGAACGAAGAAACTGAAAAGTGCAGGAAGTAAAGCAGTTCTGGAACCGATGACATCACAGGAGCAGACTGACAATTATCACATCAAACAAACTCTTATCTGAAAATTAAATCAAAGTATATTCTTATTGAACTTGTTTAAATATATTTAATGTGTTTAAAGTTACAGATAAGTAGGAACCCTTTATTTATCCCTGCAGGGCAATTCATCCTCTGTATTTGACCCTGATGCCGCTAAGGCTTACGTCGGGAGCAGTGGTCGTCGTAGTAACAGCGCCTGGGAACCCAGGGCCGGAACTGGAGGATTTGCTTAGTGTTTTTAGTGGTAGGAGAAACCGGAGCACCTGGAGGAAACCTACGCAGGCACGGGGAAAACATGCAATATAAAATATACATTTGTAAATTATTAAATTCTACATATCTCTCAGACTTTTATAGAAATGTTTAAGCTAAAGCGGAGGTTCAATCTGGAAGATAGGAGGTTTAAGTTCACTGCGCTCAGGGAAGGCAAGTTTATTTGTACAGCACAGTTCATACACAAGTCTCACAAGGCATATATAATCACACTAGAACTTTAAAAATAGTGAAGATAAAATCTCTCAGTTGTTTGCAGTGAAACAGATCTGTTACTAACCTGGATTTGAACCATGTCACAGAAGAAGCCTGTCTCACATTTTCGGGAAGACTATTCCAGATTTGAGTTGCATAAATCTGAAACGCTGCCTCTTCATGTTTAGTCCAGACTCTGGGACCAGCTCAGTCCTCCCGCTGCTGACGATCCTCTCCTGGCCCCCCCCTGCATCAAGCCTTCACCTCAGGAAGCAGTCAATCATGCAGCAACCCTCCTCCTCCACCTTCTAGTCACCGGACCAGCTCTTTCTCCCTTCCACTCGCTGCCACCACCAGGGTCTAGGCCCCAGGGATTTTTTGTCATAATCTATATTTCCGTTTCCCCTTTGGATCCTCACAGGTCTCTGCCAAGGTCTAAGGCCAAATCTTAGCCACATTTCTTGGACAGCAGCAATAAATGTAATGTAATAAATGATTCTAATAAACCCCTGTTTTGTTGGTTCGAGTCTCTCTTTGTTTATTTAATATTGATAATATTGATATTTTTATCACATGGAGACTGAAAACCGCACCAAATAAATGTGACAATTTAAACAGACTGTGAAAGGTTCTCTTAGTGGTTTAACAAAATCCTTACAATCACCTCCTTCACCTCCTCTGACCTCCTTTAAGATAAGATATTCCTTTATTCATCCCACAGTGGAGAAATGTCCGTGTCATCGTTGCACATTACAGCAGAGAAAGAAGGAAGCAGAGCACTCAGATTGCACACATCAGAGTCTATTATTTAAGATAATAGACATTAAAATTCAAATAAGATGGTAAAATAGAATAAAATACAATAAAATAAACTCTGGAGCTTTAATTGCACTTGGTTCAGAAGTATTTACAGATGTGTATATTGTACTTTAGCAGCAGAGAATATGAGCAGAATAAACATGAGTACTGTGTCAGCCCAGGACAGAGCTGGACTTCCTGATGTTCCAGCTTCTTCCTCTCTGTGATGCTGCTGTTCCAGACCACATCGTACGAGTCTGTGCTATGAGTCCAGTCCAGTTTGTGGTTCAGATGAACACCCAGGTACTTGTTACCTCCTCTGACCTCCTTTACCTCCTCCACGTCCACCACCTCCTCTCACCTTCTCTGCTGTGGACCTATAGCATGGGCTCCTTGTTTTGCTAATTCTGAAATGAAGTTGATAATTGCAGTATTTACAAACGAACCAGAGATGTTGAAGCAGATTAGCCGCCGGTGAGAGACAGTGGTTAGCAACAGCCTCACGTCGGTGTCGATTGAATTTATCCCCAGCTCCGAGTCGTGGGGTCACCGTAACCGCATTCTCTGTCACTTTGTAATTGACTTAATTGAAGGAATATTTAGCCTTTATACGCTAAAGGCACCTGTTCACTGCAGAGGAGAGGGCGGAGCTCCGACGGGGTAGAGGCAGGCTTATTTGTATAGCACAGTTCACACACAAGGAAACAAATAAATAGTCACATTAAAAGAGTAAAGATCATATCCTTCAGTTTTAACCTGGATTTGAACACTGTCAGAGAAGAATTCTGAGATGTTTCCATCTTTCTTTTGTCTTTTCGAGTCTCTCCAGATTGAAACCTATTTATCTTTTATCAAACTGCACTAAAGAATAGTAAGTAAGTAATTATCTATATAGCGCATTTTTCCAGACCAAGGTCACCCAAAGCGCTTTACAAAGCTCAGAGCGTACAATGCTCAATAGTGATGAAGCCTGTCTCACATTTTCAGAGAAGACTGTTCCAGACTCTAGCTGCATAAATCTACATACCCCTGAACCATGTAGAGATCTGTGTGAACCTGGAAAATATGTCACAACTACATTATTTGTTGAATTTACCATTCAGCGGTGAGTCGTACTGGTTCTAGGCAGTAGTGCTGTTTGCATGTTCTACCAATGTCAGAGGTTTACTGTAACAACAATAACAACATAAACAGTTACGGTGTGTAACTGTAGGGGGGCGACAGTGGCTCAGCAGAGCATTAGACTTTGGGCCTGAAGGTTGTAGGTTGGATCCCCATAAGACCTTCTCCAACTTCTCCCACTCATGTCTGCTGTCGTTTGGGCAAGAACTTAACCAAACGTTGCCTGAAACCCTCGCTGAAAGACCAAGGCTGTGTTGACGGAGCAGCCATCTTCCTGTGGACCCACCTCCTGCAGAGGCTCAGAGGGACTGGTTCTCTGATCCCACCCCCCGACCCAGAAATGGATTATTAAAGTGGTAGAAAATGAATGAATGAATGTTGCATAATGTGTTACGTTATATTATGTGTAAACCCAGGACATAAACTGCTGCTGTGAGGATGAGAAAGGGTGAATGGGTGAATGAGAAGTGTCGAGCGAACATGTAGCACCGAGCGGGAAACACTGAGTCTGTGCAGAATGTGCAGAGGAGACAAATTGAATCAAGTGGAGCTGAGGCTGAGGCCATTACGGGAATGATCTCATGTGCGTCTGTTGTTGTGTTGTCGGTGGGCAGAGGTGAACAAAAGGCCAGAACCATCCAAGCCACCGGCTGCGGCCACACGGGGAAACGCTGGCAACAAACCGGAGCATAATAGCAGCTAATCCCATCCCAGCGCTGATAATGGAGGAGGAGGAGAGAGATCCCAGGTCTGAGCAAACTGATTTGGTCTGAAGCGAGAGAGCAGCGTCTAATGATGAGTCTGTGTTCATATGTAAGAGCTGTGTCTAATCTACACAGAACCATCAAGGACTCTATATACTGTATCTATACCACTATATATATATCTAAACCACTATATATCTATACCACTAAATATACAGTATCTATACCACTCTATATCTATACCACTCTACATCTATACCACTCTATATCTATACCACTCTATATATCTATACCACTCTATATCTATACCACTCTATATCTATGCCACTCTATATCTATACCACTCTATATCTATACCACTCTATATACAGTATCTATGCCACTCTATATCTATACCACTCTATATCTATACCACTCTATATCTATACCACTATATATATCTATACCACTCTATATCTATACCACTCTATATCTATACCACTCTATACATCTATACCACTATATATATCTATACCACTCTATATCTATACCACTCTATATCTATACCACTCTATATCTATACCACTCTATATATCTATACCACTCTATATACAGTATCTATACCACTCTATATCTATACTACTCTATATCTATACCACTCTATATCTATACCACTCTATATCTATACCACTCTATATATCTATACCACTCTATATCTATACCACTCTATATCTATGCCACTCTATATCTATACCACTCTATATACAGTATCTATGCCACTCTATATCTATACCACTCTATATACAGTATCTATGCCACTCTATATCTATACCACTCTATATCTATACCACTCTATATCTATACCACTATATATCTATACCACTCTATACATCTATACCACTATATATATCTATACCACTCTATATCTATACCACTCTATATCTATACCACTCTATATCTATACCACTCTATATATCTATACCACTCTATATCTATACCACTCTATATCTATGCCACTCTATATCTATACCACTCTATATACAGTATCTATGCCACTCTATATCTATACCACTCTATATACAGTATCTAGGCCACTCTATATCTATACCACTCTATATCTATACCACTATATATATCTATACCACTCTCTATCTATACCACTCTATACATCTATACAACTATATATATCTATACCACTCTATATCTATACCACTCTATATCTATAACACTCTATATCTATACCACTCTATATATCTATACCACTCTATATCTATACAAATCTATATATCTATACCACTCTCTATATCACTCTATATATCTATACCACTCTATATATCTATACCACTATATATATCTATACCACTCTATATCTATACCACTATATATCTATACCACTCTATATCTATACCACTCTATATCTCTGGATCAGTCCTAAGCCTAAATAACAGTTGCAACACATCATAAATATCACACACACAGCTCCTCTACCTCTATTTATTTTATGATAATAATAATTTAATTGAATAGAATAATGTAAGTCATATTTATCTATATAGCACATAATACAGACCAAAGTCTCCCAAAGCGCTTTACAAGGTTCTGAGTTCAGATATTGTTCATTTCTCTCCACACGGTGATGACGGAAGCGAGACCCCGAACACTATAGCCTCCGACCAAACACCCTCCATTCACTCCTGCTTTCACACCTATTGTACATGTTTTTAGTGGTAGGGGAAACAGGAGCACCTGGAGGAAACCTACGCCGACACAGTCCCTCGATGGATCAGTTCCACATGAGTTCTCTGTTCACTTATGATATTAAGATGATTAATAAATGTATTTAGTTTTTTGTCTTTATTCCAGTTTTGCGACGTAGGATATAAGTAAATAGGAGGCTGTCAAAGACGTGTTATTTAGTTTCAGAATAAAAATATGGTTTGGTTCTGGAATGCAGTGCAGAAGGTATCACAAACACCATCAACTATTCAGATTCCTTTTACTTTCCGTCTGTAGTCGTACTATATACAATCATGAAACGTACATATAAAAAACGGTTCAGTAAAAAGTTCAAGTTACAAACGTAGCTAAAGTCTGTATTCCTCCCTCTCCTGTTTTCCTAACCTCCCCCTGTATCCTTTCCCTCTCTTCTCCCTCAGCTGCAGCTTTGACTCTGACTCTCTCTTCCTGACAACTTCCATAAATTATCGTATATTTTCATATTTCAAATTTCATCTGCATTCATGGGCTGGCGGAGCGGCCGTCTTGGACCCGGGTGTCGTGCGGCGCTGGCCCCTGGTGCACACTGCCACCGGCTGCTGCTTGTGGCCCCAGAGACCCCTATAATTCAATTGCGTTCCCAGATTAGATTATCTCTGCGGCTGGTCGCTGCCAATCTGAAGTATGAGTGCCTTCTATCCTACTTAACCCCTCTGGCCCCAGCCGCCATTCTACTACTGCTGCTGCTGCTACTGCTGCTGCTACTACTGCTGCTGCTACTGCTGCTACTACTGCTGCTGCTACTGCTGCTGCTACTGCTGCTGCTGCTACTGCTGCTGCTACTGCTGCTGCTGCTACTGCTGCTGCTGCTACTGCTGCTACTGCCACTGCTACTCATACTGATGCTACTCATACTGATGCTACTGCTACTGCTGCTGCTGCTACTGCTGCTGCCACTGCTGCTGTACCATATTTTCAGGCCCATCAAAGTTGGACTCTTTAGTTATTTTTCTTGTGCATTGTCGGCCCTGGTTAAAACGCTCATATTTCAGCACTGGCCTCGACCGACGTCCTCTGTTTCCAAACACTCGCTTTGGCCTCACTCCCATTAGTCTGACCTCCATCTGCTGTTTATCCTCTCTCTCCTCCTCTTCTTCCATCTCCTTATCTCCTCTTCTCTCTTCTTTCTCTTCTTCTCTGTTCTCTCAAAGTTGCGATACATTTACAGAATGATCAGTGCTGCAAACAGACAATAGTTCATAATGTGTTGTGTTTTTAGGAGTGAGATAAATGAACAATAAGTCTGCACTATAATACGATTTATTCTGTAACTTTAGCAAAATAAAGAACACAGTATAAAGTACTCTTTATTCTATTGTAGAAACATATAGTTGTATGTTTACATATGTTCACAAGGTTTCATATTTTTCATATTTATTTCAGTTTGATTTACTATCCTCAGCATCATGAGGAAACGAATGACTTTTAGTTTCTTAGTTTAAAAGATCTCTTTTGTTTGACATAAGTTATATTTACTATAATGATTCAGTTTGTTTCCATAAGTTACGGTGAGAAAAAGCAAAAGTGCTCATGCACTGAAGCAGGCATGTCCAAACTCAGGCCCGCGGGCCAACTGTGGCCCTCTGTGTCATTTTCTCAGACCCTCTGCTGCTGAAACCATTGTCACCATTGAAGCACTTTGACAGTGTCATCCAACCAACTTCAGCTCCACTAACACAGTCACGCTACACCTTGTTGTAAATCTCAGACCCTCTGGAATCCAGTCTCAAATCAAATCAAAATCAAAAATCAAAATAACTTTATTAATCCGTGAGGAATTTCATTTACAGACGAAGCACCGGTGAGGGTACACAAAAACACAGAAGCACACGATCTAAGCATAAATACAGTAAAAGAGTATAAACACAATATAAAATACATAAAACAAGTCTCGGATCAGCAGTTTAAAAGGCGAATTGAGGCGGGAGGAAGCCCTTTTTGTTTTGAATGGGAGGGACCTGAACCTACGCCCTGATGGGAGCAGACTGTAGTGTGAGTGCAGAGTCTGGGAGCTGTCTGTGGAGATCTCGGAGTCTTTCCTTAAAACGTTGTTAAAACATTGACTCTATTGCTATTTACTGACGTTTGTTTTATGATTGTGTCGCAACAGTTCAAATAAAGTGCAGCGGTGATGTTGTTGATGAATAATTCCAGAATCCAGTAAATCCAGCTTGAATCCAGTTTTTTGAAGCCAGGTTGTCGGCCCCAGGTCAAGTCTAATGAACAAAGTGTCCCTCTTACTAAAAAGTTTGGACACCCCTGCACTAAAGTAAATCTTTGCTACTTTAATTGTAACTAGTAATCTATTACAAATGTTCACATTAGTAATCAACAAAAATCTATCTCTCATCTGTTTGTCCATCCATCCATCCCATACCAAAGACTGTGATAAAGTAAGGTTCAAGGCGTGTTTGTTGCTCTCGTGACCCAGCGGTGACTCCCCCCTCCTCCCCCCTTCCTCCCTTCCTCCCCCCTTCCTCCCTTCCTCCCTCCCCCCTCCTCCCTCTGCTTATCGCTTCCTGCGTGGGAGCGTCGGCCATGTTGTTCCTGGGCCGCTGCATATAACAGATGAATGTAAGTGTTCGCTGAGGAAAACGTCATGTTCTGATGTAATTATCATCTATTGCTTCCTGTAATCGCATCTCAGTCTTTTGAACAATAATCCTGTGGCCAAACGTCTGGATCCTGCCCCACACTCCGCCCTGTTTATTGTTCTCCACTCTGGTAAAACACAATTCGATTTACCAACCAACTATTAGATTTTTTTGCTCTGTAGAATAAACTGAAATCGTATTTTTGCCGGGAAATTATCAATACATCTCTGAGGGAGCCCAAAGTAAGACGACACGGAGCGAAAGTCGACCCTCGGAGAGAAAACGAATGAAGAATGGGGCGAAGACGACGGGAAGACTACAATAGGATTTATTGACATCCAGAGGTCAGACGTATGGCTCCACTTTGCACAATCGCATCAAAACTGCAAAGTAGTGGTTCTGTGCTTTATTGGGAGCTTGTTATTGCGGTAAAACGACGGTATATTGAAATGTGGATGAATATGGCGAAGACAGAAGGCACGCTGCAGAAGCTGCCGACGCCCGCGACGGTCGTATCACGGTAGTTTTCATCTTGTTGAATGTGGTTTGAGGCTCGGAGGTCGTCGATCTTTGAGCCTAAAGCACAGATGCAATCACAGCAGCAGTGTCTCGAGATAAGACATAATACAGATCTGTGTCGGTACAGGAGTCGCGGTTTCATATCATGCTGTTTAGTTTTAGTTTCAAGCCGACAACAAACCACTTCTGTTCACACGGATTCTGAAGTTTCTGGAGGTAGATTCTGCCGTTGTGTCACTGAGCAAAACTCATGCAGCCAATTTATGACCACAATGAGCAAATACATGTAATAGATATATGCTTTATTGATCTCCCGTAGGAAAAATACAGGTGTCCAGTTGCAAAAAATATTTTTTTTTGATTATGCTAAAAAGCTAACAACAGTAATAATGAGCAACAGCCCTTTCAGGTCGCAGCAGCAGAGGTGGAGCCGCTTGGTTTGAACCATTTTCTCTGCTCTAGTGCAAAATAAAAGGCTTAATTTTTCTAAAAGTTAGCATTCCTCCAGTGGATTTTTGCCTGATCCACTTGGTTTGGACCATGAATCCTCTCTGCTCTGGTCTGGACCAGTGTAACACCAGCATGAACACTGTACTGGAGCAACATCTCGTAGGTAGAAAAAAAAATAAAGGAAAATTGTAAAACACAAAACAACTGTTTCAGAGCGAATTAGGACTTGCTGCCGTTTCCAGCGCATTCAAAAGTAAGAAAAAATGACATAACTCTGGCTTCTGTCTAAGACTCAATGCTGTACATTTAATAAATTTGAAGGGTCAATATTTTTTAGCTCAAATGCTACAATAAGAGGAAAAGTCTGAGTCCAACAGATATGGCTCTGGCTTCTGGGGGTCTCTCTGGAACCTGCTGTCAGGGGCTCTGTCTGATCTTTGTTCTTATCTCACACTTTATTTTTTACTCATAAATATATGAACAAGATATTGTGTATTGGGGCAGAGGAAGGATTTGAATCGTTCTTTTCTTCACAGAAATCAGCTCTGATATAAAACTATCATTTGCCTTTGAAACAGGAGTCATTTCACCAAAACAAAGTGAGGATGATCCAAACCAAACCAGAAAAGTGACACAGTGGCCCTCTCTGAAACCCCTCCAGCTTTAACTTTGACACTTTGCGATAATGCTGGGTCGGCGTTTCTGAAGTTGCTGCTGTCATGGCGACGGTTTGAGTGACAGCGAGCGGCCCAGACAGGCTCAGACAGCATTAGACTTTCAGATGGAGCGTGAGGCAGCAGCTCGGCTTTGCATCCGCTGGAATAGTGATGACACGCCGAGTTTGGAGCGAGGAGAGGCCGTAATCCAATCAGCCGACTCCGAACGCAAACACCAGAAATGTGATCTGAGACGCAGCCGCGAGCGGAGGCCCACATGGTTCAGACGTGAGCCAGGAAATGGACAAGTCGGAATGTGCGAGAGCGAATGAGGAGACAGGAATCAACTAAACACAAAATACATACTATTATTAACTAACTTTTGATATATAGATACAAATGCACTTGAAGTAGTTCATAGTTTTACACTGATCCAGACCAGAGCAGAGAGGATGGTCCCAACCAAGCAGATGCTAATGCTAATTAAAGCATTCAGAATTTCACTCTGAACCGGAGCGGAGAAAATGGTCCAATCCAAGCAGATTTTGTTCTAACCGTCAGAATGATGAGTTTAACTATATCTTCAAGATCTCCATACATTTCATAAAAGTTTGCAGTAAAACTATTTAGAACATTAGTTAAAGGTATTGAGGACAATTTGACCTGGGTATGGATTTCAGATTACAAGATACATTTAATTCATTCTTAAAGCAATTTACACACACTGCAAAAAGCAATGAAAAATAAGTCAAAAAATGGCTCAAACTTGGCCAAAAAAAATATTTAAATTCGAGCACTTTCTAACTGCCTTAAAACAAGATTTGCCAATGGGACAAACCAAAATGATCTTGTTTAAAAATGATGCAAGAGAAGGTACTTTATTTTTCCCACAACGGGGACATTTCAGTTTGTTGCATACACATTTACTGTTCATACACATCAGGGCAAGCAGCGAACATTACTTCCAAGCTTCTTATAGGCAAAGTGGGTTAAGGTCTTGCCCAAGGACACAACGACAACAGGCAAGGCAAGGCAAGGCAAGTTTATTTATATAGCACAATTCATACACAAGGCAATTCAAAGTGCTGAACAAAACAAGAAAGCATTAAAATCATAAATAATCACAGAACATTAAAAAGAAAGATAAAATATAAAATCCCTCAGTTGTAGCACAGCTAAACAGAACTGTTTTTAACCTGGTTTTAAACATTGTCAGAGAGGAGGCCTGTCTCACATCTTCAGGAAGATTGTTCCAGATTTTAGCAGCATGAATCTGAAAAGCAGCCTCCCCATGTTTAGTTTTGACTCTGGGCGCTAACAAGAGTCCAGTCCCTGTGCTCCTCAGAGTCCGGGCTGGTTCATATGGGACTAACATGTCACTAATATAGTTTGGTGCGAGGCCATGGAGAGATTTGTACACAAGCAGAGCTGTTTCAGTCAGTGAGAGTCAGTGGAAAGGTCTTGTGGTGGGCTCAAACCCACAACCTTTAGGCTCAAAGGTCAATGCTCTACCAACTGAGCCACTGTCACCACATGTAAGTAAGTTTTTATTTATATACCGCCTTTTCACTGCAGATCTGAGTCTCAAAGCGGTTTACAATTGTTAATTATGGGCATTTGTCTCTCACTCCACACAGAGATGGGAGCGGGGTCGCCAGTACAGCAGGCGCATGCCAGACCTATTGGACATATTTTTAGTGGTAGGGGAAACCGGAGTACCCGGAGGAAACCTACGCAGACACGGGGAGAACATGCAAACTCCACTCAGAAAGGCCCTGGTCCGACCGGGATTCGAACCCAGGACCTTCTTGTTGAGAGGCGAGAGTGCTATCCACTCAGCCACCGTGCCGCCATGTCATGTACATGTCTCCTTTGGAATTGGAAAATTAAGCAACGTCTAAAAATGAGACTTATTTATAGGTTTTGTCCCATTTGAGAATCTTGTTCCAGTCAGAATGTGCTCAGATTAACATAAAAACACTAAATCTAAGCATTTATTACCTCATATTTTATCATTTTTGGCATTTCAGCATTTGACAGACAGATTTACAATTCATCAATAAGATATTAAGTAAGTAAGTAAGTAATCTTTATTTATATACCGCCTTTTCACTGCAGATCTGAGTCTCAAAGCGGTTTACAATTGTTCATTTTTGGGCATTTGTCTCTCACTCCACACAGAGATGGGAGCGGGGTCGCCAGTACAGGAGGCACATGCTAGAACTATTGGACATATTTTTAGCGGTAGGGGAAACCGGAGTACCCGGAGGAAACCTACGCAGACACGGGGAGAACATGCAAACTCCACTCAGAAAGGCCCTGGTCCGACCAGGATTTGAACCCAGGACCTTCTTGCTGAGAGGCGAGAGTGCTATCCACTCAGCCACCGTGCCGCTGAGTGCCGCTGAGTATTAAATTTAATATTTAATATTAAATTAAATATTACCCGGTAATTAACAATTTAAAGTAACTTATGAGACATTTTTTGAATCAGGCAAGCTGTAGTTAAATTGGTAAACAGACACAGGCCTCTCACTATGTAACTCTTACCAAGCGCCTAGTCTACTGCTGTTGCAAAGTCTCATGGCTGCAGGCGGATAACACTGGTGCATCATGGGTTATGGATACCCCTGTAGTGGTATTGACAGCTCCGTCAATAAGTAGCAGGCTAAGCTTCACTATTCACTTAACATTGACCAGAAGTGAATTTCCAGGACAAAGCAATGGTGGTCTGCAGGAGCGTCTCGGTGTGTTACGGCTGCTTATGAGAGCGCTCAAACTAAACTCCATCGATTTAGCATCCGTTTCTAAAGATTTTCTGTGCCGGCTCCACGGAAGAACAGGACGTTTGGTGTGAAAGCAGCTGATACTGTGTGTTTTTCAAAGGTCTACATCTCAGGGAAATTTCAAAGATTTAACCTCCTGATGTCATTGCACGTAAAACTCGCAGAGATACTAACGCTAGGCCCCTAAAGGTACACTGTGTAGTTTTTACTCCCATCTAGCATTGAAATCATATATTTTAATCTACTGTACTACGGTAGCTTTGCAGGACAATATGTCGTTTTTGACAGTGGTCCCCAAGTCCCGGTCAAACTCCTTTTTGTCCCTTATCAACCACTGTATTTCAAGATGGCGCATTGACACGTAGAGTCCTATGACAACAATTCAAAAACAAGGTTGGAGGTCAATATTCTTAAAAAGGTCACATTTGTTCTTGGTTAAAATGTTTTTTTCATTTGGAGCAACTGTAAAAATTACACAGAGCACCTTTAACGATCTAACTTACTTGATACTTGATGTTGTATTACCAAAGCCAGGGAAAGACTTGACACAATACAAGAATTATAGACATCTGTCACTTTTGAATGCTGAGAGAAAGATCCTAGCCAAAGTTCTTGCCACAAAAAACAGAAGACACAGGGAAGGGTGGGGTAGACCCAGAGGACCATAGGAGGGACCAGGACACAAAACACAAGAGAGAGGAGCACCATCTCTGCAGCCAAAAGTCCAACAACAGAAGCTTTGACCTGCTCCAACGTGACCCGTGGAACCCGGCACAGTGCTGAGACATCACCAGCACCACCGTGACCCACCGCCCTCCCTCACTCTACCCCACTGTCTCCCACTGTCCCCCATCCCAGTGCAGGCAGAGGGCTTTTAGGGGCTCCGGTAACGCTGAGAGATTGATGGCGTAAAGAGGCAGGAGGACGGGGGGAGAGCAGGTGGTTAAGAAGAGAATGTCCTCCTTAATGGGTTGCCAGGATGTAATCTAATAATTATGAAAAGTGAGTCGGAGGAGTTGGTGGGATGGATGGTGCTTACAGGGAGGTTTGCAAAGAGGGAGCAGCACGTGTGCGATCAGGAACAGGGTACATTTTTTATACTTTATCCTCTGCATTTGACCCAATCCTGTAGCACAGGGACCAGGAGCCATCTCCAGATGTTGATTCTCATGGTCAGGACCAGAGCTGAAGGATTACACCTATTTAACATGCTTTAGAGTGGTAGGGGAAACTGGAGCACCTGGAGGAAACCAACACAGACACAGGGAACGCAAAGGGCACCACAAAGTGTGGAGTCATTTAAACAAGGCCTAAAAACCTTATTTTTTAAGATGGTGAAAAGTATTCTTGGATGACTGCAGCCACCAAATGACCTAAGAATACTCGATTGTCGCTGCATTGGATCCACTCAGCCATCGTGCCGTGGTTAGCACTCTCGCTTCTCTGCATAGGTTTTCTCCAGGTGCTCCGGTTTCCCCTACCACTAACAACATGTACAATAGCCAAAAATCTTCCAGCTCTGGTCCTGACCAAGAGCAGCAACATCTGGAGATGGCGGCTTTACAGGATGGGTCAAATGCAGAAGACAAATGTCTGTACGGAAACTGAACAGAGCAGTGGTGGCGACAGTCCAACGCTCGGAGCCTGATCTTCAGATGTTGTTGTCAGCTTTTGCTGGAGCAATGGCAGCTGATGGAGAAACGGGAGGAAAGCACCCAGACACAGGGAGAACATGCAAACTCCTGCTGTGAACCTGAACCCTGCTCTAAGCTGAAGTTTCAGATGTTTTCTCTCTGCAGACGAGTAGAACAAAGCTCTTCTTATAAAGCACAAACAGAGGTGTGTGTGTCACAGAGCTGATGTTTGTGTAGTTGTTTGTTGTTGTGTTGTTTGTGTGGCTGTTGTTGAAGCAGATGGAGAGAGTGCTCCTCACAGCGGAGGATCATTACCTGAGGCAGCTCCTGAGGCTCAGCTCCAGCTCACATCACTCACACTGACAGCTTCTGCATAAACACATACATCTCTCATCTGCAGATGAATAATAATGAACACAAGTCTGGGTGCGGAAAACAACAGCTTCCAACAGGTCATAAATACATGTTTACTTTGATTGACAGGTGCAGAGTGAGTTATGTTCTGGCCTGATTACTGCAGAGTGAACCTTTAGTCCCTCCATCCTCTGTGATTATGTGACTGTTTCTGTCTCTATATGTAATTCAATTCTGTCAATGTTTTTGTGAAATTATCTTTGATTTTTGAACCCAAAGCCTAAATGAAGCCTGTCGCCTGGTTATACAAACCTTGAGAAGACCAGGACCAGTGGACGTGGAGTTGGACTGGCAGTCTCCATCGCAGTGACTTACATCTGTCTCTCCTTCCATGACCAGTGTCTGCATTTGAATGCCTCTCGTTCAAATTCATATCACTAGGAACAATAACAATAATTCTCATTTTCCGGCCCTCAAAACCAGACCCAGGTGTCCTTTCTGAACT